GTAGCAACCCCCCGCAGCTGTTTGGAAAAAAACATCTATTAGTGAGCTTGTGTGTTCTAATAGGGTTTCGAAAATGTCAAGGGACAGATAGATGATGAGATGTAAGTGAGCATGAGATTGTAATCACAATGGAAAGTTCAGTAGGCAAGTTTTCCAAGTTGTCCTGCGTAGTGTTCAACTCCATGAAAGGAGAAGAGGTGATCAAGCGGAGAGAGCCACTAATGTCCATTTTAAGATTTCTTATAGATTTAGATTTCTTGTTTTCTTTCTTTTGTTTCCTTTATTTTTATTTAACAAACTTTAATACACCTCTAAAGGATAACACACACACACACACACACACACACACACACACACACACACACACACACAAAACCACTAAAGTATATAAAGCAGCCTGCTATATAAACCTTTTTCAATTTAGCATCCTTTGCTTTCTGTACCATTGCACTGTTGTCTCATGCAGCTAGTTGCCCTTGTTTATGTTGCTGTATATAAGCCTATTTCTATGTATGTACATTGAGAGCAACGTTAAACTGGAGTCAAATTCCTTGTATGTGGACACATACCTGGCCAATAAAAGTGATTCTGATTCTTAAAAGAAATCTGAAAAGTCCTTGGACATGAACCTGTGACCTAAGGTGACTTGTCTCCGCTATGAGGACCACTACCCTGGCATGTCCTCTGACCTTTTGTAAGTCAGACAAATGAGCAGCCAGGAGTTAACCTCACCAGACTACTCTCACACAGGATTGATTGTAAATGGTACAAGCCTGCACAGATCTGTAGGGAATAAACATTAATTCAGTTTACACAAACTGGAAAGCAATATTCGCAAGCAACCTTAGAATAAAATCAAATTGTGCACACTTGTTTTGTTTTTTTCTTGCAATAGGTGCAGGATTACAGCTCACGCTGAGCGGGATGATTAGCATGGTGAGCTGCTGGTGCTTAGGTTGGTGCTCTTGTTTGTTTTTAATGGGGTCAGAGAGAGGAGAGAGTGAAATGCCACACTGATCCTCCACTGAGCTGGCCATATGCTGAGTGTATGACACACACACACACACACACACACACACACACAGAGCCTGATTTAGGTGTTAATGATAGATGTGAGCTAAATTTCTCCATTACTGTGTAGGAGAAGCTCACATAAATTCACTGCTGATCTGGCAATAAAATACATGGGAACCGCTCCCTTATACAACCGTCTTTTTAGGTCCCTTTTTTAAGTAAATTTTCATTAGGAACCTGAATAGTTTTTGGCACCGAACAAAAATGTGTCCATAACGCTGGCGATCAAATACTGTCAAGTACCTAGTAAGTTAAATGTTTGCTCACTCACACTTTATTTCTTCTCAGATGTGACTAAATAAATAAAAAATGTCATGTTTATATTGCTCAATACCGAAACTGAGTTATATTGGCACAAGCCCAGCCCAAATACATACGGGGCATCATTGCCTTCATCACTTTTCCTCTTGCTCTGTGTCACCATCAGCAAGCGTCCAGTCATCTGTGCCTCAACATGTAACAGTGAGGCACCAAAGCTGTGTTACTGTATCGGTGGTGTCATCAGTCATTCATTTAGCTGTTAGGCTTGGAGTTCTCCCCTAAAATAACTTTAAAATGAGCTTAAATTAAATGTAACTAAATAAAAAAAGCTTTATTCACTGGCTTCGATGTTTGATGTTGTGTTTTGTGTTCAGTCATTGCTCCATCATTGAATGGATTTTTCTGAAATGTCAGGGAATGATGGATTGTACTGCGGTGTTGTGGCATTTACAGTATTACACTGAGAAGCCCAAAGAGGTTGTCAGTCATTCATTCATTCATTCATTCATTCATTCGTCCATATATCATACGAGAAACCTAATTGGAGTTGATGCTGATTTGTTTGATTGCATTTTCGGAATCACACTGGTTTCGAAGCTGTTTCTGAGTTGCCCAGTTGAGTGCTGTATGATTTGTTTATTTGTGCTTTTGGCTCGCTTAGACATTGAGGTGACATTTAACGACACTTCAGCACAGCCAACATTTTAGGTAACTAGTGATCCAACCTACAGCCCCTTGCTTACACCAGACGGCATGCTTCAGCCAGCCAGCCAGTCAAGTCGAGTCTGGCTGCGTGTTGTTGCCACTAAGAGTGGCACTGAGCGCTATGAGTCATCTCTGTTCTGTCTGCTGACTGAAGACACACTGTCTCTGCTCTCCACTCTGTTTCCCTCTCCTTCTTTGCATCTCTTTGTGTCTCCTCCGTCCCACCACAGCTTTGTTTTGGTGTGGGTTGGCCTCTGTTCTTCTTCTTCACTTGATCTTCCTCTTGAACTGAGGAAACAGTCTTTACCTTCCCGTTAGACAAAACTAAAAATCTGTTTTCGTCTTTAATAATACTGAATCATTTTGATAGTGCAGCTGTTTTTCTTGTGCTTGTCCTTGAGTTCTTTCTTTTATTTTGTCTTCTCATCGCTATTGTGTATCTGCGGTCAACACTTGCGCTCTAAAGCCTTGTTGGTGAAGTTTGAGTTTCTGTTGGTGCCACTTTGCTCTTTTTTCCTTAAACCACTGTGGCTATCACTGCTCGTGCTGACTGGGCACTTCACTTTGCACATTATGTATCACAGAACTGGATTTTGCAGCGGTACAAGCCATCCTTTAATAATAGCTAAACTTTTTCCTTTTGTTGTACAGCACTTTTAACGTTTGTTTAAGTATTTTTCTGGCATTTTTGCCTTATTAGACAGTAGAGTGCTTACGGGAAATGTGGGGCGAGAGAGATGCGGGATGCCATGCAATAAAGGCTTGTGGTTGGAGACATTGCATATACATAGTGAGCGTCTCACACCCCCAAGCCACTGGGACAAGAACCCCCAGCACTTTATATGCAATCATTATGACAGTAAACTGAATGTCTTTGGGTTGTGGACAGAGTATTTGTGAAAGCCCCATTGGTCTTTGTGAAACAGTGAATTTTTCACCATTTTCTGACATGTTATGGACCAATAACTGATCAACAGATAAATCCACAATGAAAATAATCTTTAGTTGCAGCATTAGTTTAGTCTTCATGGATATTTGTAACTGATCAGAGATTAAAATACCCCTTTTTATTTGGGAGAGAATCTCTCATTCTCACCATGTGCAAATGTTCTTTATAAAACAGAAAGTCCAATACGTGATAACTTCCCAATAAAGTGAGCAGACTAGAATGTTAAATGTCATGTGTTTTTCTCTCTAATGTTGGATAAACATGCCTGTGAGGCTACAGCCAGGATGAGGGTAGATAGGGGTGTTTCTGAAGTGAAACCAGAGAATTAGACAACATAGCAGGAGCTGCTGTGAAAGAGATGCATTACTCCCAGGCTTTTCACGGTGTTGAGGCTCTTGTTTTGTCTCTTGTGCTGAAAGTCACTTGGTGGTAAACGTCTCTTTCTCTCACGTGCACACACACACACACACATGCCCTCTCATTCTCTCACACATACTTCTGTGATGTCACACACACACAGTCATATTTGCACATTCTTGGCCTGAGAGAAGCAAGCAATTCATGTCTCCTCTGAAAGACCATCTTTTATTCATGTATATATCGTATGGAATTCTCTCCCGCCCCACCAGCACTGCTGCTAAATGTAAACACAGCTCGCTATTTATAGAAAATAAGCCCCTTTAGTATCCTGTGAAACCCCCGCGTTTTGACAAATGTCAGCTTTTCAAGAATACCAGAAAAAACTGTCTGGATTTCCTGTTAAATCTATGTCTGACTGAACTGATTTTGAATGTTATGGATGAATTGTGGTATTTTGAATTTGCAAAACTGGCTGCAAACAACATATTGAATGCTTGTGTGTCCTCTCTGGTTGCGTTAAGAACACAACATAAAAAAAAAAAACAGAGATTCTGTATTTAAAAGCAACAGAAAAGCATTAGGTGATGAGATGGAAGACAAAGGATTGTGTGTCTTACAAATGGATTAAAGGTAATTGTATAACAGTTCCAAAAGGGATTAGCCTTTTTGAAATGTCTTTAAAGTATTAGTTACACCTTTCCCATCATGCCTACTGTTTCTCCAATGCACATCATATCTCCATCATAGCTGTATATGACCTTAACCGCAGTGGGCTATGTTGGGCAGAGATGTTGCTTCAGGTATTGGGAGAGGACGTGATGTGATATGGGAAGGCTAATTTGATTAACAGACCCATGACTTTTAAGGCTTATATGAAGACAAAATACTAGTTTATACTACTAGTTTAAAACTAGTTTGTAGTACAGTGAAATAAGACTAACTAACTCCAACCCCAACCATTTTATCCACTGTATCAGCCATGCAGTAAACAGAAACATACTGTTTCATGTTACAAAGTAATCTAACAGGAATATGGGCACGTATAAGATTAATCAGCGCAGTGCGTTCCGCTGTGTCACCCTTTTTTTTGTCAGATTTTCTGATGTTTCTGATTTCTGATTTGTTAAATGTCATTTAAAGGATAAACCTGGTTCCTGTCATTGGGGTAACCTCCTGGAGAATGCCCATTTTTTTTCTGTCATGCATATGTGTAACCACGTTTCTAATAAGCTTTCTACAAGTATGGATATGTGTGACAAAAGACTACACACAGTGGGAAAGTACTAAACTGATTTTATAAATTCAGTTACATTTTTGTTTTAAATAAAAAACACCTCTGTCCTCTCACTGTCAGTTTGTTCTGATGCAGAGACGCTCCAAAAACTCAGGAAGCAGCATCTTCTGTCAATAATACTACTGAAATAAGAAAGCCATGCTTCCTAAAAAAAAAAAAAAAAAAAAGTTTTACAACCTGGTTACATCATAGTGCTGTGTATTGGCATGAATCTGGCGATACGTGTTACAATACAGGGTTACAATTCCTACCATTCCTAATTTTAGGAAAACTGTCAGTATAAAGACCTCAGTAAAAAAAAAAAGGTTCACTTTTATGCAATAAGGGTTTAACTTTCTCTCCTTTTTCCTCCGTTAGGCTCGTAATGTAAACACAGGAGAGCTGGCTGCTATCAAAGTCATCAAACTGGAACCGGGTGAGTTATCGTGACTTTCATTTCTTGTCTTTTTTTTCTCCTTTATCTCCATTTGTGCAGCCACATCCTCTCTTTCTCTACATCAGCCTGTCTCTCAATCACCCTCATCCTTCTCTTTTTCTCAATGCGCTCCCCTCGCCATCTTTTTCCTTTTTAGCTTTTTCCCATTCTGTCACTGTCCTTAACCTTGTCTCTCTTCCCATGCGTTGTTCGCCCTTTTTCCTTCCCTCCTGCTGGTTTTCCATCTTCCGCCCCTCCACTAAAGAAAGGAAAGCATAAAAAACTTCAGATGTTACGGAAAGTGTGGAAATTCATCATCACACTGTTTCTAATTAATTAAGGTCTTCAAGTGTGGAATTTTAAAAGAGGAAAATATGTTGTAACCTGCTCTGCTGCTCTTCATCCTTTTGCCCTGGCTTCCATGAGTTTGCCCTCACACTCCAACATAAACACAAATGCATGAACAACAACTGTTTTCTGTTGTTTTATAAATAAAAAGAAGCAAATACTATATTATCACCATAGGAATAGGAATAAGAATTATAATGTGTGCTTACATGTGTGTTCACTCCAGGTGAGGACTTTGCTGTCGTCCAGCAGGAGATTATAATGATGAAGGACTGTAAACACTCCAACATCGTAGCCTATTTTGGCAGCTATCTCCGGTAAGAGTGTGTGTGTATGTGGGCCCGAGTGTTCGATACCACTACAGTGATTTACCTATGATTGCTATTAAGGTGCATGATATCAATGAGTTTTACTAGAGTGTGTGTGTGTGTGTGTGTGTGTCTTTTGTCAGAGAGAAAAACAGTGATGAGCTGGTGTGTGTGTGTGAGGAAGTAGAAGACCGTTGGAATTGCTTTTGTGAGTTTTGTATGAAGGTGTATTGACAAAGTATTCTCTTTGCAGGAGAGATAAGTTATGGATCAGTATGGAATACTGTGGAGGAGGTTCCCTGCAAGATATCTATCACAGTGAGAACAACATGAGCACACACACACACTCACACTCACACACACACATTTTGATCTTAACTGTGCTGTTGTTTTTGTTTGTTCTCTTTCTCACTCTGTGATATCCATTCATCTCTGTCTCTTTTCTCTCTATGTGTGTTATGTTTGTCTCTGTCTTCCTTGTTTACTCCTCCAGTAACCGGGCCTTTGTCAGAGTCACAGATAGCCTACATGTCACGGGAGACCCTGCAGGTAGAGTATGCAGTGTATTTATTGTCCGTGTAGGAGAAGGAGATTAGATTGGTTGTCTGCTGAGCTGCTTGACTCTGTAAAATGATCAAAACATAGACATCAAAATCATTAATGATCTTCATTGGCTCTTTTGCTTCACACTGACACGTAGCATTGGCTCTGTTGAGTGAGAGTCAGGAAAGAAAAGTCTACTTTTCTGCCTTGAGCTATTTAAGAAATTTGATTTCAATGTTGTATGGTCCAGGACATTTTTGCTCTGCAGATGCATTTTATAACTGGAATATTATCAATTCAAATTGAAACATAAATTACAAATATTGGGAAAAAAAGCGCCACAGCTGCATACAATGACAGAGGAAATACTGTAAAGTGTTAGCGTTGCACACTGCAGCCAGGCATCTAGCAGACACAGATGATGCGTCAGTGCTGCCAACTGTAAATCCCCCAAACATTTGATTTTCATTTAACCAACAGATGTTTCTAGTGAAATATATCAGGATATCTCCTTTAACAAATATTTTTAAATGGAGTTCTGCTCGGTTTTTTTGTGTAATAACAACCAATGACACTAGTTGCTGTGTGACTCTGTTTACAGGGTTTATACTACCTACACAATAAAGGCAAAATGCACAGAGACATCAAGGTGAGTTTGGAGAAAACTATATGGAATATGCTTTAATGTTTAAAGCCTTTCCAAGTCACATGTCGATTGCAAAGTGAAATATTCTGTATGTTACTTCCTGTTTTTCAGTTTTTTCGGTATAGTGTAATTCAGTACAATGGCAACACTACAGCCTCAGACACACTCAGAAATTGCCACACAATTGAATCCACACCTTTTCAATGATAGGTAAAATAATGATAAATGAATGATAACTAATCAAATCCAGGAATAGAGTAGAAGCACATGCATTTAGCAATGTTGAAAACAAAAATGTACCCCCAGATTATTGCTGTTGATGGTGTTTGTGACAGGGAAAATGACCATTGATTCATCGCTGCAGGCTGCACTGATCAATGACAAACCACTTTGCAACAAACTTGCGCTGCTGAATGCGCTTTCTCAGGTTAATTTGAATTGACCTGAAATGTGATTTTCTTGTGTTCGATCCTGATGCGTGGCGTGTTTGTCTCTGACAGGGAGCCAACATTCTCCTGACAGACAACGGCTATATTAAACTAGGTGAGAGGAACACGCAAGGTTTCTGCAATTACCTTCTGCTTCAAAAGACTGAATCTTAATGGCCTCATTTACTGACTTTGTCTCTCTCCTGTTCCTCATTTAATCATTTCTGTTCTTACTCTCCCACCTTTTGAAAATGTATTTCTCTTTCCCCCTTTCAATTCTTTCACTCCCTCCTCTCTATTATTCTTATTCTGAATGTTCTCTTTTTTTCCCCTCTCCTGTTCTTTTTCTCTCCGTAGCTGACTTTGGCGTATCGGCCCAGATCACAGCAACTCTAGCCAAGAGGAAGTCGTTCATTGGGACTCCGTACTGGTTAGTTGTGCTTGTTTTTCTCCATCAGTTCCCTATATACTGCCTATGTATATATGCATGCAGGTAGAGCACATGTATCAAATCCAACTTCCTACAACATGCAAAAGGCCAGTTTAATGCATTTGTTTTGTAAGCTGGTGGTTTCCAGTGCAGCTGTAGTAGAATCAGACTATTCACCACTTTTAAGGCATTTTGGGGTCCTAGAGGTGCTCCTACAGAAGCCAACTCATAGAAAAGACATAGAGTTTAACATGAGGGTTGTGGTGGGGCCCCTGTGTGTCGCTGCTGTTGTGCAGTTGCTGCAAACCAGAGAAAAAGGGAGACTTACTGTAGAAAATTCAAATGATATTCTTTGTGTGGATGCTTAACCAACCTAATTTAAAAGGGAATAAAGTGAGAACACATTTTACTTACTGTCTGTCTATCTCGCTCTCTCTCTCTCTCTCTCCATAGGATGGCTCCAGAAGTAGCAGCAGTAGAGAGGAAAGGAGGTTACAACCAGCTGTGTGATATCTGGGCTGTGGGCATTACTGCAATAGAGCTGGCTGAACTACAGCCACCCATGTTTGACCTGCACCCCATGAGGTAGAAGAGAGAGAGATGTTGTATAAAGTGCCATAGAATACAGAGACCTAGACGCAAGAGTTGTGTTTTGATTTTGTCATTATAACTGCATGGTTTGAGGCTCTTTCAGAACACAGCAGTGCTCCGCTGGAAAAACTTGGTTTAATCTTTGTCTCTCTTTTTCCGCAGGGCTCTCTTCTTAATGACCAAGAGTAATTTCCAGCCTCCTAAGTTGAAAGATAAACTCAAGTGGTAAGAGACCCCCCATGTATTTGTCTTCCTCACGTCTGTCTTGACTATTTTCAGCCACTGAGATACATTTACTATAGATTAAACGCCCTACCATTGAGATCACCCAGTTTTATTAGATCTGTGCCTCGCTTGTTACAAGGCTAAAAGATTAAGCTTCTATTCTTTTTCTCTGTCTTTCTCTCTCTGCTGGATGACAGGACGAACAACTTCCACCATTTTGTCAAACTGGCCCTGACCAAGAACCCAAAGAAGAGGCCCACAGCTGAGAAACTGCTGCAGGTGAGCAACAAAACAACATATTTACACTTTGAAACGAACACATTGGATGGTTTTACTTTAAGTATGGTTACTCATCGTAGCTATACTCTAATTTGTGAATACATACTGCACAAGAGACCAATTCCACAATAAAGGTTAAAGTGCTGGTTGTTTATTTTAATGTGCAAAAGCATTCTTTGCTGCAGTGGCCCTTTTTAGATATAAAAAAACAACAGTGCTGTATATTGCATAAACTGGACTAACCAGGCACAAAATCCCTGTGTAATCAAACTTAATCACAAGGTGTCGGCTGTTACATTCATTCTTACTAGTACCACAGCAATTAGTCATTGATTAATGGGCTAGTCAGTAAATAGAAAACAATCAACGGTTTGACGGCTCTGATAAGCAGACATTTTAGTTATTTGTCAAGCAAAACTCCTGTCACCGCCTCTATTTGAATACCTGTGGGTTATTAAAGTCCTGGACAGACAGACAGACAAAATGAGTCATTTTAACACTTATTGGCTCCCTCTCTTTGCTGCTGTCTTCCAGCACCCTTTTGTGTCCCAGCCTCTCAGCAGGACGCTGGCAATAGAGCTGCTGGACAAAGCCAACAACCCCGACCACAGCACCTACAATGACTTCGATGACGACGATCCTGAACCAGAGGTAACCTTTGACCCTTCTCAGGCTTTGCTTACAAAACAAAAGTGTCAAGAAGCTCGCAGATAGGACAACGGAGTAGTGACTATGTTTTGCTGGATCTCGCTTCTTTTCCTTCCCTTTAAATTGTGCCCTCCTTTTTCCTCATTTGTTCATGAATTCCTTCTTCACCAACCACCGTTCACCCTCTTTTATACTTTATACTAATATTTTTTTTCCCAGCATGTGACTCATCTTTCTGCTCTTTATCCTTCCCCTTCTCCCTCCTTCCTTTCCTTGCCTTCTCTTTCCTCTTCTTCTTTCACCTCTTTTCTCCTCTTTATTTCTCACTTCACTCTTCTCTGCTTTTGTCTCCTCTTCTGCTCACTGTCTTCCTCTTTCCTCTTCTCTTCCTCCTTGTAGCACTTCTCCTTTCTCTTCTTCTTCTTCTTCTTCTTCTTCTTTCTCCCTCCCCTTTTTTCTCCTGTCTTCTTGTCTCCATCCCCCATCCTCTACCTCCTTCTCAGTTTAAGTATAGGGGTCATTTCCTACCCGTAAGCCCCGGTGCTCGACGTGCACCCCGTTTTGCGGCCCGTATAAAGGTACCGATGTGGGCTGCGGTGTCTGCAGTGATGTCATTCTAACACAAACGATACTGTCAGTTGTTTCTTCACTTGGGGGAGGGCCACAGAACTGAATGAATAGAAGCTGGATTTCCATTCAATTAAGTGTCTACTGGTGTTGTCGTGGAAACCGGCATTGGCATGTGACTTTCAGACGGTTTGATGGATTGCCATGGCAGTTGTAGAAATACTTTAACATGCCGGTGAGCACTCGTGTTTAACGTTCATGCTTTTATGTTGACATGCACATCAGCTCGTGTGGTTATTTGTATTAGCGTTATGGAATACGGCCGATTTCATTGACCTACACAGAAATACGTTTTTGGCCTGATGAAGAACACACTGCCAGTGACTTCAGTAGTGTTTTTCTGTTTGGGAAATATACTTAGTCGATAGTTACATGAGAAGATTAATACCTCTCTCATGTCTGTACGCTAAATATGAAGCCACAGTCAACAGCTTAGATTAGCATGAATTACTAGAAATGCAGAAAAACAGCCTGGCTCTGTCCAAAGGTAACAAAACCGGGCTGCCAGCACCTCTAAATTGTTATTCCAGGAGGGGTTACATGCTGATTTTGTTATCAGTGACAGAGCCAGGCTAGCTTTTCCTGTCTTTATCCTATGCTAAGCCAACCACCTGCTGGCTGTAGCTTCGTATTTATCGTGCACGTGAGATGGGTATCAGTCTTCTCTTATGACTCACAGCAAGAAAGCAAATAAATTTTTATTTATATTTCCCAATATGTCAAATTATTCCATTAATTTCTATGTAGCTGCAACAAATATTCTAACTTTACTGACTGTGCTCACTTCCACGACAACATTATTGACATCTTGGCTAAACCACAGCAGATTGCTCAGTGTTCAATAAGGATCAGCTCTTTTCATTCTAGTTCTGTGGCGGCGGCTGGCCGATTTAAGAAATGGCTCAATTCATGAAGATGGTAACCAAAGTTGACATCATCTCACTCCTTTTTTTTAAAATAATGCATCTAAACCACATCCAGGTCAAACTGTGTTGATATTGTGGTTTGTCTTTGTCCACTTGTGTGCTAGAGAGGTGGAGTTTCTCACTTTAAATAAAAGCCTGACTTCAAATTCAGGAATGTTTAGGTTAGGGAAGCTATTTGAACATCAGTGATACAATAAAGGATGACCATATGTTACTCCAAGCAGCTTAAAATAGACAGTAAGGATTGTTTTACCCATCTCTGATTCAAATATCACTACTTAAATATGTCAGTTATGGAAGCCATCTTCATCTACCTTTGCCATGACCGTTACTAACCATGAGTTGTGTGTTAAGATAATGAACTTTATTCCCCCTATATGAAGTGGTTTGAAATTGAACAATCTCTTAGTGGATCTGTGCAACAAATGTGCTTTTCATGGATGCATCGTTCGTTGTGGTTTGCCTTTTTCCAGTGCTGTACAAGCATGGTTTGAGATTGCTGTGTTTTTAGCTTCTCTACAAGGACGAGTTTACATCTTAAGATTAAACATTGAAGATGTGAAGTCAAGTAGGGTTTGAATTCAATGGAAGTGCCGTTTAATGAATGTTTGTGAATGTCCAGTTGTACTGTATAAACATAAACAAAGGAAACCAGCAACTAGCATCACATACAATAGTTGATCCAGTGTTTTAATGGATAACAGATTAACACAGCCTGGGTTGCCAAGTCTGCTGGGCTCAGCTGTGAATATCCTCCATCATATTTTATCAAAAGTAGAGAGGATATGTTACCTTGGTGCTGCTTCAACACCGAGGAGAAACCTTGATATTGTTTCCAGGGAAGGTTTGTGTTTTCCGTCCACACCGTTGCTATGTTTTGGTTGTCTGGTTGCAGAGTGCGGCTGGCTGTTTTGCTGTGTCATCATATCCCACCCACAGGAAATAGCAGAGGGATTCTAGTTTTTGAAAAACCTATTGGAATCTTCTCAAGAACAATGTAAACTATTACACTGGGTCTATACTTTGAACAGATATTTGACTGTGTGTGTTTGTGTGTATGTGTCTTTCTCTTTCCTGACAGTCACCGGTCTCTGTTCCTCATCGTATTCGTTCCACCAGCCGGAGCGCCAGGGAGGGAAAGACGCTGTCGGAGATAAACTGTGAGTTCATACACAAGAACATGAACAAATGCATTTTCAGTCTCCACAGAAGTAACCAGAAATTAAGTCTTTTTAACTCCGAATTTCTCTGTATATTCCTGATTCTATTTTTTTCCTTTATCTTCACTCGTTTCTTCGTCTCTGCCTTTATCTGTCTCAGTTGGTCAGGTGAAGTTTGATCCTCCATTGAGAAAGGAGACAGAACCTCATCACGAACCGGTGAGTTAATTGATGTGGCATATGGTTTGTATGAGAGAATGCGCGAGTGCGCGACTGTTTGTTTGTGTGGTTGTCACTTCACAAGTACCAGCATGGCTGATCCTCACTTAACCATAGGAAGCACCCCGACCAGTCCATGGTGTTGTCAATCTATGTTGAACCTAACATGAAGCCCATCCACATAGTTCACTCTGGTAGTTTTAAAATTGAGGCAGTTTTAAGTAAGGATATCCCAGTCTATGCCAGCCAAGAAATGAGATTAATGACTATTCAAACATGGACAAGCAGGTTACTGCAGTGTATGCTAATTTATTCTTTAATTTCTTAGCCATAATGTTTTTTGTTTTTTTCCCCTGTAAATCCTAGTTTGTTGCTTGAATGTAAGCTTGAGATTGTGGATACAAGCAGCCAAAATAAGTGCTCCTTTAGGGACAGGGTGAGGAGCTTAGGTGCCCAGAAGGAGCTCAAGAGTAGGACCACTGCTCCTTGGCTTTGACAGGCTGAAGATGAGGATGAGGATGCCTCCTCGACACCTTCCTGTGGAGGAATTCTGGATGTGTCAAAATCGAAAGAGGCCTTTAGATAGACCCAGAACATGCTGGAGGGATAATAATATCCACCTGGCCACAATTTCATTCTACAACCTTGCGTTGTAAATGACAATAAAGTAACCTTGAATGCCTCAGTATCCCCCCTCTAAATGCTGGATGACGTGGCTTGGGAGAACAACGTCTGACCTGTATTGCTTGGCCCGCTGCCACCAAACACAGACCTGGATAAAGAGCAGAAAGTGGATGTATTTGCGTAAAGAAATAACATTCTTCCTTCTTTCTTCGGCATGGTGTTGACGCTGACTGACAACCAGACAGCAGCCTTTGACGCATCTGTGAAGCACTGCAAATATTAGCTTTCTTTCTCTAGCGTGAATGGACCCATATCCAGGGCAGATGTTGTACCCTTGCTTTAATTTATATATGCTGGATTTTGGCATAAAACAGTGGTCATCATCAGTTTTGGTAAAAGAACTGGCCTTAAAAAACGGTTGAGCCGTAGCAGCTTAAGCTGATTCTCTAGGAACTAAAGTTGATCGTGTTATCAGCCCTTACTTAACTACTGAAATAAGTTTTACTCGTGAACAAATGGGATGGTGCAGGGTTCATGCACAACCACAGCATCCTGTCAAAGCCCTCTGCTCCCTCCCTCCTACCTTTTCTCTCCTTCCTTTGCACTTGCACTCTTTCCACAAACTCCCTTCTGTGTTCCTCCTCCCTTTTTTTAAGTCTGCTTAGAAAATCCATCCTAAAATGTCTCCTTCTCTCCTCTCTCCCTCCTTAAAACCCTGGAATAACATTATGATACATAGTCACCAGTGTAGGTCTTTCATGCAGATCATCCATCCACATTCAACCCTTTTTGTCCTTCAGTTTCTGTCCTCTTTGAAAGTCCTATAATAACACGCGGCCTCTCTCTGTCTTGCTGACCTGTGTTGTTCTTGGCTCTCCGACATTCGTCACTCCAGGATTACGATGCTATGTGTGGCATTTTGAAATCAATAAATCATAACCACATTAATATTTTATTGATAACATAATAACTGTCGCCAGAAGGAGAAAGTTGTGCCATCTTTGCTCAAAAAAGACTGGCAGATGATGCAAGGAATTAGCAGCTGGAGAAACTTTCAGCACGTTTAACTAATATTGAAGTAAAAACATAGCGACACTGGAACCTGGATTAAGGTAACATCTGGTCTTAATTCTGAAAAAATACTGCCAAGAACACCACTGGAATAAGACAGAGGCTGCTCATTTGTTCACTGAAGAAGGCTATACATAAATATCTATATTCATTTTATATTATTTTAAGCTAATGTAAGTTATTAATGTCTCCTCAGTTTTGCTGAGTTTTACTCCATCCCCCTTTTCTCCCTCCCTCAGTCTATACTCTCATTCATCCCCTCTTCTCTTCAGATTAATATTCCACTATCTCCCTCCTTCTCTGTCTTGCTGATCCACGGACTTCAGAGCCCATATTGGCCTTAATCCATTTTTCATCTATCATCCTCTTTCTTGCATCAGTGTCCTCCCCGTTTCCTCCATCAGTCCAGGTTAATGTATTAACTGAGGTCTCTCTCGCTCTGTCTTGCTGACCAGTGTGAATCTGAGCCCTATCTGGACTGTGTTGAGGAGCTCTACTATACCGCAAGATCTAATCTGGTAGTACTCTTCTATCTGTCTCTCTCTCTCTTTCGGCCTCTCCCTCTGTCCAGCTACGTTGAGCTTTTTTTTTTTTCCTTTTTATTTTGGATTTGTCTTTATTTCTCTAACCGTATGCCTTCTTTTCCGTCCTACTCTATCCATATTTATCTTTCATTCTTAATCTGTTTAAGAAGAACAAGTCCTTGTCCTTCTTTTGGCTCTCTTGCTTCCTGAGCCCTTGCTGTCTTTTTATATATTTTTTTTTCCAGAGTGCTAATTGTTTTGGCTGCTCTATGTCCAACATGTATTTCTGTTCATTTTCACAGTTTTGTTCCATCTATTCTGGTCCATCCATCTGTTTCTGTTCATGTTGTTCATCTTTTTCCAACTTTGGCTTTTGCCTCTCTAACTGGTGTTGTAGTTGTCATGGTGATAAGAGTCCTTAGTGGTGGTGGTGGTGTTCTTTTTGCTGTTTCGGATTTACATGCAATACACACACTCACACAAACATCACAATCAGTCAAATCAAGTTGCAAATCTTTTTTTTTTGTGCTTTGTGTGTGTTAAATATACACAGACGAAGGTCGGAGGTCAGATTCTGTTGTAGTGCTGCACCTCTAAAGGCTGTTAGTGCTCGAGTGCCTTGCTTGAGGACACTTGGGTTTGAACACGGGCATTACTACTCCCAAAACTTAATACTCTTTATATCAATATTTACACACACATACACACTCGACCTTTTGTATTGTACCTGGTATTTGTTGTGACGTATATTTCTTGAAATTTCTCTCTACAGAATGTGTCTCTCTTCCGTACACTACTGCTTATATGTCCTCTAACCTCTTACGTCCTGTAGTTGACCAGAGCTATGAAGCCTTTCTGTGTGTGTGTGAGTGTGTGTATGTTAGTGTGTGTGTGTTTGTCTGTTTGTTTGCAGTATGTCTTTTCCTCTGCATGCGTGTTGCATTCTGTCATTATCTTTAAAAAAATGTTTTTGTGACACGATGCTGCCTTCACATTGTGGCTTTATTTAATAGATGTCAAACCAGGTTTTCATTCATTTCAGGCACAACGGTGCTAAACCCAGCTAATGCTGCTTATTGGACGGCACCTGTGCGTCACTGCTGCTTATTGTCAGGCTGCACTTTAATCAGCTTGCACCTGGTTTCAAAGGTGCTGCGGGAATGTAAAACTATGAGTGATGAATCATAATTATCCAGCACACATTCAGAAAGCTTTTCTTGAGTTATATTTTTATATTTAATGTGTTCAGGACAAACCTGACTTCACATAGACTATTCATTGCAGTGGTTCCCAACCCGGGGGGGTCAGGGTCCCCCTAGGGCACCCAAAATGTGTACGAGGGGTCCACCGAACAATAACTAGACACAGAAGGCCCGTCAAGTTATGGATTTTTCCACACATCAAAGTGGTGCACATAGGGCTGTAGTAAGAGAGATACTCTGTATTAAAGAGTTTGTTATTTTATTTTTTTTTATTGTTGTTTTTCCAAAACCCAGAAACACAAACTGTGTTTTTCTCTGCTCTAAGCCACGATTGTTAGCATGTTTGGCAAACTAGCTTACTACTCGCAGTACTAACTGTGTTACTTTCAAAACATGAGGAGCATATTTACTAACTACATTAGTTAAACTAAAGTTAAATTAAACTAGCACATCCACTGTGTAGTATTTCCTCTTTAGATTAAGGTAGCTTAATGAGCTAGCTACAGCTGATAGACTGTGCAAGCTATGGTTGACATTTTAGCTGGAAAAAAATGTTTAAATATTTATGTTTTTTTTCTCTTGCTTTTCTGTAATTTTTCTTTTTCTCTTGGAATACTGGGTACTTTCACCTCTTTGGGGCCTAAAATTAAACTCTTTGACGTTGAGCTTGCCTCAGTTCATGTTCACACAGAGGCCATAACTTGCATGACAGGTCACAAGCCAAAAAGGCTGGGAAGAACTGGTTTAAAACTTTTGTGTTATAACAATTAATCACATATTGAGAAAAACAAACAGGATGACTGCAGGTATCTACATGTGTCAACCTGCGATTCTTGCTACAACGTCTAATGATGATAAACTAGGTATTCAGCAATTGCTTTACTCTTTCCAGAATATCTTACTGTGAGAAAGACTACCTATCTTCCAACTAAAATTTCATTTAATAGGTACAGTTTTTATTTTATCAGCAAACCTCTAATTGTCAAACATGCTCTTGAAGACGCGAGGGAATTGCTGTTGTGTCAAACCACCTCTTATTAATGTATTTTTTTAGGCCACAATGTGAAATCAGCTAGAGTCAGATCTGTACATATAGTTAGCCATAAACTCTCTGTGTACATCTGTGTACATCTGTGGTTATGAATTACACTTTTTTGTGTAAACAATAAACAGTTTTATTGGGGGTATTTTTATTTCTGTAAGGCTGCTACAACTATCACCACGGCAGCTACACTTGCAGCCCCTGCAGTCATTTGGCATTTGAACAGGGTATCAGTTGTAGTCACTATGTGTATGTGGTTTATTCTGGAACTTGGCCAAGATCTTCGGCCCTGTTTATGTCCCCGGAGAAATCAAATACATAGCACATTTTAAAATGAGCCAGTTCTGAATTATTATGTCACAGTTGTAATGTAATTCGTTTGTCTTGTAGGACTTGCAGTTGGAGTATGGGCACGATTCACCAAGTCTACTGGGAGGAAACAAGTAAGTCTACTTGTTCACTTTTCTTTCTTTCCCCTTTTTAAACCTTCATCTCTTTATTTCTCCAATACATTCTTTCATTTCCAGTTGCAGTTAGACTAGCAAAATGTAAGCTAAGTGTGTTTGTATGCTATAGGTTTGATGATTTATTCATAATTGCAGCGTGAGGAAGTTCTGTGAGCTGTGTGTTTGTGTGAGCTTTCTGCTTTCAAGCATGCGTTGTAAGCAGAAGGCTCAGGTTCAGATCAGGGGAGCAGAATATCCTGACAGGGACTAAAAAGCATGTCGATTTTCAGTCTTAGTGAATACATTCAGTCATCAGATGTATATATTTTTCTTTCTCTCATTGATCTTCTATTATATTCTGCCATTTATACTTTTCTCTTCACTTGTCCGACAAACAGAAGTCTTCTGAAATCTGTGGAGGAGGAGTTACAGCAGAGGTAAGTCAGACCCGTCTCTCATCCTGATTCACCCAGGACTTCTTGATTTGCTGGTGTTCTAACCGTGCCCACACATCAACCAATCGTTGTTAATGGCAGGACTAATATTGGCCAATCACACGCAACTAACGCTGTTGTAATGACTTCAGGCTGTCACAAACTCTCAGCATTTTGGATTCTTGTGGGTTGAATTTTCCCTCTGCGGCTTGCTTCACGCTTTGATGTCATCAGGAAAAAGGCTGTGCTTCATAGGGGCTTCCTGCAGGGCATGGCTTACACACAAACACACACACTCTCATGTGTGCGTTCAAACACACACACACATGCACGTGTAATATAGTTTTTTTAGCCAAAGCTGCAGTGGGTGCCTTTAGCAATTTTAGTGGCAAGTCTGTGGAGAAATAATTTTTACTCGCCCCAAAGATAATGATGATCTTGTGCTTTGCTCTTTTCTATGAGACAATCTGATACGACGAATGTGTTTTCCTGAATTCTTTGGTCTACATGATAACAAAGATACAGAGAGTTTTCACATCTGTAGACAGAGGGTACACATCTGTGCAAATGTTTCCTTTTAGGGAGAGGTTATTACTGAGAATTGGTGTTTTACATTAATGATCTCTAGATAATGCTAAATGAAAAGTATTAGACTCTGTAAGGCTGTTTAGCTACACAGTTCAAATGTATTTGTTTTCTTTTAAGCCGCTCCCAGTTTTTATCCTTTTTTGTCTCCTTTGGTGGACACAGGTAGTAGTACTAGTAGAATAAATAACAGCGATCTTGTTTCAGTCGTTGAGGTTTTATCATTATATTTCGTATTTCAGAATATGTGCGACTATCAGTCGGTAGTTTGCAGACCTGGGTAAAATGCAGTTCTTGCAGTCCCCTGAAATATAGATGAAAGTGGCTTTTTCTTACATGTTAGATAGGTGTTATTTATTCTGATGTGGCAAACACAACCATTCCCAAGAATTTTAGACCCAGGTCTGGTACTTAACTGTCTGACCTGTTCTAGTTTCTTGTTTTGTCACAGCAGGAGAAAAAAAGATTAATAAAATGTGGCATGGACTTGAAGGTTTAAGTATAAAGGCATAAATGTCCAGTTTATTCACTTTAAATGGAGGTTTTTTAAAAATGTCCCAATCTTGAAAATTTGTCTATTAGGAAAAACATGCAAGATAGTATTGTATTGCAAGATAGACATGCTTTGTTATTACTGTAAATTCTCAAATAATTGTTATGTAATGGCTCCCACTCTCCAATGTCTCTTTTTTTTTTTTATAGATATTTGAGAATTTACAGGATATAAACTGCAGTTAAGATGCTATGAATGTAGTGATTAGAGGTTAAGTCTGTTGTTGAGGGGTGTGTAGATCTGTAAGGACTGTATAGGTTTAAACAGTTTAGGAGTGTCTCTGGCTGTTGCCTGTTTTTTCGGGTCTGTAGGAATTATTGGACATCTAACGATTGATTTTGTTGGAGGATCGGGATTCTTCTTTTGTTTGAATGTGTCCAGTCCTTTCAGATCTACCCTGGGTTCAAGGGTTAGAGGTAGTTTGTGGACCAGCTTCACTCAGATCTCCCTCCCCTTTCCCTCCTTCCTCTATCCTCTTCTTCCTCCTCCTCCTCCTCCTTCTCCTGTTGTCACCTTTGCCTGCTCCTTTTCTCCCTTGACCTCCTCCCCCTCTTATGTTCTCCTTACCTCAACCCGCTATTTCTATTTTCTTCCTCCCCCTCCTCTCCTTTCCTCCTCCACCCCTCCTATCTTCACCTCCTCTCTCCCAGGGGCCATGTGGCACACTTAGGGGATGATGAGGATGAGGATGATGATGGTGCAGATGATGATGAAACTCACACTCAGTAAGTTATCTCCCAGTCCTAGAACCGGAAGCCTCTCCCTCCTCGTCTGCTCCTCCCTCCACCCATTCCTCCCCTTGCTTCAGGGGGGGAAAGGATGAGGATGAGGAGTAAGACAAGGTGGAAGGCTTCCTGTCTTTGCCACAGTTTCATCCACGCATCTCTGTGCAGCACACCCCACCATCACGCCACATATGCCACCTGTGTTAGTGTGTGTTTATAGCCTGTGTGTTTTCTATGCCATTACTACTGTCTTGTGTGAAGTCTAATAGCTACTAACATTAACCCTAACCCTAAAAACTCACCAGGAGGCTATTAATACAGAAAGCTTTTTGGTTTGTTCTTTAGTCATTTTTCCATTTTACCTCCATGAATACATAGGGGCAGGGAATAACTTGAGCCATGGGTAGGGCCACACCTTTTTAAAGAGTGCATTATAGCTACATTTAGACCCAGCTACATATCGTATCATTTAATTTTCACTGGATTCTTGAAATATTAGGTCTGGGTGTAGTTTCAGTGCTTGGATAACTGATCTTCATGACCTTGACTTCCTATTTGCTGTTGTCTTGTTTTGTTCTTCACTTGCATCGCCATCTGTGTGCCTCCTCGCTGTGGGTGTGTGAGTGTGTGCGCAGTCACGCTGCCTTCTGTCTTCTCCTGCCTCTATAAAACTGTTTATTTGGCGTCCAGCCTCATCCCTCATTGTGTAAAAGCCAAATGTCTGCGGCGGACCAGAGTGTTCTTTCTTCTTCTTAGAGATATATTTTCCACTGCAGTCAGAAAGGCCTTAGTACTTAGCACACACACACACACACACACACACACACACACACACACACACACACACAGTACAAGGATTACAAAAATAGAAAGAACCTGAATGTCTTAGTTGATTGCGACCAATAGTCATGTAAAGTGGAATCCTGGCTACAAACACGTTGAATGAGCTAAAGTTTTGGGGGCTAAATCTTGTAGGTGCAAACTTGCACGTAAAAAAAAATTGTCAAAGAGGAATTACAGTCAATTACAAGCTACTTGTAGCTGCTAAGTAGCGTGTTAACGAAAATAGAACTTAATTCTGTTTCTGTTCTCCGTGCTTTCCTTTTGATAAAGCCTAAACCTGTATTGATCCAGCTCCAGAAAATGGGTCTTGGACAAGTTTCTTTTTCTATTATCAATGTCTAACCTTGTAGGTGTAGGATCAGTACATTATCTTACGAATCATCCTGCTTTCTTTTTTATATGTTTTTAGCCAGCTTTGCTAATTTATATACCAATAGGCGGTTTCTTAGCACCCTTATATGCTCACCTGAAGGAGGTTCTTTCCATTGGCCACCATCATGCCACATTTTACAATCCAATCTCAGAGGTGTAAACCGTGTCAGTTACTGATCAGTTTTTACCAAGAAAGTTTACATTAATGGAGTGAGCCATACATCTGTTGACCGCCATTCAACTGAATCACTGTGACTCATTTTTTTTATTGGTGTCTCAGTATTTGTGTTCACTGTGATTGGCTGTCAGCCTCTGTCTGTTTTGATTTGTGTGCTCCTATTGGTTCTTCGTCTGTCGGTCATTAACAAGTTGCACAAAAAATCTGTGGTCTGTAAGGCAAAATGGATAAAATCTCTGCAAGATAGTGCTGCTGTCAATTTAAAAATGTTTTTAAGTTTCTAAATTTAAATGAGAAGCAAATATAATTCAAATACTGAAAATATTTTATACTTGTTAAAATATTAACAAGTATAAATTAGCATAATTTAAGAGCTGTTGAATTTGAAGTATTGGAACTTTCCAACAGAAATGTTTGCAGTATTTCAGACAACATTCGCTGTAATCGTATCATCAGTTTTTCAGCACTGCTACTCTCAGAGACTTTACACATGTTCTATCTATAGTATTTCTTAATGATCTGTAGTGTGGCAGTCTCACTTTGTATGTAGTGATTAACCCTGTAAAGCAGTTATCTTGTGTCCGTCTCACTGTCAAATAGTGTAAGGCTATGGTTATACTAGTCATTTTCAAGGTTTCTTGTAACATCTGATCACTCAACATGACATTTTTAAGACTAGATTTTTGATTGTATTTATTTGTAACTACCAGTTAGGCTTTTAGGTATAAGTATGAATACTTAAAGATGTGATCTTATGAAATCCGTCTTTTATGATCTATGCAAAAACTGCTTTAAAATGAGAAGTTAAACCATAGCCTCAGTGGTAGAATGTTGACAGTGTGTTTTCAGTCCCACTCTTGTTTGTAATAAATATCAGTTGTTAGTCTGTTTTTTATGAGTCTTTTGTCTTCTCATTCTTCAGTAAATCAAGCACTATCATGAGGCCAAAGGTCCCACCTCCTCTTCCTCCCAAGGTATGAAAAACTGCATGCATCAATCAGCCACAGTCCAGTTTTTTTTATCATTTGAGGATTCATTTAAAAGCTCAGTTGTTATTTTATAACACGGTTTTCTTGAATTTAGTTTAATCTCACACAGAATATGAGAAATGAGCTGACTCTTTGTCCTTCTCTACATTTCCCTCCAGCCCAAGTCCATCTGCGCGTCCCAGCAGCAGCAGCAACAAAAACACGACGATAGCCAATCACACAGCGAGGATGACGGCGGAGGGGGAGGGACCATCAAACGCTGTCCAGTGCCAGAGACGCCGAGCCCGGCCAAGCCCGCCTCCAACGTCCCCCCGCGGCCCCCGCCCCCGAAGCTGCCGCCCCACCGCCGCAGTAGCCTAGGTAACGAGAGCCCCAAGCGCACGGACGTCGAAAACTCTGCCGCAGAGGATGATGGGAGTTTTAGGCATTTCTGGGAATGGCTCCACACGCCTCACACAGAGGAGGAGCTGGAGGAGGCATGGGAGGTGCTGAAGGAGGTGAAAGAGGAGCAGGAAAAAGAGGAGATAAAGGAAGAGAGTAAGAGCAGCCACTTAATAGATTGGTAGTGTCCGCAGACCCTGTCGTCCCCTCCGATTGGTTGTGTGGTCTCCCATTAGTCAGTCCTCGTAGTCTGATTTCTTTGTTCCATGAGTCCATTAATAACAGTCCTTTTTAAATCTTTTGTTTGTAGTTCCTTCCGTCCATCAGCTCCTGCTCAATATAAGTGTTTGTCATTTGTTTTGCAAAGTGTGATTGGTTGTTTAATCCAATCAATCAAAAGCTAGTAGTCTGCTTCCACTCCCCTTCGCTTCCTAGGAGGAAGAAGGAAGAGGAGAAAACATTGTCCTGTCTGATCAGAACTCAATAACAACACATGACAACACAAGACATGATAGTGATGTTATGGTCTGTTTTCATTCAGTTTGAATGCTAGTATGCACATACATAATGCATAAACGTACTATTGATTCAGTCTTATTTCTCTGTTTTTGATTAGTTGTCACTTTGATTAAAATTTGGTCTTTCCTGTTCCTGCTAGCAGCTTTATAAATGTAAATTCTAAAAAGTAACTTTAGAGTTTCATTGAACAGTCATCAGACATAAGAAAACCTTACACTAAGGCACTAATTCAAACAATTACAATTATTTCTGAGGCAATTTTTTTTTTTGTCTCTGACAATAAGAGACCAGTACATGAGAGATGGAAGCTGCGCAAGTACTGAAACACCAAAACAGAAACAAACCAATTTTAATTCCTTTCTGCAACAATTCTGCAAAAACGTTTTATTTCCATGTAAGCTTGGAACTAAATAATTAGCAGAAATTAGTTTGTGCGTGTTACCTCTTTGCTCAGTAGATTGAGAGTAAGCAGGTCCTATTATAACAACCACACATTGGTTGCACTGTGTGTGTACATTGTGTGGGAGTGTTGTTCCCCGATCATGATGGGAAATGTTTTTGTCCACAGACCCAGAGGTTAGGTATCGCAATAAAGACTTATTATTTTACTATTTTATCAGCCAGCTCAAACCTTAGAGCAGGGCGTGCAGACTAATGACCACCATCGAGCAGGTTGGATGTGTGCATTAACACCTTCCTGTGCTCATGACTATATTTGATCCTCTGTATTCTTCCTGCTAGCCTGCTCCCTCCTTCCCTCCCTCTCTGCTCCCAGTAGTTTGTTTGTTACTGTTTTAGTTTTACTCTTATATGTCTTGAGTCCTGTAGATTAGATTGTATTCATTGAAACCAACTATAAGTGTCAGTGTGCAGCTAAGTCTATTTCTGTTTTGTCACTCATTTTTTTTTCTTTAAATGGCTACATATTCTCATTCACGCTCTCACTCAGTAGGCTCTACCGGAATGACATTTGACATGTGTCGCCAAAGCACAATTACAATAATGTTAAAGAATGTTATTATTAGTAACACTCATACTATCTTAGTTCCTCTGTCACACACTGAGTTGTGTTTCTTTCGTTGTAGGTAATGGGTTGAACTCTCCACACAGTGGAGACAGAGACAGTCCAGCAGACAGACAGTCCACTATGCCCCCTTGTGTCCCCATACGGAAAGACAAGAAGGATGTTCCGGTAAGCACACTTGGCAATACAGCAGTGGGGTCAGGGGCCCCTCCAGAGATCTTTGAGGAAGCTCCAGTGTGGATGTTTTTGCTTCCAGTGAACGCCTTACTTAAATTATTAATAATAGACATAATGCTGAGGCACAGAGAAACAAAGTCAGGCACTAAAGCGGTGGGTCAGGGTGCCTGTTGTAAGAAAGGTTGGGATATAGGCAACAGCAAATAACAACGTCTACAGTGCATAGTGAAATAGTTTTTCCAGTTTTCTTACTGCAGCCAACAGTGCCCCCATATTCCAAAATATCCACCCACTGTGTTGTTCTGAAACTCAAAATTTGTCAAGTTTCAGAAAAGTTGGAAGGAAATTTTGCCATATGCAGGAATTGTCGTTGCTGTAACAGAAACTAAGGGATGCATATTTATGTTTACCTTTAGCTTCATTATTCCCTCCTTGTCAAATCGTGTCTCCCTAGGTAGTTTTCCCTTACAGTGTTACCAGAATCATTCATAATTCAGTGCTAACCGATTATATGTGTGTCTGTGCGTGTGTTTATCTGTCTGTCCTAGAAGCCAATCAGTAATGGCCTCCCTCCTACACCCAAAGTCCATGTAAGTAACAGTCTCTTTCTGCTCTCCTTTAGAAAACTGTTGTTGTGAGTTGTGTTGTGCCGAGAAACAACAATTGTATCACCTGCCTCGCTCAGTTGGTTTTCTCTATAGCAAGCCAGTGCAGCATTTAAACCAACCATTTGCATTGCATTTATTCGTCTCCTCCCATTCGCAGATGGGTGCGTGTTTCTCTAAGGTGTTCAATGGCTGTCCTTTGAAGATCCACTGTGCCACTTCCTGGATCAACCCTGACACCAGAGGTAACCAATAGGAAACCAGATACAGTGTTGAACATCTGTTTACAGGGTGATGAATGTGGCATTAGTTATCTTTAATCAAACCACCCTGATTCTTGAAGAAACGTTTCGGTGTTGTCTAATGTGAGCTGCTGCTTTGCTCTAAGAAGTGGTCAAATGTTTGTTTTTGTGTGCGTTTCAGACCAGTATTTGATATTCGGAGCTGAAGAGGGAATCTACACGTTAAACCTCAATGAACTGCATGAGACCTCGATGGAACAGGTGAGACAGAAGATTATGCTTTTTAAAATGTTTGAAAATGTGGTTTCAACCTTCTTTACACTTTGGTTTATACTTTCTTGCTGTTATGATGCCTTCCAGTGGTAGTCATATACTATATTGTATGATGTATTTATCTTTTTTCTTTCTTCAAATAGAAAACCCAAATTAAAAAAACTCAAAACATTCTTTGATGTGTGAAACTGTGACCAGTTATTTTAGCTAGTTGTGTAATGGTGCTGATTTGCTGCATGTCTCTCTACCTTTTATCTGCAGCTCTTTCCCCGGAGGTGTACCTGGCTATATGTCATGAACAATTGTCTTCTTTCCATATCTGGTGAGCTTTATACATGTCTGTGTGATGGAATTGTGTGATAAAAGTTGACTATGTAAATTGTTTTTTTCCTGTAACAGGTTTATACATCTAGTATCCAAAGTCAACATTATTCATTCTTTTCTTTTGGTCTTCTCTTTTCTTTTCTGTTCTCTTCTGTTTTATTCCCTTCCAGGAAAAGCCTCGCAGCTGTACTCCCATAGTCTGAGCGGTCTGTTCGAACAGGCCAGACAGTTACAGAAGTTACCAGTAGCCATTCCCACACACAAACTGCCTGATAAGATGATTCCCAGGTAACTCTGCAAACAGGATGTCAAACTTATTGGACATGAAATGATAAAGTTCTATTTCTTTTTGATCAACTGAATTGCAATCCTCCATTCCTGTTTACGCATCTGTCTTTAGTCATAGAAGATTTAAATAACTTTCAGTGAAAACGGAGCAATATGAAGAATCTGTGCAACGTGTTCTCACCAAAAAAAAAGCCTTTTTTATGTGACACTGATTTCCTTGTTTGTCTGTTTACAGGAAGTTTGCGGTGTCCAATAAAATTCCAGACACTAAAGGGTGCCAAAAGTGCTGCGTAGGTGAGTTTTAGAGAAGGAGGATTTTATATTTGTTGTGACTGGTAGTACTGCTTGTTTCATGGCTCTGCAATACTGCATGTTCAGGACTGACTTCTGTCACAATTAACTACATAAAAAAACTATTCTTTTCAAAACATGTAGAATATCACTGTTTGCACTTCATGTAAGTCTCATAAATAATTAAACTTCGGTAAGAACAGAACACTGTAAAATCACAAAATGTACTTATTTTTAAAAGATAAAAACATCTCACAGGGAATTACGAGTTTAATTCACACAAACAAAGCCATTACTATGTCTTACCAAGCTACAAAGTGACTGAAAACTGTTGTTTCCATGCAGTTCGTAACCCGTACACAGGCCATAAGTACCTGTGTGGAGCCTTTCAGTCTAGCGTCATGCTGTTGGAGTGGGTGGAGTCCATGCAGAAGTTTATGCTCATCAAGGTCAGTTTTTGCCCTTTAAAACGTCTCCTACGGACAGGACATGACACAAGACTCCGATGTTGGTCTAAAGTCTGTTTTCTAATGTTAAAAATTTTTTAAATGTTTAAATTTAAGCTCTAAAATTATTAAGATATCTTTAAATATAGTATTAAGCTATACTGTCAGTACTACTACCTCCTCCAAACTCAAGTACTACAGCCCTGATATGATGTGTTTTTCGGAGATCTAGATGCAGATGAACTTGGATGTTTTAATATATAACACCATTGCATTATCTCTTAAGCACTACACCCACTGCTGACTTCCTTTTTTGTGAGATATCAGCAGCGCCTTATCCTCTGAGATAACAGACAATACCAGGGCAACTTCCCTTTCTTTACCTACTGTTTCAACATCTACTCCACAGAACATCGACTTCCCGTTGCCGTGTCCATTGGAGGTCTTTGAGATGTTGGTGGTCCCGGAGCAGACCTACCCTCTGATCTGTGTAGCAGTCAGTAAAGGCACCGAACTCAACCAGGTGGTCCGGTTCGGCACCGTCAACCCCAACTCTACCTCCTCTTGGTTCACGGAAGCAGGTGAGAACAGTGTGACCAACTCTGTTATGGTAAAATAACACTGATGTAGTTGTGTACAGCATGGAGGCCAAACTAATGCTCTGCCCTGATCTTTGTCGGTGCAGACACACCCCAGACGTGTGTGATCCACGTCACTCAGCTAGAGAGAGACACTATCCTAGTCTGCCTCGACAGTGAGTAACACAGACTAATTTTTACACTGTGCAGCTTCAGCTACTTCATGTCAGAATAAAAACCAGAATTTCACTGACCTGCTTCCACTCTCTCCCCCATCTCTCCCTGTCTCTGTCTCTCTCTCTCTCTCTACAGGGTGTATAAAGATCGTGAACCTCCAGGGAAGGTTGAAATCCAGCAGGAAGTTGTCAGCCGAGCTCACCTTCAATTTCCAGATCGAATCCACAGGTAAAGTGAAAAAAACAGCCATATTTGCATATTTTAAGTCACAAAAGCATAACTCATGTCATGAATATGGAGAAGACTCAGGGACATGAAGAGAAACAATGAGGGGTAGTATTTCTTATAATTAAATGAATAAATGGATTGACATGCACGTCTTCTAGTGGATTTATACTATGTAAGCTTATCTGTCATTCATCGCGATAATACTTGTTCTTTTTTATCCTTGTTTCTTTGCAGTTTGTCTCCAAGACAGTGTTCTGGCCTTCTGGAGGCACGGCATGCAGGGACGGAGTTTCAAGACCAATGAGGTGAGATTGTGTGTGTGTGTGTGTGTTTGTGTGTGTGTGTGTGCGTGCGTGCGCGTGTGCGTGTGCACCAGTTTAGGAAGAAAATGCACAGTAGAGATGACCTTTGGAACATGTCACGAGGTTCACTTCCAGGCACCATGGCAGGATGTTATTTAATCTAAGACTATAATATGATTTTTGCTGCTGATTTCCAAAAATGCAAGTGGATTAATGGAGCATGGTATTAGATTAACAACGTAGGTAGATGTTGTAATATCACATGACATAGGGCAGCATTTTGATGACGCCATTGATCACCTATTTAATGTGATTTTCATGGTAGCAAACCTGAAATGAAAAGTCTTGCAGCTTGCCTAAATGATCTATTTTTACCATGATACATATACTGTATGTAGCGGTTTGTTAACAAGTGAAACCACATGCAAACAAGCATACAAATCTTGAATTTCCTGAATCAATTGTATTCGTGTTGACATTTAATGTAACTGTCAGTAATGGTCGTTTTGCTACAGGTTTGCACAAGTTTGTAGGTCTTTTTACATTGGGCTGCCTGTAATTATTGCCTGTATGACATGAACGTGCCACTTGGACCTAGACAGACTGGCTGAACTGGCCTAAACACTTTAGCACAGCTGTTTCAGCCACATTCACTTATTTGCCTCACTTATTTTTAAAGACCATGATCCACACATTTTGTTATGAACTTCAGACTTAATTGGATCAGTACCCCATCAATCAGAGCATCCATATTTTACCTGACCATGACACTTGAAATCACAGCATTTGGACTGGTGTCTCCTGGCGAGCCCTGACCTTGACTTTGTGCTTCTTTGTCCATTTTTCTCTCTTCCTCATGCGTTCATCAGATCACCCAGGAGATCTCTGACAGCACACGCATCTTCAGACTACTGGGATCAGACAGGTGAGATGGCACATACACACGCACACCCCAACACATACACACCTCCCCCTCACTTCATATACATTACACACACACACACACACACACACACACACACACACAAACTTAGAATGCTGTTAACATCCTCTCTGATATCTTCTCACTGAAGACGTGCCGACTGTAGAGATCCAGAGGCTGAGGACAGAGGCCTCGCTCTGCGCAGGTACACTTACTGCTCACTGGCAGCTGAAAACACTACCTCTTTCTGTCGGGACTCTCGAGGTCTGCTTTACGCCGGATGTCATAGATCAGGATCTTTAGGACTGTCTGAGAAATGGAGAGAGAGAGAGAGTGTGTGTGTGTGGAAATTTTGTGTAGAGCAAAGATTTGGGGAAATTTTACCTGTTAAGTCATGACAGCATAGACGCCAAAATCATCTTTGTCTGATTTGATGTTGCACGCTAACACTATGTGTAACTGAAGGTGGGAAAATTGCAATATCTAAACACTCAAATGAGAAGTTGTAGCAGCTTTTAATTCAAATACAGTCAGTTTTGTCAGGGATCAGTAAAACCTGCACAACATATATATTTTCTGAACTACAAAGAGTTACTTTTATATGGACTGGGTAATTTTGGCGTCTATTGTCCCATTACTGAGCAGTTGAGTCCCTTTTGAGTTATGATGTGTGAATGTGTGAGCCTTTGGGTCAAAATGGTATTAACAGCTTTCTCCCAGTTTTCCTCAGGGTAAACAGAGTGTACCTTGTTAAGAGCTTAGTGTCAGAGCAAGTCATCTCCCTCTGCTGCCTTTTTCCAAATAACAGGGCTTTTACAGGTTTGGACCATATCCTGTGTGGGTTGCAGGCTGTCTGCACATATTGCTATAATAAATCCTGGGTCTTTTACTGTGTTTTCACACTTTATATTCCTCAGTGTTGTATTTATTTTTGTCAGAAAAACTAATAACATGCTGAAGCAGGCTGGGCTGTTCTTTTATCTGGGATTTAAAGGTGAAATAAAGACTGAATCATGTATTGTTACCTTCCCTTGTAACTAACCTGGATTTTGTGTGTGTGTCTGTCTGTCTGTCTGTCTGTCTGTGTATGTGTGTGTGTGTGTGTCTGTGTGTGTGTGTCTTGCAGGGTGGTGGTGCTGGAAAGCAGGCCTACTGACAACCCTACAGCCCACAGCAATCTCTACATCCTGGCAGGCCATGAAAACAGCTACTGAGAGACATACACACACACACACACACACACACACACACACACACACAAACATATTCACACATAAACACACTCTCTGAACAGCCTACCACTAATGCAAACAAGGGAGTGAGCAGCCTGGAGACACACTCAGCCCAACCCTACTGCTAACCCACCCAACCTCCTGTCGGCCGTGTAACTGGGAGATGAGCCGTTTGTGGGTGCAGGTGTGGATTCCCAGTCGCAGACAATAAAAATGCACCGCAGTGTTACATGTGTATTAGTTTAGCGTGTTGTAGTAGGGCAGCGGGTTGCGGACCGAGGGGTTTAAAGTGCTGGTCTGAGGCCAGTTTGGGTTGAGATAGTCGGGGAATCGCGCGACTTGTACCTTCAGAACCCTTCCTAATTACCATTCCCCCCCCCCGCATACTGGGAAAACAATATCCAGCACAGAAGTCTGACTTCAACACTACTTCTACTACTAGTTCTACACATACTACTACTGCTACTGCTACTTGCGCTAAAGCTTCACAGAAGAGCCATCTTGCACAGAAAACCTTTCTCTCTTTCATCATCCTTTCCTCTTTCCTTTTCTCCCCCCCCCTTTTTTTTTTAACTACACCTTTATTTATTGTGGCATGATGTAACTTTAACAACCAGGATGGCTTTCCTATTTTATTTGTTTATTTTTTTTAAAGGATTTAAAAAAAAAAATAGAAAACAGACTAAAAAGCTTCGCCACCTCTGCTAGCATTGAATTCCTATACCTGTCACCACACCACACAAGTGCTTAATTGACCTCTATTTAATTGTTGTAAATATAAATGTAGTATTTTTTTGACAGAGACGAACACTAAAAGACTGGTCATGTAGATAGGCGTGTGTATAGTTGCTCTGTACAACTGTGGAGACGAACAGAGAGACGGACAGGCATGTAGGAGCAACGGGGCAGTAAACTCACCTACTAGTTCCCTGATTGTGTGACGAGGGTCAGGAAACAAAGACTCCTGCAGTCTCCTCAGGTGGACAGCTTTAGTAATCAGATATTACTCTAATAACAATCTGGAGCTCAGGATTGGACTGAGCAAACACAGGAAGCAGCACTGATTGGTAATTTAATTTTGCATGCATCACCATCAAAACTTCCTGCCTGTTTGCACCATAGCAACTGTCGTCAGGGCAGCAGACCTTACAAGTTCTGACATCATCATTTTAATTTTTTTTAACGCTATTTTAATCAGAAAGCTTCTTTTTTTTTTTGAACCACTGGTGTTAAAAATTTGCACAGAGAAAAAGGTATTTGACAAACAAATGTGATGTCATTATAATATATGACCTTGTGTGTATGCACAGTGTGTGTATGTGTATGTGTGTGTGTGTGTGTGTGTGTGTGTGTGTGTGTGTGTATGTATGTGTGTGCGTAGACATAGATTATGCATATACAAGTGCGTCATGTACAGATCTGGTCTTTAACAAGTGACGGTTGTGATTCAGCCCGAGGCCACTTTAAAAGGGCACCGACAGATATAAAAAAAAAAACAAGACAAAAGCTGGATTTACACAGAAGGAAAAATCAATTTATTTATGCAGTAGACATGGTATATTAGCCGTTAGCCATCATTTCTAGCGTTATATTGAACTTCTATGGAATTGCACATGTGTGAAGTTCAAAGAGTTTGTTAAAACCGTTAAAAACATAAAATTACTGAAATGGTTTGATACATTTTAATATGAATGATCTGGAACAATTTGAATCACAAGTGGTAGAAAACCCCTCCCGTATGGTACTCAAAACAAACACAAAAGAATTGTTTTAAAGTGCAGCTTGAAAAGTATCTATCAAGCTAGTACACGATCACAATAAAACTTATTCACTGTGTGGAATAAAATTAAGAGCTAAAGGTCCGACTCCCATTCTTAGCTAGCTTCTGTTCTACTGGCCTCTAAAACAAAATGGATAAAACAAGATGCTGGGTTGATAGGTGCATACTATTACTATGCTGGACACACTGAACACATTTCTAATGTTCTGTATGTATTGAATACATAAAATAACCCAAAGGTTTTGTTAACATTAAGCATACCTCGAGTGAAAAGTGCTGTCACAGTTGTTCAACACTAACAAAATAACCTGTTTTATCTTTAAAATAATGAGGTGCTCAAGTTTTGTTATCTAGATCATAAACCTAATTATGTGTTTCAGCTTTTTTTTTTAATGAATGCTACTAGAACAGAAGCTAGACCAGTAGTGGGGCGGGAAATTACATTTCTGTGTAAGTCCAAATGTCATTTAAGTCATATTTGGAGAACATCAGCCTTCATTGCTGTGACTTTTTTTAAAGGCCGACATCTGTACGAGAGATCACACTACATGCGTGTAGATTGTACACTGTGTGATGTGTTGGAGAGTCAACATGTGGCAGTACACTACCAGTCTTTACAAGCTGTGACACTAGAGGTTGCTTCAGAAAACGTGAACACTAGTTTAGCTGAACCTTACTGAGACACTATCACTAAGCCAGAGTTGTTACAGAGCTGAAACGTTTGGGGTTTCCTTTTCAAGGGGACCGGTTTCCAGAAGTCCGTTTCTTATTTTCTCCCCAGAAAGACACATATACATTTATGACTGAACCAACCAGCTACGAGAGTAACACAACGATAAAGTTAATGAACTGCTCTTTCCATGCAGCATTGGGTGACTTCATAAGATCAGTAATTTAACCTAAATATCATTAATATGAAAGAGAAGTGATTATCAATATTGTAACAGTAATGTGGTGTTTTATAAGAATTTGGTAACAACCTGATTTATGATGGACAAAAACTGCTGCCATCTAGTGACCCCTACCCCTAACCCAAAGTGATCCAACACTGGACTATAATGCAGTGTTATGTATACATACTGAAGATCATACTAATGCATCATCAGCCTGTAACAATAAAGCTGAGGTCCAAATGACACAATAGGAACAGGAACCATTACACTATTGTCCTTTTTACAATGTTAAGTCTAGCTAAATGGAACAATTATTATTGGATGACAACATTTCAGCTCTGTATATAGGCACTGTCACTGAAAATGTGGTTGCAAAAGGGACGTCGCCCTGTTAGGGGACAATTTAAGCAAAGAATGTAACGGCTTTCTGTTCCTCCTTGATCTCTTATCACCCCTTTGATTACCCATCCACTTCCACCTTCAACAGAAAGTCGATTTGTCATAAACTCAACATTTTTTTTGTCACTGTACCATCATGGCAGCATGTCCCTCCTCCAAACATTCAGCGGTCGGAGTCACACCAATGCCCCTGTACACTATTTCACAATATTTTAATGCATTATTCGTGGACGAACAGACATAAACTTTTACTTGATTCCAGCTCCTGATGCTTTATTGCGCTGTTGTGGTGAAATATCTAAATTTAGCATAGTCTAGTTAAGTGTAGAGAGCTTGAATCCACTTTGAGGATATAAATTATTCATCTACTTCTTTCGCCTGTGCACACTTGTATAAAATGCCCACAAAGTGTTGCTTTGCACCTGGAATACAAATGGCAGAAATATGAAATATTTCAAGACTTAACAACTACACTTAATTGCCATGTAGTAAGTTTGGTGTGTCCCTGATGCGGTGCCCTTCGTAGGGCTCTAATGTCTGTAATTTAACCACAAATCAGCCATAAAAGAAATAAATATCATATCAGTTTAACTCTGCTCTCAACAGATGGGTTTGATCCACTTTCAGGGCCAGACATTTGCTCAAACCAGAAATGAAACTGCTTAAAACTGCAATTTGTGACCTTTTACCGTTTCACAGTTTATATGTTTGAACCAGGAACTTTTCTCTCAAAAAGCTTTTACAATCAAAAGCATTAAAATGCATTAGCACTGTTTGGAATTGCCTTGGAAGTGAATCAATACCCCAGATGAGCTCTTTAGCCACGATCATACTAATACATGCGCTTCTAGCCAACACCTATTAATCAAGACGTGTCATAGTTTCAGGGCTGCAACCAAGTTTTATTCACACAGGTTATTTAGCAAAAATATTTTCCTTTTATTCAGTGTTGTTAAATGTGAGTTCTCGGAGTGTACTAAATAGCCTCACACTGACATCATCAGCCATTAAAGCTAATTAATCACTTCATATTTAGGCTCATTTCATTCGATTTGATTGATTCCTTACTATTCGATTTAAAATATCATTGAATGTCAGCAGCCCTGCGTAACATCATATATTTGGAAAAAATGTATCACCTATTCCTTCACATAAGGGTTCGGTTGATGTCAAAAAACATATATTTTACATTTTTATTAAAATGCCAAAATATGTTTCAGTTTTTATGGCCAAATTTAGTCTACCTCGTGGTATGTCCTACATGACAAAAACAATATGTCTGATTCAAAAGACAGCCATCAACAGCATATAAGGTTAGTGTTCAAACAAAACGTGTTCTCTCTGAGTCTCTAAAATGTCTTTGTCTTCTCAGTGGACGTATGTAAATGAACAAAAGTTGAGAAATAGAAGTTACTAAAAAGCTGACAAAGTGAATGAGAGATTCCAATGAAGATCTTTTTTTTTTTTTTTAAGGTTTTCTTTGTTTCCTAAAATCCCCAATTTCTTTGAATTTATTTAGAATTTTGAGATCTCAAGCCTAAGAAGAAAAGAAAAAAAACTCATCCTGTATCATAGCCGCACATCTAAAGTCTTGGCATTCATTTAGTCGAAACAGACCAGTCCTAAAATCTCATACCATTTTTTTTCTGTGGGGTTCATAACTTTTAATTTTGGTGAAACTGTCCCTTTTTCCGAACAATAACACAAGTTTCTGTGTGGTTGAATGATGCTTTGATGATAAATTCTGCTGTCATAGATACAAGCTTGATCTATAATCCCCTAAAGCTGGTGCCAACAAGGCCTTCCGTTGTGGGTTTTTGCTGAAATGTTTGTGTTTTATAACGTCAACTACTCATGGGTCAAATCACGTGTGAAAATAATTATTTTTAAATGATGTGAGCACCAGATATGTGGATTATCTGAATAAGACAGTCACAGAAAATAATACTCAATTGGCATTAAGATCATTTTCCTGGGATTGCCTGTTCTTTTTGGCATCATGTGGTAATCCCCATCTATCTGGTGCTCCAAGCTAATTAAAGTAGATACAGATGAGTTACTGTTTGATCCCAGGACTCTTCCCAATATAAAACAAAACACAATAAGTCTCCTCTGTTCTGTCATTATTACATCACCTTTGTCTTTTGTTTTCATAATGCAATGCACACGTTATGAAATGTATATAGTGTAAAATAAAAATGGGTTTGTTTTACATACTGTATAATTGCCTATATTTTGGTTCAGAAGTGTAACAGATTTATGAGATGACAGGTTAACACATTAAAAAGAAGGAACTGAGCCATTTGGTGTCTTGTGGTGGTCATTTCTGATAAGACTTTGTCATGGAAGACATTTTAAAATGTCACATTGAAAGTAAGGGAAGTAGGAAGGAAGTATAAATTATAAAATTGATGATGGCTGAATTACAGTTAGGCACTTTGGTTTCAGGGTCCTGCTGCTGTGCACAGTGGCTCACTGTCACTGCACTGGAAAACCTGAGTCGAACAGAGCCTTCGTTAATATTATCACAACCTATGTGCCTCTAACTACAGAATCCGTAATTATTACTAAAGAAGGCAATATCTGAAGAAATTGTGGGTATGAATGCTGGTTGTTGGAAAGCAGATGCTGAACTGCATTGCTGGCTTTAAAAATAAATGAAATTGTGGAATATTTTTGAACTGAATTGTCAGCTTTAGTTTGTATGGAGAAGCGGCAAGGAGTATAAATAATGAACGGCAACTGAACCGCATTGCTTTAATAAGGGCTGGGTAGAAGTAGCTAGTAGCCAACATCAGCCAAGAGGGCACGTATAGAGTCTGGGGCAAAAGAGCAGGGGCCAAAACCCCCTTTAGGGTCTACAAGTACGTGCCAGCCCTGATGCTCTTGATGATCATTCTTCTTCCTCTAAAAGCAAAAGAAGCTCTCACATTGAAAAGTCGCACCTGCTCGTCTGCACTCTGCCTTCTCTTCCTTTGTCTTTGGAAGAACAGTTTTCCCTGAAATCGTTTAACCAAATATATAAGGGCAAGGACCCCTGCCATTATGAATATTATTCAGACTTCCCTAAACTAAAGATTTAACCTATGGTGTTGTTAGGCACCAAGCAGCAAAGGCAGGGACACAAGGTTAATTTTGGAGAAGTTAAGGCTTTATTTAGCCAAATCAAACATTCAGTCAGTACAGCATAAAAAAAGAATGAGCAGCCTGATAAATGTGAGTGAGTTACAATGCAGTTTCATGAGTCTTATTTACTGATGGATGGGATGGGAGACTGGAACCTTGAAACAATTAATCTGATTCATTTTTGATTTATCTGGAATGATAACAACTTATTTGTAACATACTTGGATAACATATATCCAATATCCAAGAGAAGTCATTTTTCATTTATATATAGCCCAAAAATACAAAAGTATCCCAAAGGGGAGTCTTTTTTTATTTTAATCTTGTCCTATTTTAATAACCCAGTAATTCAGGAAAAAGGACACCATCTGACCAACATAACACATTTTCAGTGTTAACCTTTTATTTAACATTATTGTCTGATTGTCACATTCATCTCTTAACAACAGTTCTGTTGAATGCATAGAAATAATTGTCAAACATGTACTGTTTTGCCTTTAAACAAAAACAAATTCAAACAAAAAAAAAAAAAACAGTTTGTTTCTTCTCCTGAGTAAATGCACAATATAATAATTTCTGCGTATGGCTTAAGAGTGAGTGTCAGAGCCTGTTGAATTGGTGGAAGAGTTAAATCTAGGAACAGTACTCAGTCAGTTGTTGTTTCCCATACTGAAAAACAAACAGGGGACCACCTGCCAATATCAAACTATAAACAATTAAAAAAAGGTTTGCACAGATTGGGGTGCAATCAAAACCCCTTTAAAAAGGACAAAAGGAAAAGTAAAGGAGTTAGTTATCTGAATAACATTTAGAAACTGGAGGTAGAGGAGAGCTATTTACAGTCTGGGGATAATAGTGTCAAACTATGTCTACTAGTGGTGAAGTTTGTAACCACATCTTCATTGGCAAAAAGTTCAATTTGGTCCATAACTGCAGTCACATTTAATTGAAAAAACAATAATTAATTAACTTAACTGCCACTATAGCCACATTGCTACCTTTATCTCCTGTGCCATTTTGGTTTGAGCAAGTGATGCAAGTAAGACTGACAAAATAACAGAACATGAGCAAGAATTCAACAAACAAAACAAACAAAAGGCATACACCTATGCCAAGTGCTTTCCCTCAGTATGAAGGCCAGGGGCAGGAATTTGTCTTTCAAATAAAAATAGCTTTTAAACTTAACTTTAAAATTATTAGAGGAATCGTTGCTTAGCTAAATAGCTTATACCTATACAGCATTTATATAGCAGTTGTAAATGTAAAAAAACAACCTCATATTGTACTTCTTCACTTTGTATGTGTGTTTAAACATGCACGTATTACATTTTATATTTGATCAGTGTGTGACTGTTGTGACTGGTGTGTGTGATAAAGAGGAGTTCATACAGCTGTGCCGCGGTTTATCTCCACATGTACCAATTTGGGATTTTTCCCCGACGTCTCCTGTTCGCCATTTTGGTTTTCTGCTGTTTTCTCACCTCCCTTTTCTTTCTTCTCATCACCACTCCTGTTAAAAAGAAAGAGCAGGGGTACATTTATTAGAGTAGTAGTATTTTTAGTAGGTTTTTCAAAAAATTGAGGCATTTTCCATAACCTTTGATGCAAAAAGTTGCTGCTTTTGAAGGGAGGACATTGCTTTGTGGCTTTATCGACATGTAAGTGGTGTGTTTCTTTCATTCCTGTCTTCTTTGTATCATCTCCCAAGAATCCTTGAGGCAACTAATTTGCTTTCTTTCGGTTAAATCAGCTCTAATATGCATATTAATGTGCATATTTTTATGTTACATTATCATTCTTACTTCTTCTTGAAGAGTTTCTTGAATGAGCTCCTGAAGCCTCCTTTGTCTTGCTTCCGACTCCTCTCGCTGAAGGGTGTGTGGTTATTCTCCTCTGTCCCGCCCCTCCACTTTGACTCGTCTCCCCATGATTGGAACCCGGAGTCCTGGTGGGGTTGAACACAATAATACATTTACTTGCTAATAGTGTTTCTGTCTCCAGATGACCATGATGGCCATGTATACAACAGAGAAATGGATCAAAAGAACTGTTCGATTTTAAATGTTGCTGTTTGGTTTAAACAGAAATTAGGGAAAAGGATCTGTCTGTGTCTAACGTGAAATTCTTATTTTCTTGTTGTGACAATCAGCCGAATTTGTGGTACGCCAAGGTGTCTCTGAACAAGAAAGTGATTCCTTACCAGTCTGGGTAAGAGTGTCAGAACCTGATAAAAATGTTGATTGGTACCGACAGATTTCATGTAGACATTTTCATTTGTTTACATCTTTGCTGAAACCCACAATGCTGAGTAGCCCGTGAAGATCATCGCTCTGTTTGTCAGTATCCACTCTGTTCCCCAGGGGGCTGTGGACCTTACGGGATGGGGTGGGACACCCTTTGCTGCCCTTACTGCCCTGGCGCTCAAGCTTGGCATGGCTGCCCAGTCCCACCCTATGGAGGTGGTCTGATAGAGGACCATCGTTCAGACCACTCACTGTGTTGTCCATCTGCAGGCCATTCAGGGACTAGACAGTAGAGAAGACAAACATGATGTTGATTTGTTTGACAGCTGTAAAATTTATTAAATAATTTTTATGCATACATAAGCATAAAACAAGCTCACCTTGCTCTTGCGCTGGCTAGCCTGAAGGGGGCGATGCTGATTGCGGCGCATCATTACAGCTTCATCCGGAGACACGCACCCTCGGTTGGGCAGTTTGCTGTAACCATTTCCATGGCTTCCACCATTGCCGAAGACATCACGGGTTGTTGACACATTTGCTGCCACTGCATGATGTGATGCTGAGGGCGCTTTGGGGCACTTCACGAAGGCAATGTCAATGGAGGAATCTGAGGAAGCAGAGGAGCAGCGGTCGAACATGGAGACATCATGAAACGAGCCTCCGTCCTCTTCATAGAGACTCTCCATCCCTGGGGGGTCTGGAGGGAGAAGGAACTCTCCGAGGGCATCAGCCAGAGCAGAGCCCGGTTGAACCTGACGGAACTCTGCAGGTCTGGAGGGCAGATGATGCTGGCACGAGATGGACCTATCAGATGCCTCACTCTCTGGGATACTGCCGAGACCTAAAAGCCAAAGGTTGGATTGACTGGTTAACTGATGGGGGCAATTGTCCCAAAAGAATTTAAGTGACATGGGATGCACGCCTGTGTCTGCCAAGAGACGACGATCATACCAGCTCTGGGTGTGCTAGGGTTCAGTATGCTTCAAACCAAGTAGTTTAAATCAAGTGTCCTCCTAAGAGGTCTAAAGGTACAAGTGTTCCAAATGGCCACACTCAAATGCTGGGCGAAAAGCTTGCTTTCAAAAAGAAGTTTCGATGCCCAAAGTATAATGTCTAATCAATAAACCACACAAACATCATCCATTACAATAATCAGAAGATTCTGTGACCACAAACCTGCTGGCTTGTGGTTCCGTGGGTCCAGTTCGGGGCTGAAGAATGGGAGCTGGGTGGGCCACTCTGTGTCGTAACAATGAGTTTCTGGTTCTTGGTCCCGATCCCAATCCTGCAAACGATGAGACTGGATCTGCTCCAGTAGACGCTGCTTGCTCCGCTTCACCTGGTTAGCATGCTCTCTGTGAGGGAAGGATCATTCATTCATCAACCCTGTTCCCAGCAGCAGCAGGCAGCTTTGTACAAGGTCTCATAAACCCAATGTGTGTTAAGTGTTAAGAATGTAAAAATACTCACAGCATAGCACTGCTGTAAGGGTATGGTGAACCAATGTTGTTAGCTTGAATCCCGCTCTCCACTGTCTTTAACAGCTGTTTCATGGTAGATCTGCAACAGAGAACACTGCTTTACCGCACTCTGTCAGGTTGCGACTGTAAGAAAATGTCTTGATTGAACTCTTAAACATGCGTTTAATGTTGTTTTTTGTAGTTTGGTAATCCTAACCTTTTCACCTCCTTGCGGTTGTGCAGCAGTAGCTCCTGGTTGTGCTGGAGGAGGTGGTGGTATTGAGCCATGAAGGACCTGAACTGCTGGATGCACACCAGCAGTAGGTAGTAGTCTGGGTGTTCTGCCTCTGTCTGCCTCAGCAGCCCCTGCACACACACAGAGATAAATATCTTATTTATGTTCACACATCTTTGAGCAGACGCTGTCTTCAGAGTGATTAGCATTAATGAGATAATAAACAGATTTTTGTTTCTGCTCTATAATGATGTTTCTTTCTTTATGTATCATCTAAATTTGTAATATTTGGTTGTTGATTTTTTTTATTCTATTATTTTCTACTGTATGGCATTTCAAAGTTATGCCAGTGTGTAACATTTGGGAGGCTCTATTAGCAGAAATGGAATCTAATATAAATATGTATGTTAGTGGCAATAAGAATCATTGCTTTTTCATTGCCTTAGAATGGGCCGTTTTTATCCAATGACACATGGCTCTAGAGAGGGCCGTGCTAGAGGTGGGCATTTCACAGCCACCGTAGTTTCTCCCTCTGGCTTGGAAGAGGATCTACAACTACACCACTAGATGCCACTAAATCCCCCACACTGGTCCTTTAAATGGATATCATTATGTATATTGCTTAAAGTGTGTGTTAATCTAACCTGTAGCAGCAACAGGTACTCAGGGATCCTCTGAACCGGCTGAAGGAGCAGAGTGTGGAGGGAAGGTTTGGATTCGTCACCTGTTATGTCACTCTGATAGAAGCACCATGTGGCCAGTCAGAGCAAAAGGGCAGTAAAGATAATCCAATCAGGATGGAAGGACAAAACCAGTTAGTACAACAGGTTTAAGTAATGTGACTTTATTAAGCTGTGTCTGTAGCTATTGTACACAAACAGGGCTTGAAATTCACTTGCCAAAAGTGGCAACTATATTTAAGAGTCCAACCACGAGGTTCATCAGCTTTGTCTTAGAATGACAGGTATGCTGATGTAGCAGTTTTAACAAATTATCGTATCATGCTTTTAGAAATCTTCTTGTCATTGCCTTTACTCAGTATCACATCCCCCCTGTCTGCCCTGTAGTGTAACATTCTCTAATGCTATACATTATCAGCATTATCATTATCCCATGTTAGCCTTATCCTTTCATGTCACATCATAGCAGTCGGTGACATCACTTCTGTTTGTGTTACCTCCAGGAAGGCAGAAGATTTCATGGAGCTGGAGGCAAGCATGGTGATGACTGACAGACAGTCTGGAAGCTCCTTCAGGTACGACACATAAAAGTCCAAGAAATCGCTCTGTAGGGAGAAAGAGAGGGATGCTGTCTGGATGTGCATGTGTTCACCCTTTCACTGTCAGTCTGTTGTCAGTAATAAGACCTTAGCAGGTCATGTGCAGGTGTGAGGATAAACCTGCCTTTATTTTTCTAAATAGGTAGCTGTTCCTACCAATTACTGCATTTCCTCCTATTCACTCAGAACCAATCAGCCACATATTGACTTTAATAGAATAGACTCATTAGCTTCAGTGTATTGTGTCTGCTTTTGGCTTTCAGTTTTGCACAGTCCTAACGTTACAAAACGTGATAGACAATTTAAAGACTTTAAATTGTGGCCAATTGAATTCCTAATTTAGTCTGACAGGAAGTCGCATCAAAGTCCTGAAGTGCACTTCAGGCTTTTATAGAAATTACCTTTTTTTATTTTGTACATAATAAAAATGCATATTTATATATTAAAAAAAATTACATTTGCATCATCTATAGAATACCTGTGTGTGAGGGGGGGTTGGGGAATCACTGTTGTCTTTGTACTACATCTGTATTCCAGCTCCCAACATGGCTTCGCTGGAATTTGACATTTCATTTAATTTCCGTCATGGCTGCCAAAGTGATTCAGATTCATTATAAATGGCCAGTCACAAGACCAAACCTTTTGACCCCTCCACATTAACTAGCCTGGAACAGCACTGTGCATTGTGAATGTCAAGCTTGTGATTTACAAGTGAGTAAACTGGCGGTACGCATCTTTTGTACACTATCCACAGGAGTACCAGATATATCCAGATATATTTGGTGCTGATTTAACTCTATGCTCTTTTTTGTTACATTGAATTAAATTATACTAAAATATTCTTTAAATATTTTGTCCACAGTGACCTAAATATTACCCAAAAAAGTGAGAAATTTAGTTTACTGGTTAAATTGACACCTTCCTTTAAAAACAAATGCTACTGTAACACTAATTTCCAGCAGGTGGCACAGGTGTCAAGGTTATAGACGTATTTACTTTACTTGCCAGTAGATGGCGCATATCGACGCATCTACATTTACAGAAATATCGGGGGTCTGGTGAAGTGCTTCCACATTATGTGGCATTAGTGAACACTTAACACCTAAAAATGAGTGCTAATTATTGTTGGATGAATCCATTGTCAGGTAGAAAAGGAAAATAAGTATCACAGAGTAGTTTAAATTTGCCAGAAACCCAAGCTAGCACAAGCATCTTTATGGGCTACAGTCTTTACAATTAAGTGAAAGACATGCAGTAAAATGCGCAGTAGTTTATACAAATTACTCTGTGGATTACAGTTCTGTGTTTGTGGGTTACCTCTTTGCTGGTGAGCCTCATAAACACATCTCCCATGAGGCCTTGCCACTGGGACTTGAGCACACGTTCCTGGAGCGTATGGAGAAGCTCAAGGTGCTGCTGGATCAGGAACCTCAGAGAGCTGGGAAATGGACTAAAGACAGAGAGAAAGAGAAGCTGAGAGGGTGCAGACTGATTACTTTGTTGTATTAATATGGAACAATTGAAGACATAACAGTATTAAAAACAGAATGAAACATGTTCTTCTCTTACAGATCAATCATATAAATCATATATAATCATACAAAGCACATGTTAATGGAGACACGTTGTTTTGTAAACATCCTTCATTTGTTGTAATATACTAAATATTCTGACAGTCTTATGTGACAGACATCTGGCAGCAGGTAAATCAGGTTAAAACAAATGCAATCATTTACAAATACCATTTATCCCAGTCCACCATTTGCACCTTTCCATTACTGCTGTTGGTCATTGGGAACACATGTGATGAAGCAAAGCAGTGATTCCATTAGCAGGCTGTGGAGAGTCTTTTTAAAAGAGTATCCTCTCTGTCTCACTGGTGTTTATAACCTGCTTTTATTTGATTAGTTTATTTCCTGTTCTCCCCACACTGTGAGCTCTCAAATTAGATCAGTAGCCACTCCTGGAATAAAATCTGGATGTTGGTCTGTGTGTGTGTGTGTGTGTGTGTGTGTGGATAAGAGTGAGAGGTAAAGAGACAAAATTACTGCAGTCTGTGATATTTATTGAGCTCATGTCTCGTAATATATCAGAGTGCTCTTTTCCACATCAGATAAAGTTGGGGATGTCTGGGTCATTCTGCGTTTACATAGGTTGTGTGTGTGTACTTAAATGTATATGTGGTTTAAGTAAGTCATTTTTTGCAGAGACTCCTCTTCATTAAATTACCTTCAATTTCCATAATGGCTTTTAATGTTTTTGATGCCCATGTAAGATTTCGGGGGAGAAACTGACTCTTTGAAACTCAGTTGTCTCTCTGCGTGTCCACAGACTTACCGTTTGTCCTTGGAAGTAAGAGCTTCTGACCCATTAAAGGAGATGTTGGCTTTCAGTAACAGAGACAGGTGGGACACATAAACTCTCTCTGACTCCAGAAGCTCCAGAGCCACTCTCTGTCTCTTATCTGCACACACAGAGAAACACATACATTTCAACTATTTTGAATTATATATGTCATATTCTCTTCCTCTTTCTTGCCTTCTGGCCCGACATCAAGTGTTGCTCAGCAGTGAACTGAACTTGCCCCCTTCTGCTATTGGCTGGTCTGGGGAGCCTGGTGGGGATGCTAACTATAAAGTGGCATCACCTGGTATCAGAGACCAGCCAACAGCAGATGCCAAGTTCAGTTTTACTTCTACGGGTCTTGTGATATAGCCTGTGGACTGTGCCCCTCTGTATTGACCAAAACTATTTATTTGCCAGATACAGGAATTGATTCATTCACTCATTCATTCATTCAGTAGTCTTATATATCGGTTCAAATTAAAGGAAAAGTTTGACCAGCTCTGACATTGTGTGTTTAGTCTGTACAAAAAAAGTTTGTGGTTTTATATTTTTTTTCTTGGCAGGTGTAGTGACAAACACTCCAAGAGCAAGATATAATGTGTTTATTTGTGAGCTTTACATGAGGTAGTGGATAGATATTGCTACCTTTGCACAGAGCCAGGCTTGCTACTTCCCCCTGTTTCTAGTCTTTATGCTAAGCTAAGACAAATTATGACTTGTTCTCAGACAGAAATCTACAAAATGGATTTTATTCTTTATCAAATTATAAATTATATATATCCAATATCTTTCATCTTGCCAATTTTAATCTTCACATAGGCCAATATGTACATGATTCAACTGTCTCACAATATATATTTTTACATTCCTGGTAATAGAAGTGCAGCAGTCGTGTTATTAACACATATACTGTATCTCTTACTGTTCTCAGTTGGACTGTTGGGTGTCTCTGTGTCGTCTCTGCTGTTCTTCCTATCTCCCCACCCTGGAGATTTGGATGGACAACCTCTCTGCTGCTGCTGAGCCTCCTGCTCAGAGGTAGAGTCTGCGACATACACACACACACACACACACACACACACACACACACACACACACACACACACACAAATGTGAGTAAATGGCTCTCGTAGGCCTGTCAGTTTTCTTTTAGTTTAGCGGGTAGATGTGATAGACTCACTCTGTGTCGACGTGTTGCTCCTCTGTGGTGACCCGCTATGTGGCAGACTGGAAAAGAAGTGTTGAATAACACTAAGGTCTGACTGGCTGGGCACACAGATGTGTTCATCCCCTGATGCCGATAGCACATCTGCCTTGGAGCTCTTTCTGCTTTTGGACCAATCAGCAAGATAAGAACAACTTATTTGCCAAGTTACACAACACAGCCTATCTTTGTGCAGCCCTGCCAATAAGCAATTGTTTAGGGAAATCAAAAGCAACTTTGTAATCTGTGGCTTGCTCAGTGGTGCTTTAATGGCATTAGTAGGCATTCTAGAGGTGAGATTAAACTGTAATGATCTGTCTCTACAGATATAGATACTCAATAAACAGCAAGTAAATGAAGAGAGTGCAAAAGGGACACATTCAATATAATTCAAATGTATCTTGTTGGATGAAACTGCATCTACAGTATCTTTATTACGTATTTTCAACCCTACCTGTGTGGAACAGAGATGATGTCTTTGGTGTTTTCTGACTGCAACAGTTCTGCCCTCTTCTGCACCTCTCTCTGTCTGTGGGACACATCCTTTATGTGAAACAACGCCACATTCAGCTCCTCCTGCAAGCAGATAATAACAAGGAACTGCATTAATGTCACTGCTATAAACTGACAGTGTCTGTGCTGCACTGTGAGCCGCCAGATCAGATTTGGAGGGAAAAACCTGCAAAGTTTGCTTTGGGGCACTAGAGCTAAAGCTTTTATAGTTTTGTGATGTCAGATGGTGGAATAAATATTGGGGAAAATGATAAAAAATGACTAGATTCATAGAAATGTATCGTAAATGTAATGTAAGAAAATCGATTTGGACATATTTTAAGCAACTTTTACAACAACATTTAATTTGTTACAGCCAGAAAGTGAGGAACATCTGATGGAAATAAAAGTCATTGTTAGACCTGTAATGGTATTTTTTAAACATTCATAGTGGTACTCGGTACACAAATGTAAGTACTTGTATTTGGTCCTATACAAAAGAGTGTGTGCAGATCCAGCATCTGAAAGTAAAAACCTCATGACAGCACATTATGTTATGAGTAAAAAAAAACCTTTAACAGCTTGATAAAGTTGATGCATTTGTGTCTGTGCAGATAAATGTAATAAACACCAAGATCTTACAACATGTGCTGCATACAAGATGTATTGATGTCAGTATATCGTCTACTGTTGCAGGGTGAGTGTTTGAAGGAGTTGCCTTCCTATCTAATAAATGAAATTAGTTTACAGTTTCGAGTTCCAGTCAGATGTTCTAAATTATGTTACAGAGGCCTCTCCACCTCACCAAGAATAGACTCTGTGTATGTATGCGTGTGTGTGTGTGTGTGTGTGTGTGTGTGTGTGTGTGTGTGTGTGTGTGTGTGTGTGTGTGTGTTTTTCACTGCATAGCGTCTCCAGCACCTTGAAAGTGTTGAGGGAGTTCTTGAGGCCCATTATCTTATCATCCACGTCAGTCTGATGGGCCTGGAGTTTCTCCTCCAGGCCGTGGTCCCTTTGACGCAGCTCACACAGCTCCGTCAGGGCAGTATGAAGCCCCTCGCGCAGCTCAGCCACCAGGCCCTGCAGCTGCATCACGAGAAGCGATGGGAATACATTATGTTTTCAGTAGGGTGTTTCGGGGGTGTTCAGTGCTCAAGATGTTCTGATGTTTCTTCTTTGATGTTTTTCAGTTCATTTACTGTAGCGAGTAGATTTAATTATTTACCCCTCGTTTTCTTTATTGCCGTGAGTCGTTTTCTGTCACGTTTCATGTTTTTTTCTAAAACTTTTTGGTGTTTTGGTGGTCTTCATTTGGGTCTTCTATATCTGAGAATATTTACTTTCAACAGCCCATCCTCATCTAATTTTACTCTCCTCTCTTTGCCCCCTCAGCATCCTTATTTCTTACATACAGTCCTTTTTTTTTAACAAAAGTAATTTTCTCATTTTTTCCTTAAAAATATCCTATAAGTTAGTTTATGTGCCTTCCTTCTTCTCTGCAGTTAGCCTTAGTTTTCATTCATAGCTGATTGAATTTATTCAGCAGGGATAACTGAATCAGCTGATGGGAACATAACATGGGTCGAAGCAGCTCTCACTCGTCCAATCTTTCCATCTATCTCTTGCTCTCTTTCTCTCAGTCATGTGAAAGGCATCAGACAGCAGACTGAATAGAGCATCTGTCCTATTTGCCTTCACCCCTTCTTCCCTTCTGATGCTATCAGCGGTTAGCAGTGCTGTACTGTACCTCTTCACACATGGGTGTTTAAAGATGCACTACAGTATGAATTCCTCATAAATCTCATTATTTAATTATATCAATAGCAAGTTTAGCCCATTTTTGCTATTGTAAGTATATAACAGTGTAACGTAACGTGAGTAGTATGGGAACTTGGTGAGACCCATTCAGAAACTCAGTTTGAAAAGAATAATATTTTAGTTTTGTGAGTTGGAAGCAACCCTTCGGGACAGCTAATGTGTTCAACATAAGCCTAGCCTCCAGGCTAAAAGGCCAATATTTACTATGCTAATTTACATCAGGTCAAGTGAGTAGGAATGCACTCACACAGTGCTTTTGCCTGAAAAAGTCATGTAAACATCTTGACTAAAATAATTTGTTAGTACACAGTTAATCTAGTACATGCAGTTCTGCTCCTCTGTGTTCTGCCATGAACAGATATGGACTCTTCAAAGGTCATGAGACCTAGTGCAAATTTAAATTCAAGTGACACGAAACAATTCTTCATGCACAATATCGCACACACTATAACACATGCATTATGGTTAGAGGAGCTTGGACACTGCGTCATGTTACTCTCAAGCTGAGCAAGGACTGTGTGGCTTTGCTTTATAGTATATAATAATAATAATAAAACACACTTGCAACACCTTTCGAAGCTCAATACTGATTTATAACAGAAACTGTCAATATGAGCACAGAAGGAAGAGGCCAATTATTTTTATCAAATATAAATAAAGAAACCTGACGCACAGTGTGTCTAAATATAAAAAAATATAGGTAGTGAATACTGAACTGCAGGATAGCATTTCTACTCTCCCGTTCAAAAACAGAACTGTTTGACATCTGACCTTTCTGTGACTTATGACCCTAAAGTTTTCTTGAGATCTTGAGAAGATTACATATTATATGGTCAAGACATAAAGGTTTTCCATGAAGAATTGAAGAGTAAATGTCATTGGACTGGCTAGCAGCAGGTTAAGAGCACAGTGGGTTCAGTAAGAGCAGCTGACACAAAAACAAATATAGACATAACACATAAAGGTTTATCCCTCTGCTACTGACAGATGGATTGTTACTCAAACATATTATGAACCTCCAGTTAGTTTGCAAACTCTGTCAGCTGTATCCAAACTGGTTGATTAAATAATGACAGTCAATGGCAATATGTTTTTTAAATTCACCCTCTTATGAGGTGTAAGCCAAAATGTTACTCCAGTTGTGTGGAAGAGTTCTTGTTTACCTGAGCAATCTCTAGGCTAGCCTCCTCCACATTTTCTTCTTTATCTGAAAGGAAAATAAAACAAAACAATAAACCTCAGTTAGCCACCCACACAGGCAACACTTCACTTTTGTGAAAATTGTTGATTCCACTGATGACTTCACTAACAGTCATGGAAAAACATGAATGGATGACCTATTCATACCTTGGATAATAATGTGTTCAAACATAGAAGTGGAAAAAATGTCACTTGACATTTCATTGGCTTGAATGTCATCAGAGGTGGAAAACTTTATTCAATTTCAGTCAACCACCACATACACTCTAGTTTTAATAAAAAACTGCAGGTTCCACACATAATTCATAGACTCTTTTGTTTGCAGTGAATACATTTATGTAAAACTAACAGTTAAATTGTGAAAAAGTTTTTCACACACAGGATAGCTTTCACAAACTCTTGGTTGATAAACCTTCTCAATTCAAGGAACACATATTTCAAATTCAACCAAAAACATTATGAATCATATGAGTCATTTGGCACAAATTTAAACATTTTCTTTTTCGAGTTACCAACATCAAAGAAAGGTATTTATAAGCACCTTCATGAGACAGCACTAAGCTGAACTACAACGTTGTCCAAGACCAAAATATGTTTCCATCTATTCCAAACATTCCCATACAGTATTACCATCCCTGCAATACATTATATTCATGGTGTTAAAGGTAACATTCATGGTTTAGATTTTTTTCAAAACTGAATAATTTATTTGTGAATAAGTCTTTGTGATGGAGGGTGTGTGTGTCTGTGTTTGATGTATTAGAGGTAAAAGCACTTGCACTATAGAAATCAGTGTTTTATGTTTAAGAGTGCTTCAGCAGTCATGTGAAAGTGCTACACATGCCAGTCTTTCTCAGAAGAGAGATTCATTTAACTGCACGTAAATACAAGCATCATTTTTATGTCAATCTTCCTGTGACTTGTGGTAATGAGTCTCTTTAGTGTCAGCTTTAGTATCTCCTGATAGAATCACATTCAGTTCTACTGATTGTGGAGGAAAGTGCTGCACAAGGAAATTCTGATTTATGATGATTTCTTTTTAAATGCAGTGCAGTTTGAGACAAGCAACTGGTTGTATAAAAGCATAATGCTTCTATTTGTTGTGGAAATGTCACAGCTCGAGGCTGCTGTCAACATTGCCGAGAGTCATCTGAATTACGTACTTAACATATATTATCATACATAATCAACAAGGCCCACTGGCACAATGTACTACATCTGTTCTGCCTAATACTTCTTAACTGTGAAAGAGCAAAAGAAGGAATATTATATGCAACAATGGAGTATTTCTCTCTGCAGAATATACGGCATGGCAAATCTCCTCTGACAGCTTGGCTTTGGGGTATTGGCCACAGTTGTTACAGACCACAAAAAGTTAGCTTCACGATGTCAACATTAAGCTATATTGCCCCAGGGTGACCTAAAGCTTGAACACAAAAATGATTACCAATGGTAAACCAAAAGGATGGGATTCTGTGATTGAATGACTGATAGGAAAACACATGATGGCCCTCGCCATTCCAATGTTAACTTAAATGAATTTACATTACAATTAATTATAAATAAGTAAAGTAATACTAAGGCACACTGTCTGTGGAATCCAGTAACCACTAATGTGTGACAGGGTTCTGCATGACTCATTTTCTGTACAGTCTGTTCAGCATTTTTAAACCACCGCTTGTGGTTTTCTCCTGGAGTGAGCTAGACATTATTATTGACGATATTGTTGGTCAACCTGAGATTATTGCAGAATAAAGATGTATGTGTATCAGCATGTAAACAGTGTCTCAGTTAAATGGTTTGTCCACTGACAAGAGTAAATGTCCCTCTTATTAGAAAGAAAAAAATACTTAAGGGATATAAAAGATGCTTGTGTGTTTATTGTGTGTTTAAAAATAATATCAAGTGATGTACTGTTGTTGATTTTTGCAACTCTCAACTATTAATATTGGTATCGGCCCCCAGAATTCAGTACCAGTCGGGGTCTATTGCAGCTCTGCTCGTGCTCTTCTCCATACCTGAAAGTGATGATCAGCATCATTTGAACCAATTAAACTTTATTGGGATTGCATTTCAAATAATCTGCAGCCATCCAAAAAGAGAAAACTGGATTGAACATTGTACATGCGATCCCTACAAAGACTGCTCTTTGGTACCTTTATGTTTAAGAAAAGGTGGACTTTTCTTTTGAGAAAACTATTTGATTATTAAAGCAGTTCTTTTTTCCCCACTCTGAATGGTAACAAACTGGCTGAATGTGAACATCAGAAGAAGATTAGTTTTTTTTATCTGTTTAATATGATTGGAAATGGAATACATTTTGTCCTTGGGCTGTTTGACAGACAAAACAAACAGAGAGACATTAATATGGGATCTGGGCACATTTTACAAATCAAACAATTCATCTATTACTGTACGAATGATTAATAAATTAATCCATAATTACCATAACCGTTAGTTTCAGCCCTATTACAAACCAGAACCACTGTTTCCAAGAACATCTGCTCAAAAGTTACAGCTTAAGGTTTTTGACACCTGTTTTACCTTTTGATACGCCCTCTGTCTTGTCCTCTGTTTCTGTTTTGCCATTCTCCATGTTTAGGTATCCTGTCCCGTCTGGTCCAATGTAGTTCACAGCTGTCCTGAAGTCCTTGTAAAGCTCAAAATGACTTCATTCCACTCTTCTGCCTCGTTCTTTTCCTCTGAACAACCCTATCCTTTGCTGTGATCGCTCACTTTCTCTCCTCCAAAGCATGTGAGTCCTATGATTTCCTTTTTGTACAATGAGGCCCTTGTCTTCGGAGAGTACAGGGACAGAAGGGAAGGATCAGGAGGAGAGAGACACACACATTTGTTCATCATACAGCCACTTACTGTAGCTAACTCATTCGATTTAAGGAGGCGTGACTGGCAGTTAATGAGGACGATTTACACAACAGCACTGATCAGAGTAAGCTTGGAATGGAAAAGCCAGTTATTGCAGTGGATAAAAGTGATACTGGCTGATTATAGTCATCTGCACGCAGTGGAGGATTTCACAGTGGGCCAGTCCCGGTACAGCCTGTTTGTAGCTGCAGTATCAAGTCTATATGGATTAGTTAGCTTGTGTTGGTGGATGTGTCTCAATGAGGACATGTGAACTTTAATTGTGTTTATATTGTGTTTTTTAATCTTCCGCTCCTTTAACAGATTCTTGGGGGAAGTGCAACAAGCTGTACACACAACACTGGGATATTATCACCTTAAAATGTTGTTGGGAGGAACATGTTAAAGGACAGTTGCAGTTTCATTTACACATCCAGCGACATTATCATTCATTCTGAGTTGTGTTTACGACAACTTGATTGATGTCAGTTCAATAATCCCTCTCTTTTTATCTTTGTTTTGTTCTCTACCAACTCCTGAGAAAATAATATCTGGGTCTTCAGCTGCTAAATGCACAGTTTCTTTCTGCTGGGCAGGTGGTGTACTGTGAGTTCATTGAAGTATTAAAGAAATGGTGCTGACGAGATCATTGAGACTGACTCAAAATTGTCAGTATAAAATTATAGTTTGTTAGCTTTATAGTGGTAGGCTACTCCACCAAAAATATTTTTTTTTAGAATGAAATACTACTCACCCTTTACTACTTACCCTTTAAAATACAACAGCAGCTGTGCTCTGCTTGAATTCATGTCAATTCTAATTTATTCCAATGATGACCAATAAGTTTTAATAATAGAAAACCATTTCAAATTCTCAGACAGTTCACTAGACCTCTCCCCTCTTTTGCTTTAGTGTCACGTGACCCAGGTAAACAAGCAAGCAGGTCTGCCGGCCAGTAGTCACACAAACACACACCCACACACACACACACACACACACAGATGAGAGACAGAGCAGAAGAATGGAGGAGAGAAAGAAGAGCGCTGTGTGGCTTTATTTTCAGGTTACAAATGAAACAACAGCAAATTGTTTAGTTTGTAAAGAGGCTGTAAAATGCAGTGGCAATACTACGAATTTATATAAGCACATGAAAAATCATCCAAAAGAAAATATAGAGCTACAGAAACAGAGAGAGGAAGAGAGAAGTCCCCCACCACCCACCCAGAGGAAGCTGTCATTAACAGAGGCCCTTCAGTTTGGCACAGAATATCCAGGTAGATAATAGTGGTGAAAGGAATATTTTGGTCATCTTCGGCATTAGTTAATATATATTTTTAAGTGCAACTGGTCATTTGTTATTTTAGCCAACTCAGTAAAGTATAAAGTAGTAAGTATAAAGTATGCTAAGACCTTGAAATAATACATTTATCCCATTGAAACGTGTTATTTAAATGAATAGCCAACTTTTTATCTCATAATTTCAACTTACTTTGAGGATATTTATATTATCGAGGCTAAGTTTTATCTGTCTTTTTCCATAGCTTGAGGCTACATTGGCCACTACGAGCATAACACACCTGCACTGTCTGTGGTTGAGTTGTATTGTGGGTAATGTAAGCGCCAGGTTTGGACTACAAATCAAAAAAGAAATTCAATTCCTGTGGTTCTGCTCCATCAATTTTTATCCTTTTTTTAACTGTCCACTGTTTGTCCCACACTGGTACAGAGCAATGCTGTATCTTTAAAGTCCATATCATATTTTTTGCTAACAGTAACTATTGATTGAATCTGGTTCCTCAAATTAAAGGACATGACAATGAAGAGTTTCTACTATGTATATGTATTATGTAATGTAGTTTTAAAAACCTCAACAGTTTGACTCGGAAGTTGTGTGGTTGTCCACGTGTGTATGCATGTGTTAGTCTGATAATCAATGTGATACCCTCTTGAGTCGTGGCTGACAGAAGCCTGTGTTTGTCTCTCCATCCGTGTCGGTACGTCACTGTACTGCAAGTCTGCCTGTCTCTCTTCTGTCCCTGTGCTTGTGGTGGGGTCTATAAAGCCCCGAGACAAACAGCTGAGCAGCTTTTCAATTCAACAACAAATCTGTGTTTGAAGGTTACATCATTCCCACACATCATCTGATTTTGTGGTTACATGTGAGTGTGTGCAAGGACAATGTAACTGTCCATTCCTCTAACAAAAACAAAACTCAAGTTAATAGGGTTATGATAAGATGCCATTTTGATGTTTTGCATATTGGGGGCCTGAAAATCTATTTTATTTTTAATGTCATGGAATTAAAACAGTTTTAACCCTTTAAACAGATATTAAACCCTTATTTTAGTCTTGTACACGCTTGCTTCACAATTAATAATGTCGTTTATCTCCTGTTAAGTATTAATTATATTGTTAAACTGAATAATTTGAATTGTGAATTCATTGTAAAGAGGGCCACAAGTTGCATTCTTGTGTAAAATGTGTTTTATTTTATAATTCTGGGATGATAGGATCAGTCAAAGCAGGATGCAGTGCACTTTATGACCCCCTACTGTTATTATGCCAACCATTCAACACTATATTGTTTAACTTATATAGGCTAGCTTTAATTAACATGATGGTCCTGTTATGAATCAGTACTCCACGCCTTGTTTTTTGTTTTTTTTACAGCTCTCCTGGCTCAGTTGAGTAATGCTACCTCTGTATTTCACATAGACTTAAGCCTGCTATTCCTTTATTTGCTCTGCAGGTCTCAGCCTGAAGAAACAAAACACGAGAGTGTCCAGTCTGTTGTGCAAGGAGACAATCTCTCTGGCCTTTTGCCCATATGTGTTTGCCTAAGGTTACAGCACAAAATAGGAAAAACAGTTATAATAAGCAAGCTGTTGTGTCTTGGGTTCTTGATCTAATAAGATTAGACAGAAACCGGGATCAACCTTTTCCTTTCCTTTTCACAGCTGAAGACAATGTTTCCGTATAACATTGCTACTCTTAACTATAACAAAACCACAAACTACATACCTCAAAATGAACCACAGAGTTGCCTCTAAAAGACAAGGCCTCAACATTGTGGTGGTGAGCCATCTGAAGGCCCTTTCTATTTTAGTTTTTATTTTTATTTTAATGGTGCATAATACTAAACAAACTGTCAATTTATCAAGTTAGAACTAAGTAGATGCCACACAGACAGCCTTTATGGGTCTGGGGCCCTGGGGCAGTGAGCCACTCTGACACAATGTCAACAAAGATTCAAACCATGACAAAGGGTTTTTAATAGCATCCCTGTCAGTCAATCGCTAATAAGAAGTCATTAACGGTAATCTGGAAATTAACTTATCAACAACTTGTGTACATCCATATACTCCCATATTGTTTATTCACCTGCAGACAAAACTCAGGGATGTAAACCCTCGTTCTTGCTCCTTACTTCCGGTCCCGTGCTAGTCGTCACGTGACGGCAGTTAGCTCGTGCGGTGTAGTCGCGCTCCGCCGTCCGGAGGCTCCGGTGAGTTTCTGCCGCTGTCCGGTTCAGTCTGTGATGCAGTTGAACAGGTTAGGTTAGTTTACCAGAAAATGGAGCGGTACGAGTCGGACACGGAGGGAGAAGAGCAGGAGACCCCGCTGCTTCACCGGGGACACGAAGACAAAGTCCAGAGAGGTGAAATAAAAACACCAGCAGCAGCTAACTGGCTAACAATAACATTGTCCTGTACATATGTTTCACAGCCGCACCGTTTTCTGCTCTTTCGTTGAGAAGAAGCAGGAGAGCAACGTCCCTCTAATTTATATGTTTTCTGTATTTAAACAGTTTTTACCTTTTGGTGGCTCTTTGTTTACCCAAAGAGGAAACGTGAACGATAATGAACACCTGCACAATATTATGTACGATAATGTAGCTAACAAACAACCTAATAAATGACCAAAGCTCTCACTGTAAACATTGTATTTAACATTAGTTTGAAGCCTCGCTAACATTGCTGCTGTTATTATATAGTGCCATTGTATTGGATCACACTAGAGTGTGTCCGTGTTATTGAGTCCATCTCCTGTGTACCTGCCAATATCCGCAATGAAGCTGATGATATTTACATTGACAGTCACTCTACCACGATTATCAGCTAACTCATTTACACACAGCTTTCCCCTGGAGGGTGCATGGCTCTGTCACCCATGGTAATGGCGCTATAAAGTGGCTTTCAGCAGCATTTTCCACACCTATCCTGTGCTTTCGGACATATGCTGTCATTTTATTTTACCTGAGTCACGAGTGGTCATGAGACAGTCTACCTGAGCTATGAGTCATGCGTACACACCAGTCAGTTAAATCAAAATGCCAGTTAAAATCATGCAAAGAGAGAAACAGTGTTTATTTGTGTAAAAGTGTACCCAGGATTCAGCTGGGCAACTTTGCCTTCTGTTTTGACATATGCCAGTGCCAAAGATACATTTCCACTCTATGCCAATTTAATGGACAATTAAGTAATCTGAATTTAATCCTGATTTCTAGAAATAAGCCTCAGTTTCTGCTAGATTTTTTGCAAGGACACTGGAATTTGTTTTGTCGTTGTCTTTTATATAAAGGCTGAGAGAGAGAAGGTGCTTCCCAGTTTTAACAGTAACAGTGGTTTATATAATGACGGTCATATCTGCATGTAGCTGCACCTTGTGCAAAATCCAGAGGTTTTATTATACTCCAAGTTTAGTTATGAAAATAAATGAGATAAGACAATAAAATAAGATGAATGCATAAAGTACTGAAACAACTACTTCCACTGAATGACAATACATTATTTGGTTATGATTTTAGCGGAAGATTAACATATTGGTCTGTGATCAAGTGAATTTATTAAATGAAAAAATGTGCAGTTTACAGCATGTATTGTTGTTATCTTACGTTTTAAACACTGTGTTCTTTGGCTGCAGTTAGAATAAGTAATAGCCTTCACCTCTAGGAACTTTTTATTATTGATTATTATTATTATGAATGATTAATTAAATGATCAAGAAAATTGTAGATGAATGATTCATAGTTGCACTCAGTGGGTTATTTAGTCAGTAAACCAACAAAAGACCTTGCCTTGCACTGCAACAACACTCACTTCTGAGTATATTACCTAATACATTTTCGATATTGTGTAATTCAACTGTTGCACACATACGATATCATCTGCCAAACAGGTCTCATTATTTCGCTCTCTCCCTCACCCTCTAGCCCCAGCATGCTGTTCATCACGCTATGGCCTGGCACTGCTCTCCTGTTTTGGCTTCTTTGTGGTCTACTCCTTGCGGGTGAACCTGAGTGTGGCCATGGTGGACATGCTTAACAACACCCACCAATCCAACCCCAACCACAGCAGCTCAGTGTGTCCGGCTCATGCCAACCCTTCACGGCCCAAACACAACCACACGGTGAGTGAGAACCTCACTGCAGCTGATTAAGACAAATGATGAAAACTAGCTGATTGTTGAATGTTAGAAAATGCTAGAATCAAATCCACCCCAACTATATAAACAATGACTACCAAAGCTGAAAAATCTAAAAGGTGTAAATCATTTTCAGTAAATAGGGTGTCATTTTCAAATTGTGTGTTAATTAATTAATTAATTAATAAAGACATTTGTTGTTCTATAAAAAATATTTGAATGGTAAAAGAACCCTGGCAATCACACCCAGTACCCATTTCAGACTGAAAAACTTGCGGTCCATGGAACAAACCTCAACATGTCAGGATTATATGAATCAGGTTGACATCCAGTCTTCAGCATTTCGCCAGTCTTGGAAAAAATACCAGAAATGGTATCGTATTTAAACTGGGCACCCATGCTTAGAAACGTCACACTTGACTGAAATCTAATCTGTTTTGACTTACACACTATAATATCAGTAGTTTTATAACATTCACCCCTCCCTCACTGACCTCTGTCAAGGGACCGTGAACGAAACGCTGCTACAATCATCTAGAAGTGCTCTTGCATTACTGTAAGAACATGCAGTTATTTTGTTGGGTTTAGGGCTGCGAATAACGATTATTTTCATTATCCATTATGCTGTTGATAATGTTCTTGATTAATCTATTATCTTTGTGGTCCAGAAAATGTTGGGAAAAGGTTGATCAGTTTCCCAAAGCCCAAAGTTTTGTTTTTTCTACAACCCAAAGTTATTGAGTTTACTGTCATAAAGGACGAAGGAAACCAGAAAATATTCACTTTTCAGAAGCTGAAATCAGTGAATTTGAATGATTAATCTATTATCAAAATAGTTGCAGATTAATTTAATAGTTTACAACTAATCAACTAATCGTTGCTGCTCTAGTCGAGTTAGCTTACCATGCGTTACTATTGACAAGCGGTGCTGTGGACACAATCCACAAGTGAAATCTTGGTCTTGGCCGTGCTAACTGCACTTAAGTGTGTGTTATTGCTTACTTATTAGGAACACAAAGATAGAGAAAAAGCATCAAACAGATGCAACAAATATATAGACGGACTAATGAAAACACATGCACATGTACAGTTATTCAAAACAGTCTCAATTCCTAATATAGTTCTCAATCCCCCACAGGCCAGTGTGTACAACTGGGACTCTGAGACACAGGGCTGGATCTTGGGCTCCTTCTTCTATGGCTACATCCTGACACAGATTCCTGGGGGCTACCTGGCCGGCCGCTATGGACCCAAGTGGCTGATGGGTTTTGGAATCCTTGGAACTGTAATTTTTACGCTGCTCACCCCCGTGGCTGCTGACCTGGGTGCAAGCTACCTTATTGCCGTCAGGGTGCTGGAAGGGATAGGAGAGGTAAGGGGTTTCCGGTAGTTTAATCCTGACATGAAGACAGAATGACCCAGGAAGTAGAGTTGAAATTATTTGTGCAAGCCTGTTTGTACCATGAGCATCAACTGTACTGCAGCCCAATATAAAATGTTGCTAGCAGTATTAAAATGTATCTCCGCGCACATAATCAAATGAGATTTAGAGATGGCTGGATGATTGGTTGTACTTAATCTTCTTTCTGTGTTTGTCTTCAGGGAGTTACATTCCCTGCTATGTACACCATGTGGGCAGCGTGGGCACCACCACTAGAGAGGAGCCGACTGCTCACAATTTCCTACATAGGTAAGACACACACACAAAAATGTAAAATGCCAACACAAAGAAGAATGTCTGACTACAAATCCTGTTTCCATTTATACAAAACAGGGTTAAAATGGTTAAAAACAGTCAATCATAGTCAGACTTTGCCACCTTTTAAATGGCATCATCTCTCACATTATTGTTAGTGTTGACTTGTCACCCTCTGTATATTCATCAGTCAGTAGTTACACTGCACTCAGACGTCTTGTGGGATACAGATTTTTGTATTTTCTCTTCCATTGCAGGAGCCCAGCTGGGGACGGTAATATCTCTTCCTCTGTCTGGTGAAATATGCTTCTACCTGGACTGGACCTACGTCTTCTATATATTTGGTAATACACCTGCTGTGTCACTAGTGGTGTAGGGGTGGGTTTACTTTGTTACTCGTGGCCCACTCCACTACTTCTTTGTAGTGTGGAGTTTGTGGTGCGCCAATATTACCTTAACTTGATGTATCTCATTTTATTTTGATAGTTTGGGAAATGATGAGCTTCACCTAGCACAGTAGCCTGTAAGCATTGTGCTGTATGCCCAAGTACAGCAGTTTTTGCATAGATTGCCATCAAACCAGAGAGAACAGGGTTCACTGCTGCAAGAAAAATGTCACACTTGATCTGCCAATAAGGTGTCACCATCATCATCATGTGACTTTTACTTAAGATGGGCAGAAAGTACATTTTTACTCATGATGATACATTAATGCATTTGTTAGAAAGCCATGAACTTCAAAGAATTCAGGTCATGAAAGCGCTATCATGAATAAGTTATGGGAACTTCACATCATTGCAACACTTTATTGAATTTACATTACAGCTTAGGTTACATCTTGTCTGATTGGGGAAAGTGCACATAATATACTGTCGAGTGAAGTTGCTGCCAATAGTACATAATACAAAAAAGCAGCTCTTGCATAGTTCTCTGACCTCAAGTGGCCTCTCCATTGATTAGTCACAGGCTATGATGTTTTTCTGCTCTTCACTGCTCTTTTTAAACTTCAGACAAGCTGTTTCCAGTGTCTGTTCCTTTCTTCCTCTTTGTTCTGTGGAAATGATGACTTAGCGAATTGAGGAAGAAAATGTGCATACAGACTGAGCCACTGAAGAAGTCCTACTTTATTTACTTGCTTGGTGAATTACTGCCACTACTGATAATTTAACTCCATTTCTAAACCACTGGACAGAAGTCAGATACAAGTGTCAACAAATTATTCTCAGTGGATACAGAAGGAGAGGTAATGAGCTGAGTTCAGTTTCAGGAAACAGAATCATCATAATCCATGCATCTGTGGACTACAATCAATCTGTAATGTGTTGAGGGATTTATGCTGGACAATTTGTAGGACACAACTGTCGATCTGTGGTAGAATGAGAGCTCACTTGCTTGTTTGTGTGTCCAGGTGCTGTTGGCTTGGTGTGGTTCGTCTTGTGGACCTTTCTCGTCTTTGACAGTCCAAACACTCACCCACGGATATCAGAGCGGGAGAGAATCTACATCACCACCTCACTCAAGAACGAGGTAATGCCAGAAACCACACTATGTCTTCAATTAAAAAACAATAAATGATGTTTCATACGTTTGTGGAAATATGTTTTTAATTCATCTTATATCACTGGTTTATGTAAGTCTACTATCTCAAACATTTTTCCAAGAGAAAAAGTCACAATTATAAATTCCAAAAAGATGGTTTAGAGCAGTTTTTTTTTTTTTAATGCTAGTCAATATACAGACGGGTATAAAATGTTTAAATGTGTAACAAATAATAAACACTCCAAGAAAGTTTAATGTTTAACATAGACAGAAAGGCCAAGTGTTGTAATAACATGTAATCCCTAATTAGCATTCTGACATATGATGTACAGTTATTTTTTTGCTAAGACAGTTGCCGCAGAGTGCTTGCAGGCATTTCCGGTACAGTACAGTTCAGATACTAATGTTACATCATCACAGTGTATTGCCGCATTGTATTCTTATCTGTCTTACTCAGCTGTTAGGTGACAATGCTTACCATTACTCTGCAGTTTATTATGACATTCAGAAGCGTTCCTGAAATATTCATATTGATTGTGAATGCTAATTACTCAGGTTAATCATTTCTACATTACTACTACTACAGATTAAAACAGACTTATTATTTATTCAGGGGGAATTAAGTTAAAACACATGTTATTGGTTCAACAGAAGTTATTTTTGCATGTATTTGATGGAAACTACTCACACAGCTGAACAAAGTTTCAGACTACTTCTAAGTCATAAGTACAGAAGACCACAATAAACATTTAGGTAGTTATTGCTGACTATCAGTTTTTAATAGTGGATACAATAATCGAGAACTCCCTAATCAATCTATTCCCTTTTTTCCACTTCCTGTGTGTCCCAGCTGTCCACCTCAGCAGGCTTCATCCCCTGGCGAGCCATAGTCACGTCCACACCGTTGTGGGCCATCGTAGTGGCGCACTTCTCCTACAACTGGACCTTCTACACCCTCCTCACCCTGCTGCCAACCTACATGAATAACATACTGGGCTTCAGCATACAGGAGGTGAAGTCAACATCACATACAGGCATAAGAAACATCATAAAGTGAAAAGAAACCAAACTGTAATGTTTAGTGTATTCCTGAATCAAAAATCATTTCTACTCACTGGTGCTATGTGTATAATAACTATATAAACACGTGGTTTTGTTTCTGTGTGTCCACAATAGAACGGTATGCTGTCAGCTCTTCCTTACATGGGCTGCGCTGTGATGGCTGTGCTGAGTGGTCAGCTTGCCGATTACCTGCGGGAAACCTGCCTCTACCCCACAGTCCGTGTCAGGAAGTCCTTCTCCCTTATCGGTAAGAAACGGCCACATCACACAACCGACTCCAGACTCTTGTCACGGGACTTCCAATACACCGCGGTCTGCAACTTCTGAGGATGTTATTGTTTCTGTTCTGTAGGCATGATCGGGCCAGCTGTGTTCCTGGTGGCAGCAGGATATACAGGATGTAATTACACCCTGGCTGTGACCTTCCTCACCATCTCCTCCTCTCTGGGCGGGGTGTCGGCCTCCGGCTTCAACATCAACCACCTTGACATTGCTCCTTCGTAAGAATTACCAAGTTCTATGACCAAAATAATCTAATAATAGTGAGTTCGTGCTCATGAAAACCAAACCTGAAAGTTTAAAATGAAAAACCAAATAATTTTTGTAATTCCATCCTCTTTAGAATAACTCTTTTTGAGGTAAGAAAAGGATGACTTTAGAAGTATGGTGCTTTTCCTTGCGTGTTAACCGCCATTCTGGTGTTTTTGTGGAGGATATTATTATTTCTTGTAGCCGTAAGAAGCTAGAATTATAAATACTGATAGAGTGCAGGAATATGTATTCATATGCATACATGCAGACAGCTTTGACAGTACTTTGTGAAAACCTCAAACATGTCCATGTTTAAGTAGATTACGTTCATTCAAGTGAAAGCTGTTAAGTTGTAAGCCGTGGTATCTCCACTCAACACTGTAGTGGGTTTAACGGGTTAATAAATACTCTGTGTGCTTGTGTTTGTAGGTATGCTGGTATTCTCCTGGGTATCACCAACACCTTTGCCACCATTCCTGGCATGGTGGGACCAGTCATAGCAAGATTACTCACCAAACATGTAAGAAACAGATCCACTTTGTCCTTGTTGTTAGTATTATATGTAGTATGCTGCTGCTTACAGCGGTCACTCTGGGTGTCCTGACCTCCTGTGTCCCTGGCTAAACAGATGGTATCCTTACTTTGGCTTGATGCTCCATTTCCTGTCTTAATTGGTTTAGTCAGTACAGGATTAGCATGTTAACAATTGGCCACCAGGGGGCATCCATAGACCTTAATAAAAAAGCAATGCAGTCATACCCAAACATTAACCTTGCTACTTGTTTAATTATTCTCTTATCTTTAAAGAGGTTAGCATACAGTGCAGTTTGATTGTCCTTTACAGTTCCTGAAACATCATTTACCTGGATTCTCAAAACACAATGGGAATATCAGACTCCATGTGGCCACTGCTGCTGTAATATGAAGCATTTCAGTAGTGGAGATTACAGATTTTGCCCTTGGGCCATGGCTACGATGACAAACAATTTATTAATCAAATAACCAAATGGTGTCATCATTCAGATGATCAACAATGGCGCCAGGTAAAGATTAACCAAATTAACCAATCACATCATCTTTCAAAGTATTTAAACATGAAAAAAGCTGATGATTGTCTCGCAAATGAGTATTCTGCCTTTTGGATAGTATTGGCATACAGTACTGTTTCAATTCAAACTTCTGTTAGATTATTAACAAGGAGAAATTCTGTTTCAGGTACAGATGACACCAAATATAACCTTTGGGATGATTGTAATTCAGTTTTTCCTCTTTAAGATGCACTATTAGCATTTTGTCATTGAGAGAATGTAAGGTTTAAAATACATTTACATACATTTCTAACCCTAACCTCCAGGTTTTCCTTTGCTAAACCAGGAAATAACAATCTGTAAATCAATGATCCTGTGAAAATGTTTCAGAGAATGCACAGGATAGTGAGCTAAATTATTAATGATGCACTAGTCTAATGAGGGCTAAACCCTTCTTTAAAAATGATATTATATTTCAACACTAACTGTGCTGACTGTCCTTTAGAACACCATAGAAGAATGGCAGGCTGTTTTCTACATCGCAGCTGCCATCAACCTGTTTGGAGCCGTGTTCTACACCGTGTTCGGCCAAGGAACGGTGCAGCCCTGGGCCGTCCACACATCCTTCTCTCATGGAGACTGAGGCCGAAGACACGTCCACCTCACAAATCTGAATTATCGAATGGACAAGTCTCAGTCATGGGCTTATTTAACGGGTAATGCCAGCGAGAGATGTTCTAGCCGAGCTGATAATTCTCAAAGCACGGCAAACTAACTGAGTAACAGCCATATTAGCCTCAAGGATGTTCTTTACTGTGACTGCGGGGACTCAAAAGTCTGTTTTCAGATAAAGCTACAGTCACAGCAATGAACAAAGAAGACCACAATTTTAGTAAAGGTTAAATTAGGAGGCAGAAATAATGATTGAGCGGAGGAATCAACCGCAGTATGCATCTCAAAGAAGTATCAGAGGATGCTGTTACTATGCTAGCCAGTTAGCTACATGTAGCTAAATGGCTAGTTTAAACCTTAAAAGTCAGCTAGGCTAAGCTTGCTTAAATAACCACATGCTAGCTAAGCCTTCTCAACTGTCAAGAATGAAGTCTACCATAGTAAATGAGCTATAAAAGATTATCCCAATGTTGTCCCTTCTGGAGTTCTGGTTCGACGGTTAACTCTCAGCTCACTTGTTATTTCTGCCTCCAGAGCACTTTACTATTACAAGAATTTATTTTACCCTAGAACTCGACAAGTAAACCCTCTTGATTTTTATTGCCATGGTAGAAGTCTACACTCTTAAAAGGATGTTTTCTTTCACTTGTGTATGTTAAATTTGGGATAACACAAAATGTGCTACTCTGCAAACCAAAACTAAGTGCCAGTAGTAGTTCATAAGTGTGTCAAAGGTTTGCCCCAAAATCCCAAACCACACGCACACATTTGATCATCTTTTTTGAGAGAATGTTGTGACTGCACTGCACGCACAAACACTTGTTTTGGGGGAAATTGCCTTATAGAGAAGTCTCCTTAAAATAATTTTAAAGCTCTTTGTCTTTCATGTGATTTTTGTATTTACTTGTCATATGGTGCAGTTAAGGGAATTTATGTAATGTACAATATGTATTGTCTTTTCGGGTTATGCCCACCAGGCACCTCTGTTATTTTATGTAGCAGCCCTTCAATAATGCATATTGAAAGCATGGGTCATGATATTTTAACACTAATTCTAAAGAAGGGAAAGTGAAAGTGCTTTTAAGAGCTTCCTGGTGGACACAGCCTTGTTTTATTCACAGGATTTGCACTTTGTGTGTCAATTCTCAGGTATCTTATGTCTTACAAGAATTGAAAAGGATGTTCAATTACTTTTTACAGTTTGATTAATCTACCAACTTTAAGTGTCATCTGAATTAGACCCTATTGTAAAATTATTTCAAATAGCACATTTATCAACTCAAAATACTGTAGTCACCATGACGGGTGGTAATTCTTAGTCTTTTAATTGATGTGACCAGCTAATTAAATCATATCATCCATAGAGTTTACACTGTGTACTTCACATGTATATGATAGTGTATGTAACTTTTCCCTTTATACATAATGACTATAAAGGGGTAAATCAAAACCAAGCCATAAGGGAAACATTTAGTCTTGGTTGTAATTTCTGTCAACAAGTAGCATCATCATCCCAATACAAGGTGTACTGCACTTGTGCCTTATTATGGAGCTCAAACGGGGTCAGACTCATTCCTTTCACCAAGGATTCATTTTGTTACTGCTTTTTATTATTTCATCTATAAATTAGTGTCTATATACAGAGAATAATGGGACCGTTATACACACACTGTACTGAAAGGGTAATCATTGTAAATCAACCTGGAAGCATTCCAGAAAATGTCTTAAATTGCTGTCATGTATTGTAAATACTTCATCATATACAGCTATGCTTAAATCTAATATTGTGTTGGGTTATTATTTCATTATACAGGCTCTGTCACAGCTTTCAATTAACTAAAGGAACAATGTGTTATTTTATTATTGCAGTTCGAATTACTTCCACTACTGCTGCAGGGTCTCTGATGAAAAAGTGCAACTGAAGATCAATCTTCAACTAATCTGGACTATGGACACACACACACACACACACACACACATGTATGTGTGTGTGTATATGTATATATATATATATATATATATATATATATATATATATATATATATTTCATCTTACTCATGTAAAGAGGGGCAAACCTACATACTAGCCTTGTGCAACTCCTTATTTATGGAGTAAAATCCACTTAAATGAACTACTGAAGTAGTTCTTTTTGTTGTTTTTAAAAAATATATTTTGAATGACGTATCACACTGTAATAAAGTAAGCCCAAGTGCTTCACACTAACAAATATGGTTTGACGTTGGGCTAGGAAAAGATTATTGACACAGACTCAGAAACAGCAGAGATGGAGACCATAAATAAGAACAAATAAAAGATAACAGTTGTCCCAGGACGCACAGTTAAAGGTTTCACTTTTCACCCTGTTGGTATTAACCTCATCACACACAGTTATCCAATTCTGTATCATAAATCATATCCACAAACCAAGATATTCTCATATGGGCTACTACTAGGAAAAGCACTATCTCACTGAATGCAGATCCATCTTTAGAAATCCATGATATGATAACGTTGGACACATGTCACCACTGCTAAAAAGATGTACAGTATCCTGATGTCATAATAAAATGTATCCGGATCAGAAGAGGCTCCTTCATGACACAACATTTCACACTATGTTTACTCGGAGATTGCTCTCCTTTCACATGTGCCCCTCCTGCTGTTCCTCAGCAGCTCTGCACACTGTGATAAATAGCAGACAGGCCTGCAGACAGACGCTCTGGAAAGAAGTCAAGGCGATCGGGGTTAATTTTAATCCAACTAGGGAGCGTCTGGAAAGGTGAGCGGCTCCGCCTGCCGCGCGTCCCCCATCTGATTCAAACAGACCACATCAACTAACACACTTCTCTGGAACAAAGACCAAAACTTATATTCCACCAAAACTATACATGTCCGACCCCATTGCTGGATTTTTAGCGCTACTTTATTCCCCTCGGATACTTTCCCACAGCGCACACTGCTGCACACAAAACAGCCGCCAACAAAAGCACGAGTCTTTAAGGGTCATGCATGCATCGACTCCTTGCAAATGTTAATACGGACTGGGTGACCGCGTTGATTATATCGTCTTCGATATTTAGTGAGGAAACTGAATGGAGCACCAAACGGCGTCGTGTCCGATAATGGATGCTTTGCCGATTGCTGTGTCCTATGATAAACTCGCTTACGGAAACTCTCCTGGTCCCTCGTTGTGATGCTGTACAGCAGCGGATGCGCGCTATTACGCAACAACCCCCCCCCCTCCTGTCCTGTCCGCTAAAACCGGATCAGCGTCTCTCCTCTCCGGTCCTGCACCCAACCTGACACCGGCCAGCACTCAGGTACGACATAGTGGATGAAATTATACATGGAGGGGGGGATTTCGTGTTGGATGCTATCAGGGAAAGTGAATGAACGTTTTGTTTTGGCGGCTCAGTCTCCGGGCTGCGCTTTGGGAATATTGTTGTGGTGCAGAAAAGAGGGCAGGTTAATACGCATCCCAGCGCCAGTAAGCGGGCAGATGATAGAACATGGCGGAGGGCTGACATTTCCGTTAAACCCTTCTAACTTTAGATATTACCGCAGTAGCTGTGCTAGTTTTTATTAACTGCCCGCTGTTGTTATCATCTTTTGTACTTTAAAGCGCACTGCGGCAGCTGTAGTGACGTTATATAGGAGGGATGAGTTAAATACGCGCATGTTAAATGGTTGTCTGTCCTGGCAACGAGTTCACCTGAACAAGTCTGGCCAGATCAAGTAGAGGGATTCATGTTACAGTTGGGATTAAAGCTACTGGCCTCTTCTACCTGCTGCAAACTACATTCAGATCAAATAAACCTTCACTCACTCGGATCATTTAAAAGAAGACTTTGAAGTGCGTGTGTGACTTCTTGTATTCAAGGTTATCACCATAACACTCCTGCAGAGTTAACAACAGTGTGTGCTCTCCCCTGCACTAACCTGTGTGTATTGCACTGCAGTGTCTGACAAATGGCTGCTGCACTATCAGTGGATTGGACCTGACAAAATGGTGGGTTCTGGCTCGGAGGGGAGCTGTGGTTAAGTCTGTGGATGGTGCTGTGAAACACCAGAGCCTTGTTGTTTTGATGTGTCATGTGCACAGCAGAGCGGCTGGGGACAGGGGAGCAGGCTGGATGTGAAAGAGGAGAACAGGGGTGTGGATGGATGGAGGGATAGAGAGTAGGAGGGGCAGAGGGTTTCATACTTGGCGCAGTTCAGTGGCCACTGATCCGATTCCTAATCTTCTGAGAAACACCATTTAAGAAAACATCTATTGGCAGTCAGGGGCCGTCATTGTCAGTAACCACATGTAAACATATCCATAAAGCAGCAGACAATACAGTCAGTGTAAGGGTTGATGAACTAAAGAAAAAGGATTCATGTCTCTTTTCTCGTGCAGCATTTCTGCGCCAGTCACTTGAGAAGGCATTAGCACTCTACTAGTGTTTTTATCCCCAGTGCTGCAATACATTTGCTGAATCTCTGGCTGTGTGATCTTGCGAAGCCCAATCAACCCGACAGTGTTAAAGGACCAAATTCATCGACTCTCTAGCCGTAACAAATTATTGCTGCTCACAAAACCTTTCAATACCTGTCAATCACAATAACTAATGCAATAATAATAATGTCTGTTTCCCGCCTGGCAAACCACCTGTATCCCATACTAACTGTAATTTACTGTTTTTAGCAGACGGACTGTTTCGTGACTTTAGCCAGCTCCAGTCACCATGGGAAAGGAGAAACTCCACATCAACATTGTCGTGATCGGCCATGTGGACTCTGGCAAGTCCACCACCACGGGCCACCTCATCTACAAGTGTGGGGGCATAGACAAGAGAACCATTGAGAAGTTTGAAAAGGAAGCTGCCGAGGTAAGGGGATACAGGCAAGAGGAAGACGCCATCTTGAATGAACTGTCTTTCCTCAAGATCAGGACGCCACTGCCGCAACCATAACATGAAAGCCATACCAACCATGAATAAATGATCTGTTACTTATTTCTCAGATGGGGAAGGGGTCGTTTAAGTATGCCTGGGTGCTGGACAAGCTGAAGGCAGAAAGGGAGCGTGGGATTACCATCGACATCTCACTCTGGAAGTTTGAAACCAGCAAGTACTATGTGACCATCATCGATGCCCCGGGTCATAGGGACTTCATCAAGAACATGATCACTGGGACCTCCCAGGTCTGTAACATGAGGATGTGAAGCCATTCTGTGTGCATAGTTGTTGGGTCTTATTGTAAGCCTCTTTGAGAAAGGTTGACTCTCATCTATAATGACTTGTCCTGAGGGTAAAAGTAGAACAGGCTAATATTCCTGTGTAAATAACATTAAAAGTGTCTATGTACGTCATAATAAACAGCATCCAAGTTCAAGTTCATATTATTGTTAATTATGCCCCCTCAGAACTCCTAAAACAAGATCTAATCGACTTCATAACTTTTAATTGTGTAGGAGATGACTCACCTCAACTTAATTATTACAAATACACAATAAACTTTGAATCATAAATTAATGAGGGCAATGGTCATAGGTGCTTTTCACCACCAGTACTAATGTTTCATCTTTGCATCTTCAGGCAGATTGTGCTGTGCTGATTGTGGCGGCTGGTGTGGGAGAGTTTGAGGCAGGTATTTCCAAGAACGGACAGACCCGTGAGCATGCCCTCCTGGCCTACACTCTGGGAGTAAAGCAGCTCATTGTGGGCATCAACAAGATGGACTCCACCGAGCCGAACTACAGCCAGAAGCGTTACGAGGAAATTGTGAAGGAAGTGAGCACCTACATCAAGAAGATTGGCTACAATCCTGACACCGTTGCCTTCGTACCGATTTCAGGCTGGAATGGAGACAACATGCTCGAGCCCAGCCCCAATGTACGTAGAACACATGAATGCAAATGCTACAGAAACATACCAGACATACGCAGCCTTGAATTTGAATACTAATTTGCATGGCTGCTGCTAGGGATGGAGCTCAAAGACTAACCAGTTGTGACTGTTGGTCCAACTCAATCAGAGCAGCTAAAGAGTAATACTTTTTCCCTTTGCCTTGCAATAGACCTTTTTTCACAGCAGCCATTTTGACATTAAAAAATAGGGTCAAGTGTTACCAATGATACTACTAGGTTCTGTTCCATTAAGAGTAGCAGAGGGTTTCCAGTGAGCCAACATGCACAATAGCTGTACCATCGGAACCTCAATTAGTATCATTGGTAACACCTGTCTTTACCCTACTTTTTCATGTCAAAAAAGGTGCTGTGAAAAAGGTCTATTACCTTATGAGTGCCCTTGTGCTAGGTATTTAAAGCAGCTCTATGCAACTATTACTCAACAACGACTACTCTGGCCACAAGTGGCCATTACAAGATCATTGTAAATGCTAAAAAGTAATGTAAAAACAGCACAAGTATAGAAAAGCCATTAAAGCAGATAAAAAGACCAATCAGTTGTCTTCTATTATGATCATAAGCTTAACAACTATTAACAATAATTATATAATATGCTCTCCAGATGACATGGTTTAAGGGGTGGAAGATCAATAGAAAAGAAGGCAATGCATCTGGGACCACACTATTGGAGGCTCTGGATGCCATCCAGCCCCCCACCCGTCCAACAGACAAACCTCTACGTCTACCCCTGCAGGATGTCTACAAGATTGGAGGCATGTAGTGATGTCACAGATCAGTAGGAATAGGGTTATTGTGACATAGAGCCTTGAAACATGGCATATGAAACACCTCTTGGTCAAAACAGCAGAGTTTTGCTTCAGTAGTTTTCAGTAGCAGTTGTCTTGAGTATAGTTCAGAACTATCTTTATGTCCCCTTCAATGCCCTCACATTAGATGTTCTCTGTGCCGAACCTCTTCTCAGGTATTGGAACAGTGCCAGTAGGCCGCGTGGAAACGGGCGTACTGAAGCCTGGCATGGTGGTGACCTTTGCCCCTGTCAATGTGACTACTGAAGTGAAGTCTGTGGAGATGCACCATGAGGCACTGACTGAGGCCCTCCCTGGCGACAACGTGGGCTTTAACGTCAAGAATGTGTCAGTCAAAGACATTCGCCGTGGCAATGTGGCTGGCGATAGCAAGAACGACCCACCGCTGGAAGCTGCCAACTTCACTGCTCAGGTAGACACTGCAAGGGACCTATTTATAGAAATTAAACAGGAGCATGATTTAATACAGTCAGATCCTTATTAAAACAGACATATTTATATTCTTGAGGAATATCTGTTATAAAATCCATTTTGATGCTTCATATCAAATCTCACTTTAAACGCTATGACATTTGGATTGTCAAACTGCAAGTTTGTCAAAGTTTATAACACACAACAAGATACTCAGTCAATGTAGGTCTGTCTTTTTTTTTGACACCTTCCTTCTGTGTCACTCTAAACTAATCCTAGCAATAGTCACTAATCAAGCAGACGGACGAGTGCTGTCATTTCTTTCACAGGAAGGAAATAATCTTTCTATCATGCCATCCATGTTGTCTCTTTGCTTTGTAGGTGATCATCCTTAATCACCCTGGCCAGATCAGTGCTGGCTATGCTCCTGTGCTGGACTGTCACACAGCTCACATCGCCTGCAAGTTTGCAGAGCTCAAGGAAAAGATAGATCGCCGTTCTGGCAAGAAGCTGGAGGACAACCCCAAATCCCTCAAGTCTGGAGATGCTGCCATTGTGGATATGATTCCTGGCAAGCCCATGTGTGTTGAGAGCTTCTCTGAGTACCCTCCACTTGGTAAGTTTAGAGGATTTGTTGAATTTCAACAGCTTCCCAACACACTTTTTCAGGCTTTGTGACACCACAGTAAGTCATACCAGATGAAAGCATCACCTAAAATATTAATCTTTACTCTATACCTTGCAGGTCGTTTTGCAGTCCGTGACATGCGTCAGACTGTGGCCGTTGGTGTGATTAAGGGCGTGGAGAAGAAGGTCGCCACCACTGGTAAAGTTACCAAGTCTGCCCAGAAGGCCCAGAGGAACAAATGAATGTTGTGCTACTCTGCCGACCCCAAGGTCTCCCAGGGCAGGACATCGGTCATCCAACTTCATTCTACAATTGGCTGCTTCAACTCAATAATCAAAGACTGGTTAATCATCACAATGCATCGCAAAAGCATTCGAAGGAAAGAAGAACATTTAGATCTGAAGTCCTTGAGGCAGCACTCCTGACTCCATTTCAGTGGTTAGATTACCATTACGTAGAATTTTAATATCAAACAGGTAGTTTTAAATGTACATTGTTGATTCGGTTCATGGCAATACTTTTCTGTAATATTGATATTGAGACATTGTAAAATTAGAGGTACCTAAATGTATCACCTCTCTAGCTCTGTGGAGGGCAGATACTGGTCACTTTACATGGTACATGTTGTCTTGCTTTTAGTGTTTGTTTGCAACTACATGGTGCTCTGTAGGAGCCTAGAAGTTAAACTATGTTCTTCTGAGTAGTAGATTAGTAGTGTTTTATTGTGTTTAAGCTTAAAGCACCTAAAACAAATGGTCCAAATGTTTCCTTGCCGAGGGACTCAGGTAGGCCAGCTGTTGATTCTTAAGACACTTTGATTGGCATTTTGCTAACTTTGCACTTGCACTGAAGAAGCTTAAATTGGCATAAGCTACTGCACCTTACTGTAAGATGGCATGAGCCTCTTTGCGACATTAAACATGTTTCAACCAAAGTTACGGGTTTCGGTCTTTAGTCATTTTTTCGGAATGTGCTACAAAGAAGTGATGGGGCAGCAGATGCCCTGAACTTTCCAATCCTATAAGACAAGTCTGACGCAGTACACACTTTTCTCCACAAGATGTAGCTATTGGCATAAAAATAAAGTAGGAACTGTCAATGACAAAACTCAGTTCTACAATCTTATCATGGGACACAAAATGTCTTCATATCAGTTCTTCTCAAAAGTCAGCCTGCCAAAATATTTTTTGTTTTACCTGTAGTGCTTTTTATCATTTCAAAAGTGAGTTGCTGGCTTTTGGAAATATCAGCTTTAGAGGTGTCTGCTTTTTCTCTGATGTAATGGAAGCAGATGGCACTTGGCTCTTGCTGTTCACAGTGCTCAAAAATACATCTGATCCCGCTCTGTCACAAGCACAAGTCTCTCATAACTAAATGCACGCTTTCTTCTGCGCGGTGATACATAGAAAGAAAATAGTTCCTACATCAAATGCCTCACAAGGTCTCTGGATTATCTCGAGTAATCAGCACTATGCGGTTGTTTTTTTGCACTTCGAGCACCACAAGCCTAGAGGCATCTTGCTCCATTATATTCGAGGGAAGGCAGACATCTCTACAGCAGTTATCTCCAATACTCAGCAACTCACAGTCTGTCCCTTTAAAGGGGCGTGTTCTCATAACTTACCGGAAACTTTTTAAGTGTGACTCCAACAAAGCATTTTCATTTTTCTCATTGGACCATCATGACTGGTAGAGGTAGACCACGCAAGGCAAAGAGCCCTGACAATAAGTGTGCCAAGGGTAAACCTACACCTGAGAAAACAAAACAAACATCTCTGCCTGGATGTCCAGGAAAAGGCTTTACAGAGGAAAGACAAAATGGCACCATAAAGGAACAGAAACCAAGAGAGCAAAAAAAGTCAAACCACACTGAGGATAAGCCATCTGTACATAAAACACCGAAAGAAAAGACTAAAAAACAATTAACAGAGGAGCAAAGGACACCTACAGCGGCTCTACTTGATGCAAAAGCCAAAACCTGTGCTGGCAGGGCTAAAACAACAAAACAATCTGCAGAGAAGACACAGACAGCGACACCAAAGGACACCACAAAGCCCACCAAAGCTAAAACATGTGGGAAAAAGACCAAATCACAAGACGGATTGTCAGAGAAGATGACAAATATGAAGCCAGAGACACCAAAGGAGACTCTAAAGACCACCGAAGCAAAAATGCTTGGTGGCAAGGCAAAAGCACCAGCAGAATTTACAGAGGAGACAACAAAGATGCAGCCAAAGGCACCAAAGGACACCGCAAAAGCTTGTGTACGAGACAAGTGTGAAGACAAAGCTGCAGTGGACTCTGTGCTCCATATTACTCTGGAAAAATTAAAGATTAGGAAGAATGACAGATCAGATGCGGCAGAAGTCATCAATAAAGTAATAGAAAATATCACAAGGCATTTGAAACAGAACACTCAATGCTTTAAAGAAGTAGAAGACCCACTACGTACCGGAAGTTACTATGAAAATCTAAAGGTATGTCACTTCAGTTCCCTCAAACAAGTACTTGGTTCCATCATGTCTTAAGGAAAGGGTTAGTGGTCAACACAGTATGGTACTTTGAACAATTATTTTGGAATTATTGTATAATTCCTGGTGTATTACACAGTGATGTTTTTGTGTATACAGATTTCGAATCCTGATGAATTTGATGTCATGCTGCCCATTCCTGTTGACCGAGTGGACATCAAACCATTTGGAGCTGATGGGGCCTTTTACAGTGTGGCATTAAAACGTGGCAAAAGTCCCCTGGAAAAATTTCAAGAGACAAGCACTTTATCTGCCAGTGAAATGCTCGAGGAGTTCAGGAAAGAAGTGAAGACAAGTGTCAAGCAATTCACAGGTGAGTACGAAGATTAGCACTTTTTAAATGTTGGGATATAATCATTGTGGAGACTAAATACCCTTATACTAAAGTCCTTTTTCAGATGGTGCTGTTTGTTCACTGCCTTCAGTCGCATGTATATTCATAAATTATTACACTACATTACATTAACCTTGTATTGTGGCCATATGTCAATGTCCAATGAACACAGAACATTTAGATTGTGTTTCTTGTTTGCTCTTTCAGAATGGGAGGTGACAAAAAAGAAAAAAGGCTGCCCTGCAGTGACTCTGATCACAACAGTAAAATCAATCACCATTTCACTGGATGTTGTTCTCTGTATCATGGTTAAATCCAGCTGGCCACCTTTCACCAAAGAAGGCCTTAAGATAGAGGGCTGGCTGGGAACCAAAGTAAAGCAGGATTACAAGCGAAAGGCATATTATCTTGTCCCCAAATATTATGGCAGCGGTAAAGCGGAACAAGATGGGATCCTTGCTAAGGGTAAGTCTAACTTCTCTCAGTTGGTGAACCAAATCAGATTCTGATTTATAGAAATGAAAACACTGTTATATCAACGCTTAAGGATATATGATTTAAGGATATATAATTAAGGATATACAGTATTATGAGAAAACTCAATTCTGAGCAGCTATAGAAGGTAGTTTGGTCATGTACTGTATAAACAAACACCATGTAAGTTATCACAGATAAGATATGTCACAAGTTGCCTGATACTGTAGCTTATTATTTTATGACAAGTTCCTCGCATTTCAAATAATTGTGTCCTTTCATGGGTGCAGGCAGAGTACATACTACATTTACTCTGTGGTAATTTCACATGTTACAAAAACAGTTTTGTGGCTTTCACATCAGTGGTTTCATGAATGAAGACTAGAGAAAAGGGAAACTTCAAGTTCCTGTACCTATTGAGTATTTTGTCCTCTATAACGCACAGATATTTGGCGGGTTTCATTCTCCCACATTGAGAAAGCTATAATGAAGAACCACGGATCGGAGAAGACATGCTGTGAAAAAGGCGGAACTTCCTGCTGCAGGTTAGATTTTAACAAAAACTTTTTTTTTCCCTTTTATAGAATTACACATTCCCTCACATACAAAATAGAAATAAACTTAAAATAACACTTTCTGTATGTATGTTTGGAAATAACCATACAATTGCTGTCCTGTTCCTTTCTCTTTACATACAGAAAGAACTGTCTGAAGCTCCTAAAGCACCTTCTCAGTCTGCTGAAAGAAGAGGAGTCTTCATTTGACAAGTTCTACTCCTACCATGCCAAGACCACACTCTTACATGCCTGCTGCTCCAGAACTAAAGACACTGAGTGGAAAGCCTCAAGTCTGAGCCACTGTTTTCAGCTGCTCCTGCAGGACTTTGTAGGACATTTGGAAGATGGTGTACTCAACAACTTCTTCATTCCAACTCAGAACCTGCTCTCCGATCCTGGCCAGAAGAGGTGCAGTAGTCTGGCTCAACGTATCAAAGAGGAATGTGACAAGGGCTTTCCTATTTTCAAGTGACGAACCATAGCGTGAAACATCCTTGAGAAACTGGGCCACTGAACCCAAAGAAAACATGGCATCAATATAACAATTTTATTCTTGTGTTTATCCAGTTCATTCTTATCTAAACCTATTTTAAAATATTTATTACTGAATTTGACTTTTATATGTATATACTTTGTAACATCATTGTGCTAAATAAAATTATAATATACCACAGGAAACACATATTGTCATTGTCAATCACAAGGCCTTTCTGTGTCTGTGTCGCCCAAGTGTGAAATTTGCACCTAATGGAAAACATCATGGAACTCTAGTTAGTTCTGCTCTTTTCCTTTCAGTTCATTAAGCCAGAACAACTGACTACTCTTGGTAGCATATGTACCTTGAAATGACATCTTACCTAAAGGTTGAAGGCATCCATAGATGAGAGAAGCTGATGAACCTGAAAGCCAACCCAATCTGCAATTTAAATTATGAAAAGTAAAATGAATGTCCGATTTATAATAGCTTACATTAATTTCAGTGGAGAATGCAAAACATGTAGACTGTGCTGGTTGAGACTTTACATATTTGGGATTTTGCATTATGTGCAACAATTGTGTAAAATCAATTTATTACAAAGCAGGTTCCAAGTATCTTATCAATAACATTAATGTTAGAATAAATACCACGGGGCACCCTGGCAGCTCACCTGGTAGAGCTGGCGCCACATGTACCAGTGCGAGTCTGTGACTTGAACCCCCATGGCTGCTGTAGCAGACCAGTGGCCCCTTGCTATTATGTCATTCCCTCGCTCTCCCTCTCTTTCCTGTTTATCTTAAGCTGTCCTGTCAATAAAAAGAAAGATTACTGTGAAATATACAGTTTTTATGGGAACCCACAGCTGTGTGGTTTCAGTTCCTGCTTATCGTTTCCCCCCACATTTCATTGTAAATCTTACATGGACAGCAATGCAAAGTAACGTCCTGTCAATGTCATTGAAGAACTGACCATCTATATTTATAACAATAAAACATTTACCGCTGCAATCTTCCAGGAACATTTTCCCTATGTTTGTGGAAATATGGAAATAATGCAAAGCAGATCTAATTCTCAGGATATCACACAGTAAAAATGAAAGTTACCAAGCCAATAAACTATACACTGTCACGTCTCTTTAAAAGGAGAATTTATTATACAGATTTCTTTCTGCCCAAATCAAGAAATTGCATAACAAAATACAAAATATTCAGAGTGACACTAAGCACTGCCGTGGTTGATGAGTTACAGACAGAACACTGTCAAAATTGCAATTTAAACATTTTTAAAACAGGGCCACAACATAATGAGGTGCAACTTCCTCTAAATGACAATAGATGATAATCCAGCAAAACACAAACAAACAAAAAAAAATTTCACTCAAAAAAAAAAGAAAAGTACATTCAAAAGTAATTACAACACAGGAGGTCTCAGATCCTTTTCCACCCTATTGAGAAGGAAAAAGTGTAAAAAAAAATGAACATTAGTCCTTAATTATTACTCAATCAGAAAATCCGACAAATAAATGTATTTCATTATTGTCTATTTATGCTTGCAGATTGTCTTATTGACTGTTTATGTCAAAAACTGTGGACAAAAAAATTTGCTTTTGTAGACCTGTGCAGGAAAGCTTGTGGTATGTGTAGACTTACATGGACAATTATGCATTAGAATCCCCAGTTTTGGCCACGATCCCTGCCTCCTCTCCCTCCACCATCTCTCCTCCCCCATCCACCTCCTCCTCCTCCTCGTCCCTGTCCTCCTCTTGGATCAGACATCTCCTTCTCACTCTTGTGCTTCTCGTATCTCTCTGCCATAAGCACCAGCTCCTCAGGGACCTCCTGCAGCAGAATTCACAAAGATTACATTTACTACGGTTTGCTAGATGCTAGGGAACAAGATTTTCATTAAACAAGCCGTTTTGTGATAATACTTTCTATGAAGTGAAATCCACTTTATCCCGCTGTACTGTAGTTTATTCTTTAACAATATCATTTCTATTGGTCAGCCTGATGCCTTATATTCCTATTTATACTTTAAATGAACGTCCCGTCCTGCTTTTTATCCTGCTAACCTGTCCTGCTCGCTCCAGGATATGAATCAGCTCAGGGGCCATTCTCCAGTTTTCTCTTGTTACCAGGGTAACAGCTGCACCTGAGCGTCTGGAACAGAAATGCATCAACATCATAAACTAACTCAAGAACGGCCAGACACAGGCAGTCATTTTCAATCATGTGACCATGCGGAGAACGCAGAACACCCTTACCCTGCTCTGCCAGTGCGACCCACGCGATGGACATACTCTTCTATGTTACGTGGGAAGTCATAGTTAAAGACATGTGTTATATCATGGACATCCAACCCTCTAGATGCCAAGTCTGTGGCCACCAGGATACGAACTCGACCTGGAAAAAGATAAACAGCTGAGGTAGCTCAATGGCTTCAAGGTAGCAGCACCACATACACACAGAGTTGAGTGTCCCCTGTTAGAGGAATGAAAAATCTTTTAAAACCCCATTTTCCTTCCTGTTACATACTCTCTTTAAAGTCCTTGAGGGCTTCTTCACGGTCACACTGCTCACGATCACCATGAAGACTTTGCACAGCCAAACCCTGCAGACACATGTCACTGGACAGGTCATCAGCCCTGAGATTGCATGCAAAAGTAAGCATGGATTATTCTGTGGGTTTTTAGCTTCAACAACCCAAGACTGCTGCTGAATACCAATTTACGCCTTCATTTTTAAGCCATGTTAGTGACTAACTCTCCACTCACACAAGCTTCTTCCCAACAAAGATGAGGACTTTATCCTGGGGCAGCATGTTTCTGATGAAGTCAAACACGTAGGACTTTTTCTCCTCTTCGTGGACGATCAGCACCGTTTGCTGCACTGTGTTAACCGCCTGGGAACCAGAGAAACACAGGGCGCATTTAAAAATGTATTCCAGACAGGAGCACCACCTGAAAGTCATTTCTTAAGAGCTGTTAAAAGGTCAAAGGTCAATAACAAAGAAATTGTTTAGCTGTTTTTGTAGCAGAGAAACAAGAACTTTGCATTTTGCTCCTATTTTCAGGTTGGACAAAAGTGGAAAACATACAAACAGCAAAGCACACAGACAACACACCCAGTAAATTATTGACTGTATTCATTCCCACTTACTGCTAAGTCCAGAGTGCCCACATAAACCATTATGGGATTCTTTAGGTAGGATTTGGACAATCGTCTCACACCAGTGGGCCAGGTGGCACTGAAACATGAAGTTAAAAATGGAGAAAAAGAGTTAATTTTCAATTCTATATTGTGCAACCAACACCATTTCAAAGAAAACCTCCATAGCCCTTCTTTAAGGAATTTATTATTTAAAAAGTCTAATTTATAATATGATCTTCCTTGCCTTCATGAAAATGTGGATGAATACAAACTTGTGATATAGATTATATAACTTTCTGTTTAGACAATGCTAATTTTTTTAGCTCTGTGAAACATATTCCCTCAGTTCATTAATATACAAATTGTATATATTATATATGTAATTGTAAAATTTCCATGTGGAAGAAACACTGACCAACAGCTTTCATGCTTGGTGTCTGCAATGTAAATGCTTTCTCTCTTGGCTGAATTGAGTCCTGTTCATTAACTATGTTTGTTAACGTTTGTTTTAAAATACTATTATGTGACTTATACCTGGTCATGACAGTCTGACGGTCTGGGCGGATGTCCAGGAGAATCTTCATAATCTGGGGTTCAAAGCCCATATCTAGCATACGATCAGCCTCGTCCAGCACCTTTTGCCAATGATCAGAGCAGCTATTTAAAACGACCTACCTGTACTCCCACACATGACATTTTGTGTTTGTGTGAACACCTGTACAATTTCATAAATAAAGTAAGGCACTGAGATTGTTATTTTTACGAGTGTGATTGACAGTGGGGTAAAGCGATCCCTCAAATGTACAAATATTGTAAGGCACTTTGAAAAAAAAAAAATGTGACGATAAAATGGAAAAGCTTATTTTGTGGACAATGTTCACACTCAAACATTCAATGCTTCTCACATAACAAACATGCACAAAAACAGCTGACCAAGTAGGTGATGGAGCGAAGACTGATGAGCTCATTCATCTGTAGATCATTTAGTCGGCCTGGTGTAGCGATCACTATGTCCACTCCACTCTTTACCAGGTTGATCTGGCCTCTCCTATCCCCTCCGCCATAGATACAGATACTGAGAGAAGGTAAAGAAGGAACAGTCACGGTCATGTCACCTCTACATCGCAATTAATTATTGATGCTAACAGGCTGGACACACTGCCCACGTGAGCAGTGCGTGACGGCTGCCTCACTGAACTCCTGAACAGACACGTTTCTGTTGCTGTGCTGCCAGCCCTATCTTTCTACAATGAGGTTGTCTTTGATAAATGCAATACAAAAGAATCCTGGTTAATAAATGGATGGAAGGAGAGAGTGTGTCTAGGCCATAAGCTAATCTTTAATGACTTATGATAATAGAAGACTGCTGTACCTTTTGTAGCTCTTATAGCGGTACTTTTTGCACTCTGTTTCAATCTGCAGGGCCAGCTCTCTGGTGGGAGTCAGCACCAACATGCCTGGACCACCCTGCTCATCCCTAGGTCTATCAAGGAAGGAAGGACAAAAAGACAGAAAAGACTAGTAAGCACAATTGCACACACAGATGAAAGAAATAAAAAGAAACCGTACTTTCACGGACATCACAGCACAACATCAGACATACCGATGCCTAAAAAGGAAAGTAAGCAACAGGTCCTGTACTCACACAGGCTGACCATCCATGTGGATGAACCCTGGCAGCAGGTAGGCCAGGGTTTTCCCTGTTCCTGTCTGAGCAATTGCAATCAGGTCCTCCCCACTCAGCAACACCGGCCACGCCTGAGACTGGTGAAGAGACAGGCAAAATGATTAAAACTACAAACTTACACAAAACTTAGTAACCTAGACTAGCCAATTAATTACTCTGAAAATATACCGTGTTTAATGTAGATTACACTCATCTCACTTTTGGAAAGGAAGAAACCAAACAATCAATATGAATCTCACATCTCATGTGCATTAATTACAGAACTGTCAGGGCACATCTTGCATGCCTAACTTAGCACAAGATATGAGGCAGGGGGAAAAGGCTAGACTGGCTCAATTTAAAGCTAAAATTGGGCTACCAAGGCCCCCAAAGCACTAGTATTTACACAATATACCTTGTTTGTTTAACCTGTTCATAAAAAGAAATAAGAGAACAATTTATGATTTTGTTGGAGCCATTTTCTGATGAACAAAAGACAGACACAGCAACAGAAGACCTGACAATGTACCAAACTGGTTAGCACAGATACCAATCTAACAGCATCACACCAGCAGGTATAAGAAGACACACAGGCGTAGACCAGGTGGGGTAACAGCAGCTTCACAGCTACACGATTAAAGCGTGTTTGTTTGAAACTATTATTGCATCATACAGTGCTGGCTGAACTACTTGAAAGCACGAGCCAGTAATATTGCATTCCATCTGACCAAGCCTCTTATTGTAAAAGAAGGTAAAATTGAGAAAGGAGATTATGTAGTTTCATTTTGACGTGCACCATGCTCCTTGTTTGAATTCTGCACTGACACAACCATAGGGAGCCATATTCTCGGTCTAAGAAACGTTACAAACAAAATAAACATGTACGTCTATGTGCAACAAGGACAACTGTGTAGGATTTAGTGGCATCTAGCGGTGTAGTTGCAGAGTGCAACTCCCTCGCTTCACCTTCCAAGTGTGTACGAGAAACTTCAATGGCTGCAAAACACAAACAGACGTATTTAGAGGCACTGTTTGGTTTGTCTGTTCTGGGCTACTGTAGAAACATGGGGGTTTAACGTGGCAGCCCATAGAAGGCTCATTCTAAGGTAACAAAAACACAACAATTCTTATTTCCAGATGATTATAAACTAATGAAAATATAGTTATGTATATTATATTCCATTTCTGCCAATAGATCCTACTAAAGGTTACACACTGGACCAGTAACCTAAGCAAGTTAAAAACCACAGGAAACACTGAATAATTATTTTAACTAAAAGGTTAGGTTCAATTAAAGAGATAGTTGATGTACAAAAGTATGAATGAAATTTGTTTTGGCTCAGTTCTCAACATACTGAGTCACCTAAGATGGGGTTTCATATGATTAAAGAAAAATATGACAAATGTCCTTTCATTTCTGCTTTTTGGGGAGACTACAAGCATAGAGCAACAAACAAAGGCTAAATATTTCCTGTAAAGGCTGCCGGTAATGTGGGTATTTCCAAATATGGATTTTTTCAGAATCACGGTGATTACCCATTGCAACAGACAATGAACTGGACGGGTTACTACAGGTGCATCTGTCAATATCTAACCACACACAGTATATACACACGGAAAGTTTTGTTTCAAAATAAGATGAAAATTTTTCGAAATAGTAATTTAACAACACATTTTACAGGAAAGAAGGTAATATATTTTCCCATCACTGGGATTGGGTTCCTTTGATTCTAGTATAATCAGAAGTAATACTTAAAAGTATGTAAGTTTCAAAATAAATATATTTGCCCAGGTGCCAGGCTCATACCTGGATAGGGGTTGGTTTGACAAAACCAACTCGTTCAATATTTTCCATGATCTCTGGATAAAGCTCAAAGGCCTCCAGAAAAGTGCGACAGGGATTGGGAATCGGCCGCTTCTCCCCCTCCTCCTTCAAGTCGTCCACAAAGATATTGTTATTTTCCTTCCTATGGAAAAATATTTTAGAAACAAGAATATTGTAGAAGTGGCTGAAAGGGTAAGATGGTTGATTCCAAACCACACTACTGTGGCTAATATGTAATACGTTTAGCTGTAGATGTTGTATTTGAGAGACCACATTTGGTTCAAATGATACTGTATTCCAAACACCACATGATAGTTGGAGAAAGAATACTTTCAATTTCAAAATCCAAACCATTTTCAATGTTAAATCCATTTAAATAACAGGAGTTTGTTCCAGACTAACACAGTTTCATAATTTAAGGACCTATAGATCAGGGCTCAACACAACTGTGGCCTTTTTGTCCTGCACTACTAAATTTGGCCCACTACTAACTACTATTTCTGTATTCCACAGCAACACTGAATCTCTCACTCTTATTTGAGGCCCTGAAGTTTCCGAACCACAGATGAATTCCAAGACAAGCAGACTTATAGGTGTCTACAAGACAAATTTGCGCACTGTGTACTGCAAGTATTACAGCCAGACCTCAGATAGCACATGAAGAGATGGATAAATGGTGCCCCCTATTTGTCTGAGGCTGTAATGGAAAACAATACAGACAACAAAACATGCAGGGAAAAGTGTTGGTGGGAGAAATTCTCAGCAAAAGTGGGAGGTTTTAGGTTTCACAAAAAGCCATAAATACATTTTTGAAATCATAATTTTTGATGTGTATACTTATTGTACCCACAGGGTACAAGATGTGATGAATAATGCCAGACTTACCTCCATTCAATGACTTCCTCTGCTGTGAGCATGGATACACTCTCTGCCTCAACATAAAACTTCTTCTTCATCGGTGGGAGGTCTGAAGGAAGTTGCAAATATTACAGAAATAGTTTAAAACCATGGACGAGGACTTCATTCTTGCAAATAACTAGTCTAATCAAGCTAATAACAATAAATAATAACAATAAACAAGAGCAAAGAAAAAGGGAATTCTTATTAGTGGTCAAATTAGTAACTGTACGCCTTTATATAAAGCATGCTACAGTAGGGCCAAGACAATGAAAACCATATTAATTTTCAAACACTTGTGGACTGCAGTCTATGTAGTAACAATATACGAGCCCTCACCACTCCACTTGAGTTCAGCATACTTGTCCTTGTTCTCCCGGATGGCGTTCCAGTCTATGGATACACGGGCCGGGGCTGTATTTGCAACCTGTAATTCTGCTGAAGACCATACAGAGGCTTTGCTTACTCCCCTATCGCCTCTGTAGTCTCCATCAGGACCTCCTCCATAGTCTCCCCCCTTACGGGGACCTGAGAAACAACAGTATGCAGTATGGAGTAGTAGTTGGTTTTCTTAATGAAAAAACTTTCAATATTTCTGCCTCTCTTCATTTTCCCTCGTTTTGTCGCGTTTATTTTATTTTTCCGCTTCAGTTAGTCAGCTCTTCTGGCGCTCAGGTCGCGCGCAACTTTTAAACACACGCAACGTGTGGTGAACAGGACCACAGCCAATCAGAGGCAAAGACCCGCCGAGCTCTGTCTCTTATTGGTTTAGAACACGATATGATCCTACCATGAGTGTGTGAGTTCGGTCACCGGAGAACACAGAGAGATAATGCGCTTGCGAAATAAATGTATGTTTTGACTCGGGCAGCGTCAGCGCGACCAAGAAAAATTATTAGTCGCACTCTTAAAAATGTTGGTTGCAATTGCGACTTGGTACTGAAGTATCAGTTCTCGTGACATCCTTAATTTGCAGGGCATAAAATTAACACCAGCCACATGCTGGTAGATTTGCATCACTTAACAAGCAAAAATGTATTTTATTCACTAGGGCCCTAGATAAATAACAAAAAAATTTTTTAACTTTAACTGATGTATAGCGTTAAATGGGAAGGTTAGGTCCCTTCATGGATACAAAAGGAGATAATAATAAAGTGTTAAATGTGACCACATCAATGCAATGAGGCTCATGCCTGAAGACACCCGACTGCCAGGAATTATTCTAGGATCAAGATCTACATTTTCTATAAAAATTACTTAATACCATTGTAAAATCGAGAGTTGCCATCTGCCAGTAGGTCTTCAATCATCTCCTTGGCCTTCTGCTGGGCAGCTGAGGGCCCAAAGATGACCACCTCACCTTCATAGTCCCCCTTGTTTATCTAAAAAACAGCAGAGTTAAAAACGGGGAATAATATAACATTATAACCACAGTCCTGGTCCATCCAAAACACATCACTATAACCTGAACTAGTTGAATTCTGAAGATGATTTACAGTCATTTTATAGCTTATTTAAGTATTTCTGGTTTCTGGTCTACATTGTCTTGAATAAGTCTCGACACTCTTTAGACTTGAAACTGAAATGGCTCTGGTCTTGGAATAGGACTACAGAGGTTTCTAATGAATAAAGAAATACATCCGAAGGCTGAATTTTTGTTTATGTGGCAGGCAGTGAAGGAAAACTGCAGCCAAAGAAGAACTTTACCAGCAAAAGCCTGCAGTCTGCTTTCTTGTTCCTTCCTCAGACCCGAGAACGAACGTCGGTCCTCCAAGTAAGGGATAAAACCCTGATGAGATGTCAATTATCCAGAATGAATGCCGAGTGGACGCCGTGGAGGCAATTAATTCCTGATTATGGACGCTCTCGCTTATATTATAGTCACTTGCCAAAGGAATAACAATTAAGACCATTCATTCATATTTATATTTTCATGTGTTTTAAAATCAAAATCTCCTTTTTCACAAGCCATAATTGTTTCCCTGGTAACACCTGAGGGTTTGACTAACACCCATCCCATATGGTTTCTATGCAATGGAGAACTACTCCAGTAAATAGGACAAACCTTAGATACAACTTGGCAATGGGAGATATTTCTAGTCGTCTCCTCTCATAGAGCCTTTTGGCTCAGCCATGAGCCAGAAAGCTAACGTCATGCTAGCAAGACTTAAAAGTTATAACTCTGCATATGGTTGACAAACAGTAAATATAATGTGACAGTACGTTTTAACAACAAGACTAACTAGCTATCCAGCCATGTCACTATCCCCAAATCAATAAAGATTTTAACAAACGAATGAAGGTTTGCTGTCAGCTGCAGCCTAAGTAGCGAGTTGAAAAGCGAATTAATCTAGAACAATGGCCATTATATAATGCCAACAAAATCAATGTACAACTCTATTCAATAAGAAAATTCAGGCATATGTTAACAGCAGGATGCTTCAAAACTATACTATGTAACTTTTTCCTCCACCTTCACAAAAGCACAAACATTATTCCACAACAGACACACTGACATGGCTGCCTGCAAAAGTGTCTGAAGACATGTTTATGGCTGATATATAGTGGCAGATACCAATTATTTTAAAAAGTAATGTCAGGAATTAATGGACACCCTGCAGCCAATCAGAACCGAGTATTCAGGCAGACCACGTCCACATGGCATAAAAAGAAGGATTTAGGAACAAGAAAGCAGTGTGCAGGCACTTTCCCACATTTAAGTACATATTATGGCTGCCAAGCACCAGTTATTTATTTCTGAATGTGCCCTACTAGTTTGACACTAGTCAACTTGCCTTGATTCTTGCACCGGTGCTCTCTTGAAGTTCACGGATTTTGGCTCCTCCACGACCTTAAACAGGATTAAAAAATACTAAATGCATATAAAATATCTTCATCGCCTGGTAACACAGTGTTAACACAAGTACTATAAGCTAATGCTGTAAGTACAGGACATACCTACACACTAGATAACATAAACAGCTTATGGAAGGCAGCATGGAGATTAGAGGTGAAGCTATCAAACCAAGCTAAGTTAACATATTTTGTTGATTTAACGTTAGCATAACTACCTAATTAACAGCGTCGTCACATTAAACGTAACTAACAAAGTCTGCAAAGTGTTAGTAGTCTTCGAAACTGAAGTTACTGCTCTAGAAACCTACCTATTACCCTCCCAACTGAAGCATTTTCCACAGTGAAAGTCACAGGCGGGGAAGAGTCTGAGTCTTCATCGCCAAAGGTCCGTCGTCCCGAGCTCCGGGGAAACGTAACGTTACGGCCTTCACCTGCACCTCTCCGACTTCTGAACTCCAATTCCTCGCCGCTACGATCAGCTCTGCCCCCTCTTGCGCCTCCAAACGTGGTTCTGTTTCTCACGCCGAAAAATACATTTTCCCTTTGGCGGTCATCCCATGGCAATTTCCGTTCAGTCGGAGCTGATTTAGTAGTAGGCTTACGGATAGTAACTTCGTCTTCCTCTTCCCAGTCAGACATTTTAAATTTGGCTCCCCTCCTACCAGCTAGCTGACCCTAACCGCAATTAACTGTCAAGCTGTCAATCAAGACTATGTCGCATTCACTTCCTCCCCGTAAACTCAGACTTTCGAATTTAATTTAATTTAAGATTTAGATTAATATCGTTTTCATGAATATGGAATGTAATTAATAAAAATCTAACTTTCTAAATATACCATAAAAAGGTGGCGACTTTTGTCAAATTCAACACTTAGATGCCATTTTTTAATAGAATACCATACTTTTTACATTCATTGTCCATCACCCTGAATATATAAAATCCTAATTTTAAAAAGGCAACACGACATTCTGTGATCTTTTTACGCCAAACTTACTTTCACCTTGACATTTAAATAGCTAATAAAAAAACACAAAAATCAAAACAGTTTAGTTAATCTGTACTTTATTAATGAATAATAAAATTATTTTTGCATTTCTCATCCAGAGAACATAATGTGCACTTTAATAAATTAATTTCAAAGAAATAATAATGTTAACATTATCAAGCTTTAAGGCCAGTTGTGTAATAAATTACTGTTCAAGCAGTAGAGAAATGGTATTATTAACCATCCAAGCCTTAAAGTCTGTGGCTAAAGCTACATGACTTAAGTGAACTGGATGCCTAACCCAAAATGAGCAATGTGATTTCTACTACAGTATGCTATGGGTTGTCGGTAAGACCTTCATAGCCCTGTGAAGAAAAATGAAATGAAAGAATTTCCATGTACAGGAAAGGCACCCTGAAGCAATTTACAGATTGCAAAAAAATAGCATGTTTAATGAGGGGAATAATCCACCCAATGTCCCATGGGCTTTCCTCATTATTCAGTTTTTGTTCAATGTCTTGCTCCAAAGTAATTAACCATTTTGACTGGCCTCTTTTCATATGTAGAAAAACTCAATCAATAACTACAAATATATTCCAATATTAAGCATTAAACTACCATGTCACATTTTCAGGCTCCTCAAACTCACCATTAACAACTGTGCTTTCATTACGATAATACATGTCATCATACCACAACAACTCCTGCATGGGCTGTAGAATATTTCAAAATCAATCTACAACTGTTTACAATTGTCATTCGTTAGAGGATAATACTTGTTATAGACTACTACAGAGTGTTAATTTGCTAATCAATGCACTTACTCACCATTCAAAACAAAGGGAATATAACTGGAAAATAATGATGAATAAAGGTTGTCATTAACACATTAAAATACATTTTTAAGACTGCTGTGACTGAATACTCTTTAAGACGTAAACATGCAAAAAACAAATCACAATGGCTAACACAAATTAAGATGGCTGACACAGTTTTGTGCATAATTATCATTCAAGAGCAGTCAATCCATCTACAAGCAGGATGGCAATGAAAACAATGCTATCAAGTTAGGACAGTGTCATTTAAGAGACACACTAATTTTTATAATACTGCCAGCGAAAGCATATAACTTCTTGATCTGAATATGGACTCAATGCTCCAAACTATAAATGTGTCCACTTGAGTATTCTTTAGATTATTACAACAACCATGAATGGTTAAATATTGTAATTTTGACTGATGTGGTGATGAGGAATTGCATGCACATTGTCCTGGTAAGTTATACATAATTTTTGGGGGGGCAGCAAGAGAGGTTAAAAAGGCCAAACATAAGACACATTTTAGTCTCAGTCTCAGATGAGACTGAGTTAGTCTCCTGCCAATGTTTCCTGAAGCACATTGCTCTGGATAGGAGCATCAGCTGAATGCTGAAAGTCACAGAAAATATCAATTAGGCTTTTGTTTTGAGATTACAGGACACTCTTTTGTCATCTTTTTCCCTCTCTCTCCTATTTAATTACGTGAACATGTTATATTTTTGACAGTGTCAACAGCAGAATGGACACATAGATAAAGTAAGAACATGCATACAACAGTGCATGTACAGTATCTCGTTATTATGGGTTCCTCGGGTGAATTTAAGCTAATCTGCTATGTTATAAATGGAGTCTATGCATTGCACATTTCACCCTGTAACACCACACTACACCTAGGGTTGGGAATAAGGTCAGTCCAGCAGCCTTCAATCATTATTAATACACATGGTGCAACCAGCACCCAGTGAAAAGATAGGTTTGTCAAAAAATCATTAAATGACCGAATTATATTTGTCATAAAAGTTTATAGTAAGTATATAAGTACTTTGAAATTAGTTCAAATTAGATTACTTCCTTTTTGTTAAAGGTTTGGAGGAAACATTACTTTAACATGCAGAAGGACATCCAGGCCACCATTAAGTGTGTGACTACTCTTGACTTTAAGTATTGCAACAGCTTAGGCATGCAGCATCTCATGCTTGGCTGGACAAGCCTACTGCGATTCAGCATTCAGACCTTTAACCATCAACCTATACAAAGAGTGGGACACTTGTGTTGAACGATTGCTGAAAGGCCATTTTTCCAATAGGTTTTTCTGCATCCAAACTCACTGACAACTTGTTGATGAAACTAAGCAATCATATAAAGATTAAAGCAGCAACAAGAAACTTTCATTTTGTGTTGATTCTGGCAGCCCCTGTGGACAGAAGTGGTAGTGTTTCCACAGTCTTGTTTCATTTATTTCAAGGGGAACAAGACTGAATCTAACCTGGTGGCAGGCATAAAGAATAATCATATCGAAATGGCCAATTTTCTTGCTGATGGTCTTGTTTTCTTGTGTAGGTAATATAGAGGCATCAGTATGAAATTTAGACTGTTTCATGACAGGTTACAAACTCCTTGTAGTAGGTTTAACTATTGTTTCTGTGGTTGTAGATGGTACATGCTAAGGATTTGACCTTTAACTTTTTTTTCATAACTCTATAGCTATTCCAATTACACCAGGCCTCACCCATTATTCTCCTTTCATTATTTTTTTTTGGAAACAGTCCATGCAGTGATATATATGAAAGCATAAGTAAAAGATGACATTGTACATTGCCAAAGACAGACATTGAATAAGGAGAGTGAGTGACTCTCCCCAAAGTACACGGTGATTGTGGCAGTTGTATGTGTCAGTGTGTTTCTTTGTGTGTGAAAGAGTGTGTATGTACCTGTTTGTACTGGTTTCACCACATGTTAAGAAGTGGTTGACCTATAGTTTCCAGTGGCTGGTTTGAGGTTCAACAACACGTGACTTTTGAAGCTTGTAACTACTTCTCTTCTGATTTTATTCACACATTTATTTGTTGAGTTTGGCACAAGTCAAAAGAGCCAATATCAATACCTTTTCATTTCTACAATAAAAAGTTACACTCCTGCTTATTTCAGTGATGAGCCCAAACTTGGGTCTTTGGTGTGGGTTTAGGTTCTGACTAAGTTACTTAACTGTTGGACTGCTGGAAATTACCTTGAAAAGAAAGCTAACAGTTATTTTTGTGATGAACTAAATTGTTTGATTTGCTTCTACACTCTGATGTCTATTAAGAAGGTGTCAGATTGCAGGCTCAGATATCTTGTTAACATTCTTTCCTTGTTCTTCATTTCAAACAAACCTATTGTATTAATATATGATATTTAAAAATGACCTTTTTTGTATAAACAAATCTGAATATCTTTAGACAAAGACCAAAGCAAATTCTCTTAAAGGAAGGTTATTTGTGTATTGTTTGTGTATTTTGTCTTATATGAATATGCCCACCTTCATACATATTTTATACGTCATTATACTTTCTTTTTCTTTTCTTTTTTAGTAGTTTTAGTACACCATAGAAATTATATATCATAATAAAACCTGTATGAAAGTGGACTTCATCATGTTAGACAAAATCTAAAAACATTGTATGTCCATATACAAGGCATTGATTGGACATTTGCAACATAATCTGTATAGTGTCCTGTAAAAATACTTAAAAAGTGGCTTTCCCAACAATGGTTTGTACATACAGTATGTGAGCGTGTATGTGTGGTTATGCCAGCTGTATGTGTGGAGGCTGACTGAGAAACTCTGAGTTTCCCTTGGTGTGAGGCGCAGCCTCCTCCACAGACTGTAGAAGGTCTGAGGGGTCACCAGGTCCCTGGGACAGGAAGTCAAAATGTTCATCTGCTGGCTCTAGTTTGCACTCACTAATGAAGAGTTCTGCTCCATCCCAGTTGCTAAGGTCACCGTGGGCATTGCCACGTTCGCTACTGTTGCTGCTGCTGCTGTTGTTGAGTGCTGAGGAGAGACCGGGAGCCTGGTTGGTCGAAGGCTGGCTGAGATTGTGCACAGAGAGCGATTTTCCAAGACTACCTCCCCAGCCTGAAGGCGTCCCATCTGGGCTAGATGAGAGCAGCAGCAGGGGGTTAACCTCCATGCTCATGTGCCTCCTCCAAACCCCCTCAGATTTCAAGCCAGGCTCCTCCCGTAGCTGCACCCTTTCCTGGGCAGGACCTGCCTCACTGTCCCCTACTTGGTCAGCATCTACACTGGATCCAACAACAACAGAGGGGCCCAGGCTCTCCTCATCCTCTGCCACTCCACCTGTCATATCATCTGGGATGGGGTCAGCGGGGCATCGGAGGTGGACCATAGGGGGCAACCGGAGGGTAAAACCCCCTGTTGAGGAAGGTGGGGGCGGCAGGTCAGGGAAGTGTGCTCTTTTGGAGGTACAATTGGGGGTGACCAACGTTGGGTAGGGGCTATCAGGAGGCAGCAGTGGTGATGGGGAGAGTGAAGCTGTGGACGGGGGGTAGGATGGAGGTGCTGAGTCTGGGGGACCGTCATCATCGGCCGGTGCCAGAATGAGCCGCAGGCCTCTCGGGTTGGCGCTAAGAGAACGGCGTAAGCGCCTGTTGTTATCTCCTTCACCTCCAACCAGATCGCCTCCCTGGGGAGAGGGGAGATCCCTGCCGATGATGGACGTCTGGTAGTCTGAGTTGTGGTGCTGGTGGTTGTCCAGCTCGAACAGGGGCAGGGAGGACAGGGTGAGTGCTGAGGAGCCTTTCTGTAGGACTTGGCGGTAAACGTCCAGCAAAGAGTCCAACTTTGATTCAATAGAAGTAACCTGGGACCAAGAGAAATGAAGAAGAGTGTGAGAACATGGAGGGAGGCAAAACAGGAAGCAAGAGAGAGAAACTTAAGAGGGAATGTTAAGCAATTTATGACCTCAGTCATTTTCCCGTAACATTGATTTGTTGTTTCCAAAACAGATGTTAGACTAACCCTAACCCCAGAAAGTGAGTTTTGAAAGCCAGATATGTCCTGAGTCACCGGTATTGATCAACAGCCCAGATCAGCTCCTTGCGTCTTAACATGGGGCAACACAATCTTGCACATTCATTTTCAAAGAATAATCTTCCCTGACTCACCTGTCTCTCCACCTTACACACCCGTCCCAGCATGCTCATGCCCTCCAGAGAATCTCCATCTGGGTGCAGTTTGTCCCTCATTTTCTTATCCACAGGAATTTGGCCTTTTCCAAGAATCTGATCCACCCTGATACACACACACACATACACTGGTGTTAACATGTTACAAAATGATGGTATTGTAATATAAGTAGACTGGAGCTTCATTTCAGGTTATCCCAAGTAAGGCAACAAACCTAAAGCAGCAGTAGGATGTTAAGATTAGGGTTAGTAAAACACACCACACATGGCATGGCTGCATCTGTGCTCTCAAATGAAAACACTGTATCTCCAAAATTGTCAGTTTCTCAGGAAACAAGAAAAACAGCATTTTCAGATTGGATTTCATGCAGTCTGTAGTTTACATGGAGTTCACAGGCTCTTGAACTTTAAGTATAAAAATTGTCAATGTATAAAATTAATTAATTAATAAAAAAACCATCATGCACCCAAAAGAAATCCCATGTTCAATGACAATATGAGCTCTATAGCTTTAAAAATACAGTATGTACAAAGCAAAGATCATATTGTTGCTGTTAGGTGAAAACCTGCTATCTCAAGCTTGACAATGCATTTGTGAGTATAAATAAATTAGTCAGTTTTAGTGTTACGCAGAAAATGCTTACACAATCCTTCCAGCTGAAAAATATCAATACTGACGTTACACGGTTATTACACAACAACACTGAGCAGTGTGAAAGTACATCACAAGCTACTTAGTTCATTAATTTCACTTTCCATTCCAAGAAGAAGCAGGAAGCATACATTTATATTTTCTCTATGTTTTAAGACATTTAAATACATTGATGCTAAATGCAGTGCTGCATTCAAATGACCAGTGAATCTGTAGCCAGATTAATGTTGTAATAATGCTGTAATAACGTTGAATTAGTGAAGTTAACCAAGTTTGTTAATTACTAACATGCATCTAACAAGGAGAGGCCAGCACTCAGAAAATACCACACAAACTATTTTGTTTTATCTGCCACAAAAATCTATGAATTAATTGGAAGACAACAGCACACAAGTTAGCAACATTTACAACAAAAGCATTTCCCCTTTCTGGTGAAGGGAAAAAGGAAGTATGGAACTATGGATGGGATCTAACGTAACGATAGGCATGATATTTTTGGGCTTGTGTGTGTGTAATGACGTCAGGACACATTTTCAAGATGTGTGTGTCAAATCTGGTTAATTAAGACTTCACCTAGAATAAAAGTTTTTTTGTTAGGTTAATACTTATATATGCCTTTCACTTTCAAAATCCTGTTTGTGTGACTGTCTAGCAGTTATTGCACTAATGCAAACTACAACCATCTGGCACCATAAGAAAGTTAATACAAATGTTGCATTTCATGTTTCACGATCAGTCAGGTACTTCTGGGGACTGCAAGGGACCCTAATGGTCAGCGCAGGGGCAACTAATCGGATTCTACTGTAGGTAAAAATCAAATTAAGTGAAATAAAAGTAACCCTGAGTCAGGGAGCTTCTTCCTGTTGTCGCTGTAATAATAGTGCAGGGCAGGAGAGGACATGTTCCTGGGTCGGCTACTCAAGCTGGGACCAGAGCGTGCTGCACTGGCCACTCTGGAGACAGGAGAAAGACTGGGTCAGATACAGATACTCTCTCTCTCTCTCTCTCTCTCTCTCTCTCTCTCTCTCTCTTTCTCTCTCTCTCACACACACACACACACACACACACACACACACACACACACACAACAACACCAAAGCGTGAAGCACAGGTGGACAAATCCATTCCTGATTGACAATAAATAACAATGGCATGTAGATAAACACAAAGGATGAGAGGGAAGAGTATACTAAAAATGTCTGACATTTTAGAAGCTGATATTTGCATTCTTCAGTATTTTGAGTCTAAATAATTTTCAATTTCGTTAGATTGATTAAATTAGTCTTACTCCCACTACATCTGTATTCATCTCAAGGCAAAACAGTTTATAAAAGACCATTTAGACCATGATGTGACACTAATAAACACTGATTATCACAATAAAGAGAAAACCCAGGTGAGCTTACATAGCTCTTAAGCAAGTTTAAAGAACCAGTGTGAAGGATTTAGTGGCATCTAGTGGTGAAGTTGCAGACTGCAACTTACTGAACACTGCTCGCATCTGTATTTGACGACCTGGGAATGAGAAGAAGCTGTGAGGTGTGTAGGAGAAACTATGTTGACCGCGAAACTCACAAAAAAAGAAACATGGTGGTTCAACATGGCTGACTCCATGGGAGGCGACCTGCAGTGCCTGTAAACCCGACACCTGATAAAAACTTCTCATTCTAAGGTAAAAAAACAATTCCTATAGTCAGGTGACTATACACTAAAAACCTATGAGCATACTATATTCAATTTCTGCCAATAGAGTCCCCTCAATGTTACGCCTCACCTAATGTATGGTAAAGAAAGTCACTTGCTTTTAAATAAAGTGAAACATTAAGGGTTACATTAATTCATACAGACAACCAACATAATGGAAGTCTAGTAACAATGCTGGTGAGAGACAGTAACATCACTCAGGTTGTCTGTGTGTATCTACAGCCTTTGTCCACAACAACATTCATATACAGAAAACAAGCACTATGTTATTCCCCAGGAGTACTACTGACAACACTGGCATCACCTAAGTCACTGCTATTCATTCAGCACAACAAAATACAAGATGACACTCATTACCAAGAGCTAAAAACAAACTTCTTTTTGAAAAATATATAAAAATCCCAATCCATAACTGTGTGACAGTGCCCCCTGCTTTTTCCAAATTAAGTGATTTTGAAAGAAGAACTGAAAGCCTTTATATATGGTGTGAAGCTGCCAAACGAAATAGGAACAGTTGGATTTTGAATGAAAGTATGAATGATGATGAACAAGACTTCCTGCATATAATGATAAATGGACTTTTATGTGTTCAAATAAATTCTGGATTGGGGCTTTTACATAAGGACAAAATAGATACCCTGCTTCTCACTGAACAGCGTCTTGTCTACAGTTGCCTACAGGATGTTGTAGTTAGTTGAGGTCCTCAAGGTGCCCAAATCAGGATTATCACATGGTTTCCAGTGTGAGTAAAGTGTTAAAGTGTTAAAATATTGTATATTACTTACTACTAATAGAATAAGAATGATGTGATAAAGGATTACTTCCTTAGTAGAAAAAGACTGTTGGCCATGTGCTTGATCCTTAATGCATATGATTGAGGCTCAGACCACGGAAGTTATTTTCCACCTACAATGTTAGGATGGAGTTTAAAACTTAAGGTGTTTTTTTTTTCATGCACAGTTTTGTCCATAATCCATTGCTTGTGCTCCTTGATGACCTCTACAGCCACACCTGGGTCAAGCAGCCAATTTGGTAAATGTTCTCTTAAGCGGGCAGTTAAACAGGACTATGGTCCCTTGAAATCTTTCTCAAACGATGGTAATGAACACTGTCAGTTTGCCTTATTCTTGCTTGAAATGCTTTCTGCGACCGGGTTATGCTTGAAGAAGCTCCACAAGAATAAGAAGCAGAGAAAGCTTACGAGGTGTGTGAGACAGTTGGCACAGAGTTACATTTCTTTACACCATGTTGAGTTAAGCTATTTATGTGTAAGGGATTTTCTGATAGATGCAAAAGCATTTGAATGCACGCTGCTTGACCCGGGTGTGACAACATCAAGGTCTGGGTATGTTAGTGGGGGAAGCAGTTGGCGAGCAGAAATCAGGACGGGGCAGGTCTAACCCCGGTGAAGACTGTTTCCTCCGGGCCTGGCTGTAATATAAATGCAGGGAGGGAGAGGAAAAGGTCTTGACGCGGCTGCTGACAGGCCTTGGAGGGGGACCCACTACAGTGTCTAGTCTGGGAGAGAGAGGGGGCACACATGTACATATACAGTACATACACATACACTGGGTTAAAAAAAGACATGGTTGGAAATTAGATGAAAGTAAAAGTGGGTTAATTTCATTTCAAACGATTGTGGGACTAGTAGGAACTGCAGAAACATTGGCGACAACATCCACCTACTATGCAAGTCCTTAGTAAAGAGTAAAAAAATGTATAAAGAACTATTAACAGATGTCATTGAAAATAATAAACGTGTAGATAACAGCAAATTCACATAATAAAAAAGGATTTTTAGACAGACCAGTTGTCAGACCAGTTACGTGTGTGTATGTGTGTTGTGTGTGTGTGTGTGTGTCCTGACCTAGTTTGAAGACTCTTAATCCGACAGAGCATGTCCAGGTGTCCTGCAGAGTACTGCTCTATGACATCCTTCACATCATACGGGCGCAATGTCTCCTTAAACTTCTTTTTTGCCACATGGAACTTCATGATCCTATACACACAAAAACAAACACACAAAAAGTATAAAGACAGACACAGAGAGGGAGAGGAATAGTAAAGTGAGAAACAAAGTCAAAAGAGGCTTAAACAATAAGTATGTAATTACTACAAACAACCACTAGATGGTAGCAGCCACTTTGGGAAATCCACTGGACGATTGTTGTTATCTTTTTTTAGGAGTGTGATAAAGAAAACATTATTAAAATCTCAAATACCTCAAGGAGTATCCAACAGGAAACCAAAGTTCCCTGGTTTTCTTGTCAAATCAATAGCAACCAAAATGAATGACTTAGAAACTTGAGTGTAATCCTTTATCTCCTTCTATTTGTTGAAGTACTGCTGAGTGAATAATATTGATACAGGTAAGGGGATCTAAGTACTGGGTTCCCCAGTGGCTTCTGCTTTTCTCCAGTTGTCTCTTTTTCTCAGTCTAAATGGAAACAATGGTGACAGATGACCCTCTGTAATAACAGTCCTGACAGGGGAGGGGGTGTCCAACCCTCAACCCGACACCCTGGGAAAGCCCTGGGCTCTGGCTGCCCATGGAGGAGGCCTGCTGGGTGGGCAGGCCTGGCTGGGGTTGGGTGATAGTGATGATCTTTGTGTGTGTGAGTATGGCGAAACAGAGGGGCTAGTAATAGAGGGGATTTGACTGACATCAGTCCAGCTCACTGTATAACTATGAAGCAGGTTAAAGTCTTGGCATGTTATATCTTTCTAAACCTGCAAATATGACAAAGCTCCAGAAGAACTGAAATAATGACTGACTGGATGTTATCAGCAAACTATAATTTAGGAGGGAGCATTACTCCATTGATTTGATTTGTGTTTGAATGTGGAGTCCAAAAAGATTCCACTGGAAATTGTTACATCACTTGTACTCTCTGTTACAATGATAAAAACAAAGTTCCATTTTTGGATGAAGTTGGATGTTCCACACTCTGTTATACCCACCTGACACCCACACTATGTACAGGCAGGGGTCAGATGCAGCCAGTGGAGCTGCCTTAGATTATAGGAAATGTTACAACCAAACATAGAGTACTGAAGATACCTCTACTGGTAATTATAGCAAATAGCATCACCAAGGATGATTGAAAATATAAATATATGTATGTAAATGTATAGCCTAGTAACAGATGTACGCATATATTGCCAGCTATTCACCGCAAGTGTGCAGATGGGACAGCTTATTTGTAGAAAATATTTTTTGGTCCATATGGACAGCATCTGTACATGTGTTAAGAATATTATCAAACATTTAAATGCATATTTCATTCCATATATCTGCAACCTTGATTCATCTTGTATCACATTTTTTTATTTGTGATACAGTACTGTCCTGTCACCCTGAAGAATCCAGAAAGGCACTGAATGATATCTGAACCAGAGGGAAATTTTTTCACCAACCTGTAATTTTCCAATGGAAAACCTGCTTTACTGGGTAGTAAAAATTGCCATTTTTACAATGAAAAATATGAAGAGGGTCAAAAGAAGCGGTGGAGTGAGAGAATCAGTTGGCGCCAGTTGGATAAACATTCGCTCACAGGGTGCCGGTGCCAGTGTAAGAGAGCAGCACACACACACACACACACACACACACACACACACACACACACACACACACACACACACACACACAACACAGAACAACAAACACTATGCAGGGCTGCTCGAACTCCCCCGCAGACATACCCTCAAACCCAGCAGTAGGTCATATAGATAAAGAGAGAAAGATAGCGAGATCTACATTTAAGAAAGCTTTGCTTAAGGGAACAAAACATCATGTGAGCCCCTGCACTCATGGCTAAATGTATGTTTTTCCCATCCAGAATTACATGTACAATGGTGGGAAGAAAGACAAGGGTCTGTGTTTTTGTGTTATATTATGGATTCAGTTCACTCCCAAGAGGCTGTTACTGCAGCACTGTGAGGGGATACTGACCGATCTAAAAAACAAACAAAAACAAACCATAATGATCTTCTTCAACAGCAATAATTTGGGAGAAACTGTAACTCTTTTGGGTGCACAAAACCAAACTACAAAACACATGTATACAATTATTGGCTCCTTATACTATAACAATGTACTCTTCTGTTAGCTGGAGGTATTTTCATACAGTGAAATTTAATAATTCAAGTCCTGCACACTGAATCATTCATGAACTTTCCGATCAATAGTTATAAACAGCCTGTAAGACGGCGTGCCAATCAATCAATAGGTAACGTGACTCCTACACAAAAGATTGTACTACTCATATGATCAACAACTAGCCAATCATAAAAGGAGAAGACAGTTCAGTGACATCATCAATTGATTGATAACTCTTAAGTTAAGTTAGCTTTCGCCGCAGTTTTTCACAATCAATGCACCCATGTAAGAAAAAAAGCCCTCAGTGGGAAGGTTTAAATGATGTGACTAATCAATAAGATGCCTATTAGCAGGTCCAAAAAGCCACAAAATACATAGAAATGGTTAACACAGCCGATCAGAAAAGCAGGAGGGCTTCAGTGGGGCTACTGACTCAACTAGAAGCATATCCTTGATTCTGACAGACCAGCACACATCCCAGCATGGTTTCAGCATTAACACATCGTCATCAGATAGCTATAGTCGATCAAACGCAGCCGATCAGGAGAGGAGAAAGGACGCTCTCAGACATCCAATCATTGATGGTTAATGATTTAAAATCATGCAAAACAAATATTTTGAAACAAATAAAGTATAAATATTAAGTTAAATAAATATAAACATTTGTTTTTGTTTGTTTTATCTGTTTAAACCGAAGACAACAATTTGTGGTTTTAGGGTTATGTCATGTGTCAGATTATTTCTGTAGTAACTTCCTGAAAGCTGGTCATCACTGTAAAACACCAAGCAGAGAATATATTAAATAATATTTTTTCTAAATAAGGAGGCAACAAATGAAAGCAATGCCTGTGAAGAATCAGGTCTGACTGGGCTGGGGTCAGCAGAAGGGAGGTCATAATGTACTTGATAGCTAAGCAAAGTGTAAAAGTGACTTTCCTTTGTGTCTGTCTCAGTTACAGTATTCCTTTTATGCATTCATATCAAACAAAAGTTTCAGTTTATCACTTTATATCAGTATTTGGATGTGAGTTTGCAAATCTTACTGAATCTTATGAATCCCCTTTACAGACTGAATTACATCTCCTCAAACGTGTCAGGGATTTTTGTGATTTAAAGATGTTTTTGTATCAGCTGAAAGGCCTGAAATGTGAAGTGTAACTGTAGCAGGATCTCACCTGACAGCTCTGATGACAGCCTTGAGGGGAGCTGAAAGATCCTCCACTGTAACATCGCAATGGCAGCCTCTCTCATCAAAGGAATCCTCTGCGGTCATGCCTGTGTCCACTGAGAGAGACAGACCGCCATTTCATCAATAAATGTAGACCCATGAAAAATCGTTTCCAGTGTTAAAACTCATAAAACACTCTCTGCATAGCGGATCTTGACACGAGTCTCCAAGAATTTTTCAAACTGATACTATTTTGGCTTTTAAGAGGCGAAAATTTATGCCCTTCTTGGATGGGATGTCTGGGAATGGGCAGCATTTTGCCAGCTCAGCTATGTAATGTGAGAGAAGAGGGTATATATAAATATCCTTAATACTGCCAATAATTACAAAAGTGGGAGACACAGACAGAAAGAAAGACAGAAAAAAATATGGTAAGAGGAAGAGAAAAGTGAAGATGGAAAGAGGGTGAATAATGATATAATGCATATAAAAGGTTATAAAATCAGTGCAAATAAATGATACAGGGGATTAAGAGGAGAAACAGAAGTGCTATTAAAACAGTCAGCAATTTCATTTATTACTGTAGTGTAGGAGTTTGTGGAAAATGTGAGGAAAAACACTGTTTTAGGTAATAATAGTACAGTCGTGATCCCTTAAAAGTGCAAAAAGCAAGAATTGAGATTTTTAATAATTCAAGCGTATTAAGAGTTTTTCCCAAAAGGCAATAAACCCACCTGAAGAAAAATTCATCATCCTACGTATGTAGAATATTGAGAGAATATACAATATATATATGAAGTTAAAAGTCCAGTGTGTAACATTTAGGAGGATCTTTTGACAGAAATTGAATATGATATGCTTTCATTAGTTTATAATCGTTTGTTCGTTTGTTACCTTAGAAAGAGCCATTTTAACTACAGAGGCTGTGGGTCGCCTTCTATGGAGTCTACCATGTCAGCCGCCATGTTTCTACAGTAGCCCAGAACAGGCAAGCCAAACACTGATTCTAGATAGGGCCTTTCACAAGTTTAGCGGCCACCATTATTTCTCTTACACACTTCACAGCCCCTTCTCATTCCCAGGTCGTCAAATACAGATATGAGCGGTGTTCAGTTAGTTGCAATCTGAAACTTCACTGCTAGATGCCACTAAATCCTACACACTGGACCATTAAGGATACAGAGAAACTGTTAAGATTTTAAGTTTTCAGCGGCTTTAAACCTTTAATATCTGAGGATTTTTTATAGCTCCTGTAATCATTTTTATTAATGCTGGTTGTTGCTTGTTATTGGTTGTCTGACTTTAGGCTATTTGTTTAACTGTGGTATTTTCTTGTACACTGGTTGTGTGGTTGCATGCTGAGTGTAAATGTTCTCTAAATTAGACTAGCTGCTTAACCCCTTCAACATAGAGATTTTCTCTTTTTCCTTCCTGAGAAGCTTTAATGTTTATATTCTCTTATTCCAAACTGTCCAACAGTATCACATACAGAGTATATTCTGTATCAGCTTGTTCCAGTTCTTCACTGAATGATTTAAAGTGAAATATTCAAACCCAGAATGTGTTTTCCACTTAACGCACCATAGCATCAAATAGAAATATTATAATTACCTTGTGCATCATCTTGTAAGCAATTTTCCAACATTCAGCTATATTGACATAATCGTATCTTTGGAAACTTTAGGATCTCCATTAGCACTTAAATTAATTTCTGTGAGCATGTGTTTGCAATGACTGGCCCACTGGGATTAAATAAACTTTACATCTACTAATGGCATACTGTGCTAAAAAGGGTAATTTGTCTGATGTTGTGTTGGTTACAGTAAGATAGACGTACACACACTGCATGGCTCACCATCTGGGACAGCAGTGCGAGTCTGACTCTTTAATCTCAGTGACGGCCTGAACCGGGTCCGATCGTTGAAGCTCCAGCTCTTCTGAACCTTCGCCGGGCTCCCGCCCATCAGCTCAGCACCTCCCACCACCTCATTGCCAGGGGAACAGCGTTGACGGTCGTTGATAGATGTCTGCCTGCTCTTCATGCTCTGTCCACGAGGACTGGCCATCCGGACGCGCTCCTTAAAACTCAACTTCTGACTGCAGGGAGAGAGGAAGGGAAGAAAGGAGAAGGAGACGGAGAGAGTGGGGATAGAGGGTTGGGGGAAAGGAGGAGAGAGAGAAAAACCAAAGAAGTAGGGAAAAAGATTTGGGAAGGGTGGAGACAGAAAGAGTGATGGAAGTGATGATCCAGAGGGGGGAAAGGTGAGGGGAAATTGGGGAAAGTGAGTTAAGGATGGAGTTGATAGAGAAAGAGAGTGTGCGGGCAGAGGTCAGGTTTGATAGAGAGACACGCACAGACACAAGGAGAGAGAGAAAGAAAAAAGGGATGCTGTCAACACCTATTTCCCCTCAGAGAGTGAGAAGAGTTCAGAGCGCAGACACAGGGCAGCGTTCTGTCTTTTCCTTCAGCCCAAACATCATCCATCCAGCTGACATGCCCAAAACACCAGAACACAGCCAGACTGCCCGCCAAGCCACCAAAACAAACTCTCACTGTTGGATCATGAAGTGCTGCAATCGCCTGATAATCTATTCAAGTACTCTCTTTTCAAAACAGAGTTAATGAGATTTTTAAATGCGATATGTCAAGCATGGTAACATTAATACATCATCACCACATTAATTCTGAGACTACCTCAAACAAATGAGACCATTATTGAGAAAAGCCTCAAACAGCCTCAAAATGGTGTTTTCCATTGTTAGATTTCTTAGGGGAAAATGTTCTTTATACTATTCGTCCGGAGCAAAAAGAGCATAATCTTTCAGAGATTGTGATGGCAAATTATTTCCAGCATGTTAATCAATGTTTATTGTTAACTCCAAAGAATCAAAGATCCAATGGGAAGCAACATGGTTTATCACAAATGTGGTTTTAATCTGCAAACACAACCTCTGTTTTGGTCTCAATTATTCACTGCAGTTACACCATGGTATGTTATATTGATGTATCTATGTTTACCTTACTATAAACACTATTGTATCACTATTAAAATAATACTAATAATGTTACTGTTATCAATCTTTGTCTTCCTCTATCACTTGATTTTTATCAGCTTAAATAAATAACACATAGCATCAGGCACTTAACATCCACATAATGTTTAGATCTTTGGTAACCTTCGAGGGGTTGGTGGGGATGCAGAAGTTCTCAATCAATGAGACTCGCTGCAGTAAACTATCATGTTGCTAAGGCAAATAGACCAGCATGCAATGCAGCAGACCAATGGGAGAGAGAGATGCAGGGTTCCAACACATTTTCCATGCCACAATTTTTTTTTTCCAGACCTCAGGGTCACACCTGAATTTATAAATCAGTTTTAATTTCTATTTGCCAAGATTTCCCAAACCAAGATCTGTGCAATATGTTCCTTATTTTGTATATATATATAAGACTTGTATAGGAACTGTTTACAGCACATGGGAATACATTTTCCCAAATGTTCAAGGAAGAATAAATTATAATACAGATGTTGCCATTTTCTGAATCTGCTGTTCTTTTTACATATAGTAAATTTCGTTCTAAAATACAGTGGATGGAGCTGAATAGATCTTTTAAGAATACTTTTACCTATTAATATTATTTGCAACTCTTTCATGGCTATAAAAGAGAGAAGTGAAGCATTAATGCACAGAGCATGCAGTAAAATGAACAGCTTAATACCCCAATCTGTATGTGCATAACTATGCCATATGTTGTAGGGGGATAATTTAAAGTAAACTGCGTCCAGCCCCATGAATTGCTCATTGTATTCCAGTTCCTTTTTACTAAATTGTTATTGGACTATTTTATTTTGTACAACTGATGGGACTAAAGCTTCTAAAAAGCTATATACCAATTGTTGAAGAATGAAGAATATAAATGAAACCAAAGATACTCATGTGGCTGGACTCGACTTGTGTGGATAGTGACATTTTAGGTGGGCTAAGAGGCACATATAAAATAATATATAAAATATAAAGTAAAGGGGAATTTAGACCTTGTATTTTCACTTTTTACTAATAGAACATTTCCCCAAAACTGACTTCTTTTTCTTATGAGTTTTAAATTATGAAAGGATCAAGGCAAGCAACATCCCATGATGTACTTCATCTTTTCAGAATGACAGGGGCTCAACATACAATTTGTTGACTGCAGCAAATGTTTAATTACATTAGGCAGTGAAATCTGGTGCATTTTTGCGTTATCTATTTTTACCTTTTTAAACCATGACTACTTTTACAGTGTAAAGATATCTTTTGGTGGAATTCCCCTTTAATTTGCATGGTAACAAAGTCTTGTTTGCATTCGACAGGCAGCAGGCAGAAATGGTCATCTGAGACAAAGTCCTTTGCGGGATAAAAGGGATTGAGGAATGAGGTAAGAAGGGAGTTAAGATTGCTTTCTTTGTTCTCCTTCATGCTATTAGTCAGTCATTCCCACAGGTTGCTGGGCTAAGGACAGGGCAGAGAGGATGCTGGGTAGTACTGTAGGTACCTCCTATATTTCCGAGTATACCTTCTGAAGAGCCTCCCATTACTTAGACCCTTACTAGAGCGAAGGAGGGAGAGACGGAGATGGTGGCGGGAATGGAGAGGAAAGAGATAGAGGAGGAAGGAGATTAAAATAGGAGTTCAGCAGAGGAAGGAGAAGAGAAATTCTCTGCTGTCAATATTGATGCAAAGTAAACACACTGAGAAAGGACAGGGGACATATTTCAGAGGAGGTTGGAAATGAGTGAACAGGGATGTAGTGGAAGGTAAACCCATCTGCACTCTGTTTTCATTTTTAGATGACAAATTTATGACGTGTGCTATGAATTCACATCATAAATTAATCATTAATCTAAAGTCTTCAAGCATTACTTTGTACATGTACAACCTGGACTCTATTTTTCCCAACCAATTTGACCAAACTGAAACTATTTACATTTGCTTTCCTGGGTTTGGCTCTCCAACCATATAAGAAAGATCCAGACTATGACTGTCTGTATTGTGTAAAGTAAAAAGTTAAAATAGTACGGGCCAACACAAAACTCGAGCCGTATTCACATTCAATTGGGATGTAGTTTAAATTAAATCTGTATAATTTCCTTAGTTTGGTCTGAATTATGTGAGCCCTGTTGTGGACTCTTAAGCCACATTCAGGTTGTAGGCCAAAGTGACCCAAATTAGATCTCAGATCAGATTTTTTTATGACAGTGTTAACAGCACAAATCACATGGAATCTGATTTTTTCAAATTCTGATTCACTTTCAAATGTGGTCCAAATCAGATTCAGGTCTGCAATGTTTGCAATGTGATCTCAGTGTGATGGTTGGTGATGTCAATCACTCTAGACTGACATTTGTCATGCAGGTCACTACAGGACCTTGACCTGTTTACACTAGAATCTCATGTGAGCCATATTTAAAAAGTAATGTGAACACATCTGAGCAATAAATCCGAACTGAGCGCTATGGTTTGCCGGTTTGGAATAAACCTTGTTTGATTTTCCCATAAGGAAGCAGGCATGGGATTAAACACTCTTAAATGATGAGAAATAGTGTCCAGGTTGAAAGTAGTAAGAGAAAATGTATGAATCGTTTATTTATTTTTACTTATTTGAATCATCGTTTACTGGAGGTTTAGCCTGTCTTCCTCATATTGCTTTTCACCACATCACTGGAGTTGAAATAAACTGTACCAGGACTTACAAATACACACACACACACACACACACACACACACACACACACACACACACACACACACACACACACACCCAGGCACACCTGCCTACACACATAAACTCCAGATTAAACCTCCATTATCCTTTATTTCACGTTGCCTCTCACTGCCAATATCCAGCACACTTACACTCAGCATGATGTCCGCTGTAGCACTTTGTGGTGCGCCGAATGTTTACTACTGCTGGTGTTTACAAGTCTGCTTAAACAAAAACCACCATCCGTTTACCACGGCACCTACCGCCGCCGAGCAGCCGGCAGTCTGTAAAACCACTAATAACACAGAAGGCTGTGTGTTCTCTTGGTGGAGAGCAAAGAAATAGTGTCATAAAAGAGTGCATAATTAATGATTTCACAAGTGTAAATTGAAATTGCTGTAACAAACTTTCTAAGAAAGGAAAGCATAATTAAACACAGCCATTTAAACAGAAGGATTTCTGGGGGATGAATGTTGTTGTGGATGCAACAAAGCCTACTTAAATGTAGTTTTGTTTGAGGATGAGAAGCACGTTTGTTTGTGTGTTTGAGGGAATAAACTTATTCTTTATTTGTGTGTGTGTGTGTGTGTGTGTGTGTGTGTGTGTGTGGTTTTTAAGTTTAAATGCCTAAGAAGCGGCTGGCTCAATATAAGGCCCCCAAATGTTTCCAAAGAAGTTGCTGCACTGTAAAAACTATACTAGCATAATTAAACTCACAAATCTCTCTCTGTCTTCTTCTCCTCTCTGAAATCCCCCTATCTCCCCTCCACCTCATTCTCCTCCTCCTTTCTCAACTTCGGTCTGTCTCTCGTAGACTTGTGTTTGATGAGTTATATAAATACCATCCCAATGGAAAAAGTGCGTCATGGTACAGACATGGTACAGACTCCTGTCTTGAAGGCGTGTGTGTGCATGCATACACACACACACACACACACACACACACACACACACACACACACACACACACACTGAACAAAGACAGAGAAGTCCATTGCCCTTTTCTGCCTGAGAGTCAAGTGCAGAGAGGAAAACCGTGAAAGGAGGAAGAGAGACAAAATCAGAGATGGAGATGTAAAGAAGAACTTGGAAAAGTGAGGTAGGAATATAAAATAAAGAAAGGAGAAAGCTGGGACACATTGTACCTTCCAAAGAGGTCATTTGCAAGTAGCTACTTTATTTGCTGTATTGTCTCAGTCTACATGTGTTTATATTGTAAAAACACACACAACAGTCTCTACCACTTCATCTCCTCCTGCCTGTCTTTCTCAGTTCAACACAATTCAAATCAATAAGTGTACTTTAGCAGAGCACTTTAGAGAACGTATTAGATATTGTTCTTTTAAGTGTTACTCAAATGGTAAACAAATGTTGACCTGGCACCTCTGGTTTCCTTTTATCAGGACACATCAACCTTGTTATCGCACACTCTAGTCATCCTTTTTCTTTCTCCTCCCATAAATTGGTCAATGAACCCAGCAACCAACAAAGCAATTAATCAATATGTCCCAACCATTTGATTGCAATCCCAATATTCAGTTGATTACCTGGTAATTGTAAAACAAATAAATAAATAAATTCATCCTTGGACATTGGGCCCAATCAGTAAATCTGTAATCAAACAATGAATGAACTAAAAAACTAAACAAGCCCGCAAACCAGATGAGAGCAGATATAAAGAGGCTGTGACAAAACATTAGGCATATAATTAAATCATAATTGCGTCACATGTTTAGTGTATGTGTTTGTGTCTTTGGAGGAACAAGCTGAGAATCATACAAACCTGTAAGTAGTCTCGCCCTGCTCTTTCCTTTAGAGGTTAGTAGGATAAAGAAGAGGAGACAAAGGGAGAGAAATCAGTATTCCAGCAGATTAAAATAGCATACAGACATTTCCATTAATGGATATGGGAGTCACCAAGCCATAAGGAGAAAAGAAAAGAAAGAATTCAATGGGGTTAATTATTTACAAGCACATGCAAGCTATGGCCATGCACAGTAAGGGTTAAGCATTTAGATCAGAAAGGTAAGGATCTAAATGGTGTGTGTGTGTGTGTGTGTGTGTGTGTGTGTGTGTGTTTGGGTGTGTGTGTGTGGGTGTGTGTGTGTGTGTGAAAGCAGGAATGGTAATCCTCCTTCTTTCAACACAAACATTAGTAAACCACTTAACTCATATAAATGCCAAAACTGAATTTTGTTTGGAACCCCCAGGAATTGTGTCGGACATAACCCAGACGGATGTAGATATTTTCAATGAACTTGGAGCCAGATAAAAACCTGAATTAAAGGGATAGTTCAGGTTTTTGAAGTTGGGACGTATGAGGTATTTATCCATAGCCAGTGTGTTACTACCTGCAATAGACAGAGGTCAGTTTGGAGGAGCAGACAGGAGTGCCGGCAGGGAAGCAGAGCAGTGCACTACTGAATACAAGGTCAGCAGAAAAATGTGTTTCAATATCAGTTTACATATCAATGTACCCTATATTAAGAACATTTTCACTGCTTTACCTTGTTGTCAGCCCTTTCCTTTGGCACTACAACCCATAACTGCTGTACTATGCCTAAGCCCAACTGTGCCGTGCACGGTGTATTGCGCTTCCGATCAGCTGTTTGGACCAGAGTTGCAGCGGTTTATAGAAGAGAAAACAAATATGAGAAAATCACCGTGGAAGAGAGGATACCTTTATGAACCAGAGGGAAGAACTTTTAAAATATTGAATGGGCTGAGGAAATGTAGTGCTAAAGGAAAGGGCTGTCTGACGGCAAGGTGAAGTGGTGTAAATGTTCCTAATATAGCGTACACTTAAGGTGAGAGGTTTGTTACTAAAATAGTTTTTTCTGCTGACCCTGTATTCAACAGTGCATTGCTCGGTTTTCCCCCTGCAAGCTGCAGTTGCACTAACCTCAGTTTACTGGAGGTGATACACTGAATATGGAGTACCTCATACAATCCCACTTCAAAAAAACCCAAACTATCCCTTTAATATCATGCCATATAAGCGTTAAATATCAACTTTTCTTACTTTTTACAATGCTATATTGTCAAAATAATGGAAATTGTCCACTTTATTTTGTTCATGTTGAATTGGCCCTGCACATGTTGTTTTTAGAACCTTTTTCAACAGTAAACAATGTTCCAATGTGCCATTCAGCAAGGCATTTAACTGTCTGAAGTAGTGAAGATCATGCGTGCTAAGCAAACCATCCCTGATTGGTAGAAAAAAAGTTAATACAGTTAAGCTTCCGAAAAAATGGTTGCAATGCTGCATAACAGTGAGTCATAGAGTGGAAAAAAAAAATGCAGCTACACCGATGGGGACGAGCAGACACTAGTTGAGGAGAAAGAGATGAGGAGAAGGGGAGGAGCAGCAGCGGCCATGTTTGTAAGTCTGTAAGTTGTTACCTACTTGGCGGGGCTGCAGGTATGCAACGCCTTCAAATGAGGCTTCCAGGTAGCAATGGAAACCGAGTTCTCATCAGCAGCATAACTACGCCAGACACACTACGTGCAGAGTCGACAGGATAAATAAAATATTGATAAATGAAATAATTAACAGGGTAAAATGAGGGAGGGGCAAGGGATGAACATATAAGTTGGGTAGGAGGTGAGAGAAGGAAGGTGAGGAGGGAAAAAAGAAAAGGCTGATTAGTTTTTTGGGTAATGTTTTTGCATTCTGGTTGGGGGTTGTCGAAGGGAGGTGGGGCGGTGATGGTGGTGCTGGTGGAGGTGCTGGTGGAGGTGGGGATACATGCCTGAGGGGGGGGAGGGCACTTTGGTAGTGGTGCCAGGTGGCTCTGAGGTAGGGACGAGCACCGTCGGTGGAGTACAGACGCCAAGCCGCCTAGGTGGGGGAGGGAGCAGAGATGGATAGGACACGCACATTCACACATATACACACACACACATAAACACACAAACATGACACAGAAGGGCAATGGCACACATATGGTGACTGAGATATATGTGAACATGTAACATACACAGGGCGTTTGGGGGGATGTAACCAGCTGGCGGCCATATTGGAGGTTCTCAGGGCTACGAAGAGAGGATTGTGTTTCTACATAAACACTTTTGTTAATCTCACATAATGCAATGGGAATCAATGAGATAATTTCAAATCCAATCTCATAAGCAAAGTTAGTGTTAGTTTCTTCTAACCATGACCACCATCCTTCCTAACATTAACCCAGCAGTAGCTTGGTGGGTTGAATGACAAGCAACTTACATTGACTTTAAGTGCTATTTGGACTAAATAGACATTTTAAAACCATACAAATCAAATGTCCAATGACTTGACTTGGCTAGTTAAATGATAGCTGTGGTCATGTTTGTTTGCTTTGCTAAACAGACTTGCTGATCCAGAGAAGTAGCCAACGGTATTTGGGGTTTAACTGAGTGCAAGATGTAACTTATGTTTTCTCTCTGGATAAAGATAAGTAAATGGCTGGATATTACGGTTGGGTACCATTCACTGGTACTGGTACCACATGTCACATGGAGCCTCATTGTCATACAGATGCAGAATGTATAATTTTGGCTCAACAGTAACCTTCATTTGGAAAATAATGTACCAGTCAATCTGTAGAAATTACCTACATCGACCATGATCATTTTAACAGGTTGTTTTCTTAAACCATTATTTACTTACAGCTGAATGAACCTCCTCAATGGTGCCAGGTGGGGTTACAAGATTTGTGACATGACTAGAGAGTCTTTGTATAAACACTTTACACAGACAGGGTGGGAAATTAACACCAGCCACCTGCCAAATGCTGGTCAATTTTGGCTGTTGCTTGTTATGCTACTCTAGAGACCACTTTAAAGTCATTTGGAGATTCAATCTTGTTCTAAAAATACAGTTGGAAGGCGAAATAGTTATTGCAGCAGGTGAAATTTAGAACTGACCAGCTGCAGAGGCTTGTGGTAATATCCTGCCCAGCATACAGACACAGACACACACAACACACAACACACAGTGGTTTAAAGCAGGGAGAGCTGTGTAAGATGGGGGAGTGAAGTGATGGACAGAATAGTAATGTCATCCACATATTTAACACATTAAAGCTGCTTCCAAGTTTCCTTTTACCTGTTGAGGAAAATGTTATGAGCTTGGCAGACAACAGACAATGACCAGGTGCTTGACATACAGCCAATAAAACAGGAAAAAGATCAACACATGGAATTAATTGCTACCTTAGTGGGTTATTTAGGATCAATTGGACACTGGTCTTTGTCAAGCTTTGTTTAGGTTGAATCAATTATTCACACAAATACGTATGAAAATATATCACTAATTTCAGACTGAGATCTGGGAACATACTGAGATTAAGGTGTGGCAACAAGACTGGTTTTGAATAAATCCCAACATTACCCATGTCAAATAAGCCACGTATTTGGAAGTGAAACAAAAGTGAATGCACCCATACCTGTCCTAATATATAATATAATAAACCACTGTATTATAACACAAACATGTCCATCACTAAGTCAAGTTTTGTAGGTAAAAGTTGAGTGAGGACAAAGAAGCTTTGACATGTAAAGACTTTCTAAGTTAACACTAGCAGTTGATGTCAAACAGATGACAGTATCTAAGCAATTGTGGCAAGTGTAATAATGCAAAATTGTATGTATATCCATATAATTTCCATTTACTGTAACACCCTGCGATCAACAGTGTATGCAGGGTGTTAAGACAAACAGTGACGTCTATGGCTTTTACTATTTTACAACCTGTGGTGGCTTTTCTATTGGTGTAGTTCCAGTGATATGTTTACACAACCATGTAATAGTTATTTGCTTTAAAAGTTGACAAGAATCACAATTGTTGTGCATTAAACAATTGTCCCAATGGATTATGGTAAAAACGCAGCAATTCTTGGCAATATTTGTAGGTGTGTTTGAAGAGGGCCAGGCCTTTCCAGCCTGCTGAGACATAGACTTTAAGACACAAATGTAATATGTTTACAACAGACAGTTTGGGCAACAATTTTCAGGGTTATTTCAACTTCCAAATGTGTAGTTTTGAAAACTGTGTTCAAGTTTTGGACTTCTGATTGACTGCTTGTGTTGTTTGCCCCGAAAAATTCTAGCTATAGCTGTATCTATCAGCTGGTACACCAGATAATACAGTATCCCCATATTTTGACAATATTATATTATCTTAATTGATATAAATTATTACCAATCTAAAGCAATGATTTTCCTGAAGGACAAAAAATAATACCATAACAGGTGCTTTATTTAATGGAAAAATTCAAAAAGTAGGTCAAGGTAGAGAATGTAGACAGAACACACACACATAGAAACACAGGCACTCTCAGAGACACACATACATGCAAACATAGACAAACATACCCACACAATAGCACACTTGTGGCTACACACACACACACACACACACACACACACACACACACACACACACACACACTCTCTCTCTACAGGAGATATTTATTGTTCATTATAAAGTAATGCAGCTGGTCTTGTCTATTACAATGAGTGACGGTTTGGAGGAGCGTCCGCCCAGGGAATGATCGCCATGGAAACGGCTCATAAATCCCAGCAGTGTGTGTTGCTGTTGGACCTGAGAGACGACAGCACGCCTCACACACCGTTAGTCATCATGAGCTACACATCCTGACAGCCCTGAGACGGGCAAAACACACACACACACACACACACACACACACACACACACACACACACACACACACACACACACACACACACACTCATAAATACTTAATGAAACACCTTCACTCTGATAGGAGAAGAGATGGTGAAACCACTCATACACACTTCAACATATTCCCAACACAGTCATTAAAGGGGTAAAGAGTGGACAACGCACTGCTTTTATTCAGTCAGAGAGACACACTGTGAAAAGCTTAGAGACGCTCGAAACAGACATGAAGCACATACATGAAAAGCTGCACATAAAAGGAGAGAAAGTTCTCTGTATTCACACTGATCCTGAACTGCCAAAAAAATCCAGTCAAGTGTGTTTGTTCCCTGTGTGTGTGTGTCTACCTGGATGAGGCTGGCAGCTGGGTTCCTTCTCTTTTCAAAGTGCTTCTGTCGATGCTGCTCTTGCACTTTCAGGGCAAAACCTGACCCTAGGATGCCCTACACGCAGAAACACACACAAACACACACACACACGCAAACACTGAGTTTTAAACAAAACTTGGTCCCTGCTGCTTTTAGTATTAGCTTAATAGAGCTGTGAGGACATAAAAATGATAATCTTGGTGTTTTAATCATTTGTCTGACTCACAGCTGGCAGGGCAAAGAAGGAGATCCCCAGCAGAGCAAAACCTGCTGATAATAACCGCCCAGTCCACGTCTGCGGGGTCTTGTCACCGTAGCCGATGGTTGTAAGGGTGATCTGAAGGGTCAGAGGTCAATACTCAGGTAACTAGGGCTTGGTCGGAAATCTGTCTCTCACTGACTCATCCACAGTAAAATTGTGGACACTGACTGCTGTAGTCTTGCATGACTGTTATTTTCGTCATCAATGAAATATAGCGCATTGCATTCAGACACTAAAATAAAATGGTTGACAGTAAATATAGTGCTATGTAGTAAATATAAAGTGATTTTAGACACAGTCCAGAGATATATGGGTTGGATCCTACATATAGTAGGTACTGACTGATACATCAACACAAATACACCTTTTTATTCTTAAAATACACATAAAACAGGTTTACTTTTGTGCACTAACTTTCTAAATTTAATTTCATGCAAAGCTTTGGTGGTTTTTTGTGAGCAAATCTTGTATACAAGCTGGTTGAGTGTCTCGCAGCTGTCCATGGCCTTAAACTACACTGAGCAAATCAACATGTTTGTTCCACAAACTGCTTGCCTTTAGTGGTCAGAAGGAAGAACCTTCAAGGTAATAAGAGAGGATAGTGCTAATATTATAAAGTGTAGCATTTCGTATTAATTAGGGTTATCCTTGATTACTTTTCAAGTTCACGGTAGCCAAACAGAATAACTGAGGGATAACTGTAGCCTGGTCACCTTGTGAATGCCATGGTCATGATGAAATCAGTCAGCTTTTACCTCTGTTGATAGATTTAATGAGTCTTAAAAGCACAAGATGATGGCAATCACAATTTAAATACATGAATAGAACTCCAACATCTGTTCAATGGTTGAGTGTGTGCCATTAAACAGACTGATGTCTAAAGACGGTTTATATGTTTTTCATATTAAGTAAACACACTGAATAAAAGACTGAATAAGCACATAGAAAATTGTGGCTAATGCAGATTTAAATGGATGCTGGACTGTCAGTGGTGACGGCTCACTGACCCATACATCTTAAAAGCTTATGTGGCTAGACTAAACTTCACCTTTTCACAGAAATTACATAACAGCTTTTAGTATCTACCAGAAAGACGCTCCAAGGCCACAGAATGTAATGCAGTGTGTCCGAGCGTCATTCCCAAAAGCCTAACAGGCCAGTCTCACCTGGCAGCAGGAGAAAATTGAATTTATTGATCGGGCCATTTCTTGTTCGTGTGTTGTCTGTTTCCACGTTCTCAAGGAATAATGGGTTTTAGATGTAGGAGGAAACAGTGCAGTACAGCCAGCCAACTGTGACTTTAAAGGCCTTTGTGTTGGTTTTTGTATTGCAGGTGTCATTAAGGTCACAAATAAACTGGAAAAAGAAATATATCACAGTTGACGGATAAAAACAGGATGACTGCAGTTTTGTTGCTGCCTTTGATTTGGATTAAAGGGAGCATTCCTGCTATGTTGGATGGGAAACACTTATTCAAAACATTTATATGTTTCAAAATGTGGCAGTTAAACAAATGATGATGTCCTAAAAAGACTTGTGATACAATACACATTTGTTGACATTAAATCATATACCACAAAAACACTAGCAAAGTATGATTTTATTTAAGTGGTGTTTAAAAAAGCCCTAAAGTATGCTCAAGTGTATGAATGTGTGCTCACCGTGCCCCACCACAGAGCGTCGGCATAGGTGGCAAACTCCTTGTTGAATTCTTTTTCCACCAGATAGACCAAGAAGGAGGAGAAGATGAGCACCAGGAACCCAATATACCAGGCAGTCACCAGCTCCTACAACAGACACACATGAAAAAACAAAACATTAAGCTTTATGCTGTACTCCACAGCTCAAAGGGACATTCACCATTTTACCAATACGCATGACATTTTGTTATCTTAACTGTCACTCTATTGTAACTAAACTTACTCCCAATTCACAAAATGTGCTGTCTTAAACACAGTCAGTGTTTCCTTTCCAAACCCTTTTAAATTGTCTGTCTGTTTTAGAAAAGTGCTACAGTACATAAATAAAGTCTGATATTATTATTAGTACAGCTCCTTGTGCAACAGTAGTCTGGAATACACAGGAGAATAACTGGTAGCATGAGAAGCGATATCCATCATGACTGAATGGACAAAAAGCACAACTAAGATAATGCAGACTAAACAGTGGTAACTAAAACAATGGTGCTTGCACTGCTTGATTGTATCTGAAGTATCTGAAACACAAATTAAGTTCAGAAGAGGAGAAACTGTTCGAAAAATGTCCTACCTTACTATGTGCATAAACTACAGATCCCAGCAGCTTCCAGGTCCCTCCCCTGCGGTCCATGCGCACCATGCGCAGGATCTGAAGGAAACGAAGGCTACGTAGCGCAGAGGTGGCAAAGATGTTACCCTGGCTACCGGCGGACACCACGGCAACAGAGGCGATGAGTACGATAATGTCTGGGGATTAAGGGTTAAAATTAAAGGTCACAGGTTCCACAATATAAGCAACAGGAACTGTGGTTGACTCACCTACTTTTTAGGTCTATCCACCCTTCCATTCATCACCTTTAAAACAACTATTGATTCACTACAAGCTGTTTGTTTCCTTCTCTATCTCTATTAGTCTTCTTCTGTCATCCTGTCTACAACCCTAAAATAACCCACTTTTTCTTCTCTTATATTTCCCAGCAGACTGTTTTCCTCCCTGCTGGAGCAACCTAAGCAGGATAGAGATCCACTATCTTCTGAATGTGTTCAGGGGACACTTTAAAAAGAGCACTTATATAATCTCTTAAAATTACTCAGTTAGATGTAATACAACCGTTGACTAAGGTTATAACGACTTTAACAGGATGATATTGTGAATATCAAACAGAAATACATGTTTCTGTCAAAATCTGTGGTTTTCTTGATTGCAAATCACCTGGGAAATATTAAGCCTGAGGTAAGAGTAAACAGATGCCATAAATGTATTTGGAGTTGTGAATGGCTTCACTCATAAAGTATATACATAGCAACACCACAAGGTTAATTTTAAAATTGTAATTTATTTATTTATTTCTTGCCCAGACATCCAGTTAAATCCGGTCAAAAAGTGTGACGTGATGATGACTGGCATAGAGAGACATATTTTTAGTAAAGCCAGGCTTCATTAGTTTTGTCAGATGAGTGACATACACACACCTATACACACACACACACACACACACACACACACACACACCTACCAATGACACAGAACGGCTTCCTGGCAAAGCGGAGGCGTCCCTGCCAGCCTCGGTAGCGGCAGCAGCAGCCAGCGCTCCATATCCTGATGATGTACTCCAGACCAAACACTACAATCATCACAAACTCCTGTAGGACACACACACACAAAACCCAACATACTTGAACCTTTCTATGCTACAAATTCAGAAAGCACAAGCAATAAATAAAGTCGAGTCAATGAAGTTATAGTTTTTTGCTAAGCTTGTCCTTGCTCTGACTCTACCACCGAAACTATACAGAAAACACATGCACTCTCACACACAAACAAACTGAAATAATAATGAATTACTTGTGCTTTGACTACTGTACTTGAGTACATTGCTTTGAGTGTGTTTTTACGTCAATAATAAGCTTTTTTTAAAATGGTAGATATGTTCACATGTCCTGGGAGGAAAACATCTAATTAATAACATGAATAATGGCTGGATTCCATTTAGGTGTACCAGGTCTAGGCTCCAAGTCCGTCTTATGCTGGCTCACTAGCATGACTTACTGTGACACATAGTAAAACAGAGCCATCGTTCCTGTTATTAGTTACACTTGTGCTTTTCCCGCTATGACAGTTTAAGATGTCTGCTGTGAGAAAGGCTAACCTACACTAACCCAGTTACATTAGTCTCAATCAGCTGTGAAATAACAGCACTTTCCTTTGCAGTAACAGTGTGACCTTTTGGGAAATATGCTCACTTTCTTGCAGTGATTTACATGAGAAAGTTAATACCGCTCTCATGTCTGTCTATTAATTATGAATCTACAGCCAGCGGCCAGTTAGCTTATACTGGAAGCAATGGGGGAAACACCAACACCTCTAAAAGCTCACACCTTATATTTAGTTTAATCCTTACAAAAATCTGGCAACCACGCAGTGACGGCAATGGGAAGATACTGTGCTTGGCCAAAAAATTGTGTTGTGCACAACCCACCATAAAACCACAACTGATTTGTGCAAATTAAACAAGATATAACCTGTTAAATATCTTTAGAGTGAGGGTAGCTATTGCACCCTGCTTCCAGTCAGAAAGTGAAAAAAATTACATTAAATAATGTAACACGATGTCCAAAATCATTTTCCTCCATTTTATTGAGGTGGAGGCAGAAATTCAGAGACAGATATCTCAAAACCTGGACAAATGAGAACAAAACTGTCTGCAAGGCTACTGCTAGAAGTGAGGAAATTGTGATCTTGACCCAACGCTATCTCTGCTCTTCTCTGCTCTTCTACTTGAGTAGGATGTGTTGTTGCTTCCAGTTTATTTATGCCAAATCACTGTTTTTTTTTTTCTCCAACCTGCTCTGACAGATGAGTTTCTGCTTAATCACATCTGAGGGATAGACTGTTAACTTAAATTGAATTGTAACAACGCGACTTTGATGTTGAGTAGCGAGGGACCAATCACTACAGTTCATTACGCTGCTGAGAATGCACAATCAGCAATTCTAATGCAGAGATGAGCATCTCTTTCACACACATGTTCAATACTGTTAATTTAATCATGTGAAAATTTCATAATTCATCAGGGCTGAATAATAAGAACTCACACACTTGCTCGTGTGAATATGTGTGTGTGTGTGTGTGTGTGTGTGTGTGTGTGTGTGTGTGTGTGTGTGTGTGTGTGTGTGTGTGTGTGTGTGTGTGTGACGTACCAGGATGAGCAGGCAGTGTGAGGAGAATTCCTGGTGAGCAGGGATTGTGGAAAAAACTGAGAGAACCAGACATCCAAAGACAAGGATGAACCTGTGGAGACAAAACGCACACACAAATCAGCTATGCATAATTAATTAAATATAATAACTATATCACACGTTTTACCTCATTACCTCATTACCTCACACACACAAAAACACACAAACACACACAATTGCTGCGAGGGAACCTGCAAGCTACAGAATGATGTGATTATTTCTCCTCTGCCAGGCTACATTAAACAGGATTTAAACCTTTCCAGGCATTATTAGGACCAGGCTAAGCGCTGTTAAAAGCATCACCAAACTTTATTATATTATGTTACCGGGAGATTTAGCTAATTCACATACAGTATGAATGGACTGAGGGAACCAGGTCCTCCTCCCACAGTAACACTAGCTGAACAAGCAGTTGACACAGTGCTTCAGGCTTTATGTGTGTGTGTGTGTGTGTGTGTGTGTGTGTGTGTGTGTGTGTGTGTGTGTGTGTACGCTGTTGTATTCCATTTATTCACTTGAAACTTGAAAATTCGCTAAAGAGGGAAGAGTAATTCCTTTGAAGTGGTACTGTTCTAGTTACTTTGGCAAAAATATCAAGAGCAACATGTTTTCAGAAACAATGTCCTTACTTCCTACGTGTAAAAGCATGTAACTGTTACTGTTATTGTAACATTTCATTGCTATTGGTTCAAGTCCAGCACAAACCACAGTATGGAGTGCGGCCTGACAGCTGTGTGCAGCGTTGTATTTCGGGCTTGTGTGTGTAAAGTAAGAGTGAATAAAGAATTTCCCCATTGGGGATTAATAAAGTATATCTTCTTCTTCTTCTTCTTCTTCTTCTTCTTCTTCTTCTTCTTCTTCTTCTTCTTCTTCTTCTTCTTCTTCTTCTATGAGCCCCACAAACATAATCCCATTAGCTTCCACTGTAGGGTTTAGACATGTCAAAGCTGAAATCTCAAAACCTTGACAGTAATACTGAAGATCCCATCAGGATCAAAGCGAATGCTTGGAGCTGTGATAACACTGATGCACTCGTAAAAATATTTGCATCATTCTTCATTTTGGATCCAAGACCAATTAAAACCCTCCTCATTGCCTGACTGACCCAAAATACTCCTCCTCTGCTGCCGCAAGGAAACCACTCAGTCCCTTGTAAGTCATATGGTAACTTGGTTAATGAGCAAATACAAATTAAAATTCATAAGGCAGCTTCCAGGCAACATATGCACTGACTAGCAGCCCCAGCCTGCTTGTTCTCTCTCAACTGCTTTTTTTTTTTAAAGATGCCATCTGTCTTGCTGATATTTACTGTCTGTTCATCTCTTCAGATCTTTCAGTGTTTGCTTTCTGTGTATAGAATATGTTTCAGCCATATTCCAGCCTTTCCTTTCTAGACCCTCTCTGTCTTGTCTTTAAAATTTCATGCTCTTTGTTTCTCCCTCGCCTCCCTTCTCCATCTCCATCTCTCTGTCTCTTCTTCAGTTCGCCTTTCTCTCTCTCTCTGGACTCCTTCAGCATCACTTTGTCTTTTTCTTTCTCCTAGCTCTTCTGTATGATTGATGCCGCCATTTATTTTCCTTGGGATTCACAAGGAATATTAAAAGGGGAGGTGTGTGTATAAGTGTGCATGAATAGTGCTGCTGAGTAACAGTAGAGAAATACTGACCGTTCCTAACATCCAGCCCACATCTGCATCTGATACTGGCTCCTTCTCTAATACCTCTTTACTGTCATACAGACAGACAGACAGCACGGAGATCAGATTTATAAACAGCATCCAGCTGTGGTACGTTTCTGTGTTGGTTTGTGTGTGTGCAACCACTGATCTTCCTGACTAGTAACTAGTATAAAATGCACCCTCTTCACTTTCATTTAAATAACTTTTCAATGTGCACTTGCGGTCCAAATCTCCGGAACAAGAGAATAAGTGGAGCTTCAGTTGAGATTGTTTAGTGCACTGCTGTTTACAAAGCCACAAACGAACTGTCAAGTCAGTTTGTGTGTTTTTTCTTGATGTAAATGAATTGAAATAAAATACTTATGTGAAGTTGTATTGTCTCCTCTCTCTGTAACCCTGCTGGTCTTTATTCAGGCTTAATTACTGCTGTTCCAATTTCTGCAAGTGATTCATTTTGACACATTGTGCGAAGAATAAATAGAGAACAATGTACAAGCCAGTAAAGCCACGAGCCACACCACGAGTACAACTGAAGGAAGCGTGATCATCCACACCGGCCATAAAGGAAAATGAAAAAGCCTGCCTCCTCTACCCTTACAGAAAAAAAGCATTGAGTGGTTTCAAGTTGGGATTGTACATTTTTCATCTTATACACCTGTGAACTGATTTATCTCTCAAGTTTTCTTTCAAAAATTACAGTGGTTGCTGTTTTGTCCACCTTCGAGTGTGTCCATTTGGATCAGGTATAAGCACTTTTGCCTTTAGATGTGGTCGAACTCATTGTATGAACTGCTTATTTTCAGGGGGTAATCTGACCCTAGCAATGCAAAAGCGTTACATGCCATCGGGATACGTGCACAAGAAATCTTTTCCCCCAGATTGCTTTCTGATTGCACAAGGACCCAACCAAAGTTCGATTAGAACTGACATACAGTATCTGTGTTTATACATTTGTGCACTGACAGGCCTTATCCTGCATCTGTGTGCAAACAAATTGTTAGAGTGGCAACTGAGTGGATAAACGACATGTTCCAAAGTCCATGTATTGCTGTCTTTAAAAACATATAAGATGTTCTGAGGAGCTGGAACATTTTCAAGATGAAAAGAAAAGTTGAGAGTGACAAAACAAAATTTTTTTTTCCATCTGAGTCCCTATTTCTGAAAGTAAAGCATGACATTTTGGAGGTAATACCGATTTAGATGAGAGTATGATGAAATAGTACAAGTGAAAACTGCAAATAACAGATTATGGTAGAATAAAAAGATCATTTAAATGTCAGTGTACAAATGAAATCACTCCATGTAATGACAATTAAATAACCTTGTAATAATCCCATTTGCAAAAGGTTTTTGTTCAAGGCTGTGAGTAAATAAATAGAGTGACAGAATACAAACCAGAGTGAATACTGTATGCCTGAATATGGTGAATAAGCATTATTCCTGTGTTCAGAGACCTTGGCTACGGCCTCGGGCGAAATTAGTCCATATGAAATTGAATAGTTTCTGCAATTTACGTTCAGAAGCTACGTGTACAACTTCAAAAACCCACTTATTTTTTTTGTTTTATGGTAGTAAAAACCCAGCCTGCAGTAATTCTCATGCCATATTCAAAATTACACCTATTATAGCAGCATTTTTCCTTTTGAGGGAGCCAGATACAAAGATCCCCTGCCAAAGGCAATCAGATGGTCCCCATGTATTTGGTGGACAGGTATTGGATCTGTAATTCCTGTCATCCGATTACTATTGTTTTTTAGCTTTAACTACTATGCTACGTTCACACATGCGATTGGGAACAAGTGTCAATGAGAAATAAATTAACATGCACTCTGGCACACTTTTTCATTTACGCTGATAAGACTGACATATTTCTACACATCAAACCATTCCTAGATGCATTCAGCACATTATCAATATCAACTTATGGACTCAGGCACACTGTGTGTTCTATCTGAGCGACACCTCTTACTGAATATCAATTAATGATGAAATTATTCAGTGGGTGCACACAAACGAATAAGAAGCTGATATTGAATGATGGGAGCGTGATGACATAAGGGATCAATAGCGCTGCCACATTGATCAGTCCCTCTGTGAATTAGCCACTTGAATCATTCACACAGAGGTGAATTGCTGATGGCAAAGTCTGTGTGGCTGTGTTTGAGGAAGATGAATGTGTGGAGACACGCGTGTGTTCCGTGTATGATTTCGAGGCAAGGTGGTCCATTAAATATAATTGTCAGATTGACTTTGGACTGTCAGGAAAACCTTGATATGATCACTATGAGTATTTGGGCAATAATATTGTGCAGCCCTATAGCCCTATAAAGAATGGTACCAACAACAACTGTTTTGCATGTTTTAGACTAAACCACAACTGAACATTTTTTCAAAACGTCATCATTTTAAGATTATTTCATCCCAGGAGCTTTTAGTTTTTTACAGAACATTATGAAAATCCACTTACAGTGATTCCAACATGGATGTGAGTTATTGAAAAAGTTATTGAAAAAAATATACTTTTAGTAACTTAAAGTATACTTAATATACTGATGGCTCATAATTCTTTGTAGACTTTTTATACTTTTTATACTTTTTAGATATTAGAGCACTCAAACTAGAATAAGTTTAGTTAAGAAATACACTATTTGCAAAGTACTTTTTTTTTTTGCTAAGAGTCAGTTGAGAAAATCAATATCAATCGTATGCCTGTGCATTAAAGCAGGTAGGTAATGTATTCCAGAAGCATTTTTGTTATATTTGTGAAAATTCTCTTTATATCTCCACAGCAATCAATCAATCAAATGCTCTGCTCATTGTGCATGAATGGAGTCTTCCACAAGGCTAGTCAGATATATTGCTAAAGCTACCTAGCTAGTTGCACAACAATGGTTGTGCGCTGACTAGTCCTCCAGCATTAGTCAGGCACCGACAGATTTTTCACCAGCGTCACCCACCCAAGCTTTAAGGTGGAGCCAGAAATAGATTTGCATAGCATAAAGACTGAAAGCAAGGGGAAACAGCTAGCCTGGCTCACTCCACCAAAACCCCTAAACTTTAATTAATTAACATGTTGTTTAAGTTTTACTCAAACAGTAATGCAAAAACAGTAATTTGTTGTTTTCATGGTAAATTAGGCAACTCAATGTAGGATTATATAGTCTGTGCAAGTTTATTTTAAATAGCATGAATTGAAACTGACATTTCTCAGTAGGGCGGGAAATCAGTCTCAAACCTTTTATACTTGCAGAATGGTCAGCAGAAATGTAATGTATATGTGATTTTTGGGGGGGTTAAATATGTAGAATAGACTTCTTAAGTGCATCAAGTTGTAAAAACTACAATAGAACACCCAGGAGATGCTGCTTGATGCT